AAATCGTCCAATAAATATATTTACATAATTAAGAAATATCAACTAAAAAATAAGGGTTTCCTTTAGTAAAACTTGTGAAAAGTGTCTACTAATCCGTAAGAAGGGACAAATTATTGTAATATGTCTAGCTTCCGTTTTAACAGAACCCAAAAAAAGTATTGATGATCTCTAACTTGTCAGATGAATGTTGTAAAACAATTGATAAAAACAATTACTGATTAATTAGAAACGTTAAAATTTTAGTATTAGAAAAGAAATTAGTGAGTTGTTTTTCTTATATTTTTAAAGCATGAAAATATAATAAATGATATAAAAAAAATTACATTTAAAAAAAAAGAGATAATATCTTCTATAACCACATAAGTACAAAACTAAAAGATATATATATATATATATATTTTTTTTTTGCCAGTCATATATATAAGTAAAAAATAGTATAAATTGAAAAGGGAAGAAAATATTTATCGTAAAGTTTACACTTCACCGTCAAAACACAGCTACTTATGTCAGTGACTCTTCTTCTATCACCACTACACGACACAAAACTACCATACACACTCTCTCATAACTCGCGTGACTTTCCTCCTTCAACTCTAATTGGATCGTACCCATCACGCGCTATTACCGGCAACGCGCTTATCGTCTGGCACACTCACCCGCACCGTACCCGTCGTCGGTCTTTTCGCCAATTTATCGTATTTTTCCGTGAAACAGAATAATTATAATTTTAATATTAAAGTGTATAATAAATTATTAAATTCTGTTTAAAAGAAACTCATTATTGATTTTTTTTTTTTTGTAACTCTCTTCTCTGTTGGTACCTGTTCTTTCTCTCTGTTCATTCCCTTTTCTTTAGCTTAATTCAGCAAATTTGTTTCTCTCTGCTTTGCTCTCTGTTTCTTTGTTTTTTCTTTCCTCTGCAAAGTAAAAGTAATGAGAGCTTAATTATAATGTTTGTCTCATCTTCAAGCTTCAGATCTGATGCTTTGTTTCTGCTAGTAGGTATTGTCTCTTCTTTTTAGATTAATCACCATTTTTGTGAACAAGAACCAAAAAAGGTTTTCAAGATTCGAGTGAGGAAAAATTTAGCTGAAAATGCTGGAAATTGGAAGTCCCAATGCTCTGTTTTTCCGTACGAACACTACTTGTAATAATCTTCTCCGTGAGCTTCAGGTTTGTTTTTCTTCCTCTCTTTTACTTTGTTGGTTTCTTTGTGGTTTCTTGATGATGACGGTTGATGAAAAAAAAAAAAAGTCTTTGTTTTTTTTTAACTCTCAAGGGTTAAAGGATGATTCTTTTGGACTCATAATGAGTTTGGTAGAGACAATTTAACTGAATTTAGTCTTTTGTTTTCCTTATCTTTTTCCTCTCTTAGGTCAAAGGGTTTCTGTGAATTTGACTAAAACATGTCAATTTCTGGAAATTTCTTTACTTTTCTTGGTCTTCATGTAACTGTTGATGTTTTTCTTTTGGTTTCAATTTCATGCACAAGCTCTTGTACTAGAAAATCTCTGTTTTTTGTGTTGTATGGAGGTTGATTTCATGAGTTTAATGGCTTTTTGGGTTGTATGAAACAGAAAATATGGGTTGAAATTGGTGAGAGTGAGACTGAGAAAGATAGGATGTTGATGGAATTGGAGAGAGAATGTCTTCAAATCTATCAAAGAAAAGTTGACGAAGCTGCAAATTCTAAGGCAAAGCTTCATCAGTCTGTTGCAGCAATAGAAGCTGAGGTTGCTTCTTTAATGGCTGCCCTTGGTGTGTTAAACATCAACTCACCGGTACACATAGCTATCTTCATGATAGATGATTTAGATTGTGTGTTTAGAGTTTTACAACTATTGCTAAAATTTTGTGTGTTTTCTTGCATTTTGATGTGCAGATTAAACTGGATAAAGGTTCAAAGTCATTGAAAGAAAAGCTTGCAGCAGTGACTCCTCTAGTTGAGGAATTGAGAATTCAAAAAGAGGAGAGAATGAAGCAGTTTTCCGATATAAAGGCGCAAATTGAGAAGATTAGTGGGGAAATCTCAGGATACAGTGACCATCTCAACAAGGCCATGATCAGTTCCTTGACTCTTGAAGAACAAGACTTGACTCTGAGGAAACTTAACGAGTATCAAACACATCTCCGCACGCTTCAGAAGGAAAAGGTAAAGATTTTGTCACACATCTATAAAGAGCAATGAACAACAAATATCCATCATTTCTTTTTTTTTATAAACATGTTTATGTTCCTTTCATGCAGTCTGATCGTCTCAACAAAGTCTTGGGTTATGTCAACGAAGTACACGCCCTATGTGGTGTTCTTGGAGTTGACTTTAGTCAAACAGTTTGTGAGGTTCATCCTAGCTTGCATAGGACAGACCAAGAGCAATCTACAAACATTAGTGATAGCACATTAGAGGGCCTTGAGCACATGATTCAAAAGCTAAAAACTGAGAGAAAAGCCCGATTTCAAAAGGTAGCTTCTAGTCTACTTATAAACATGTTTCCACAATACTATCCCTCTATTTCATATTCATATAGTGACTTGTCTTTTTTGTGTTTCCAATAATACTTCCAAATGTGCAGCTGAAGGATGTAGTGGCTTCACTGTTCGAGCTATGGAATCTAATGGACACACCACATGAAGAGAGAACTAAATTTGGAAAAGTTACTTATGTTGTAAGATCATCTGAAGCTAATATCACTGAGCCGGGCATCCTTTCGACCGAGACAATTGAACAGGTTCGGTAGAAGCAATTCTATTATTCCACATTTATGTCTTTAATCTCATTCTTGATCTGAGTCTTTGTTTTGCCTTTACTTTAGGTATCTGCAGAAGTGGAAAGTCTCAGTAAACTGAAAGCAAGTAGAATGAAGGAGCTTGTAATGAAACGAAGATCCGAGTTAGAGGATCTTTGCAGACTAACTCACATTCAACCTGACACAAGCACATCTGCTGAGAAATCAACTGCCTTAATAGATTCTGGTAAATATGATTTATTTGGTTTTTATATAATTGGTATATACTTGCCAATTCCACTTGTTTTAAGCCAAGCTTCCCCATGTTTTCAGGATTAGTGGACCCTTCAGAGCTTCTTGGAAATATCGAAATGCAAATAAACAAAATTAAAGACGAAGCACAGAGCCGAAAAGATATCATGGACAGAATTGACCGTTGGCTCTCTGCATGTGAAGAGGAAAATTGGTTGGAAGAGTATAATCTGGTATGAGAAGCTTAAAGCTTGAAACTCACAGAAGAAAAATGGATTCTTTGAAGGATGTATTCTAAAGATTCTTTCTCTGGTTTCAGGATGAGAACCGGTATAGCGCTGGAAGAGGTGGGCATGTAAACCTCAAGCGGGCAGAACGAGCCCGGGTTACAATCAATAAGATCCCAGGTACTTTCCACCTTTCACCTTTTTTCTAGTTTCTGAATATGAAATAAAAGGAATTATTGTAGCTTATACCTTTGTGTGTTGTTTACTTCAGGAATGGTTGACAACCTTATCAAGAAAACACTTGTATGGGAAAATGACATGCAGAATTCATTTCTATACGACGGTGTAAGCTAAAACTATTTACAGTAAGTGCAGAGTCATTAACAGCCAAAGTCCTTTCTTTAATTCTTGTGACTACTTTCTGTAGGTTCGATTGGTTAACATACTAGAAGACTATAAACTGACAAGGAAACAACAGGAAGAGGAAAAGAAAAGATACAGGGTTTGTCCAAAAACACTCTCTTAAAAACACTCAAGATTTTCGCTTTCCCTTATAACAAGTTCTATATCCCTGTGCAGGATCAAAAGAAGAGGCAGGATCTCCTACTAACTCAAAGGGAATCCATTTACGGATCAAAACCGAGTCCAAGAAGAAGCAGCAGCTTCAGAAAGCCCAATGGTTTCAACATTAGCAATGGGAATGGTTCAGTGCCTCCCACGCCTCGTAGAAGCTCGGCAGGGACAACAACTCCTGACCTTCTTCTAACCCCGAGATCTTACTCAGGTCATCATCGCCAAAACGGGTATTTCAAAGAATTTAGGAGACTCACTTCTACTCCCTTGAACTATGTGGCTATGCAAAAGGAAGATACTGTTTCTACTACCTACACATCGATTTATAGCTCTGAGCCAGACTCGCCTCTCCAAGGCTGACTTGACTCTCTTTTCCACCGGTAAGATTAAAGATCAAAACTTTAAAGCATCAATTGATTAGCTTAACATGCCCTTATAGTAGAATCCTCAAATTATTTTGTTTGTCCTTGTGGTGATTTTAAACTTTGTGTAGATAGAGACTGATGTTAGAAGTTGGGTATTTGGTGCAGGTACTGTGGAGTAATGTTAATGATGTTAATGGTAAAAAGAAGGTGAAAGCAGACTTGTGAATACAGAAGGTGACTGACTTTTAGGAGATATGGTGAGATAAGAGTAAAAAATAAATGTGAAATTTGTTATTCTTTAGAGGTTACAAGTTTTCTATTTTGAAGTGATAATAAATACTATTGTTTTGTGTAATGCTCGTGTGAAAGTGTGTGAATGGTCATTCTTGTGCGTACGTATTTGTGTATAATATACGTATTTGCTATATTTTTGTGCTTTGAATTAGTACTACTTTTGAAATTGAACCATTTGCGTGTACTTATAGGTAAGATGGATAGATTCATTGTGTTTGCGGGGTCACAAATGCACATTTGTTTATAATCTTGAATTGTTGTGGAAGGAAGAACCGGACCCGAATGGAACCGAACCGAATACCCGAATGCCCATGCCTGAGTAAATTTATGGAAACTAAACCATTGCTTTTTTGAATTTTTTGATATCACATAAGCACAGCTTTACATCGCAAACTCAAAGCAAATACATATTACTCTCACATAAATAGAATATGTTGTGCAAGTCTGCAAGATAATGAAATTGATGAGAAAACAAAAAAGATAATAAATTATTTGGGCTTAATAAGTATAGCCCAATAAAGCCCATATATTGACTTTCATAAAACATGGCCCATTTCAAAATAGGATTATACTGAAAATGGCCATGCACTCATAAGAAAACTAGATATTATAGCATCATTTTCTAAGCTGTTAACCGAATCTGACCGGACCGGTTCTCACCGAATAACAATATAACAAGTATACCGAAACTTTGGTACTACATCGAACTACTACTACCTTAACCCAACATAAACTTCAAATCAAATCGCCGGCTTAAAAAAAAACATCTCAAAGAGATTTGACATTTTCACGGCTCGAACTCGTGAACTTGTTGAAGAACTCGGTAGATGGTGACATTAGATCTTCGAGATGTGGTTTCGTCATCATGAGATCTCGTGAAGAAGTTGTTGTTCCCTTCCACGTCGAACGAGTTGTGTCTCTTACGTACGTTACGGACATGATGACGTGGCGGTGGGGTTTCGTAGCTAGCTCTGTGTTTTACCCAACCCGGTTTAGATTTCTCCGTTGATTTCTTCACGGTTAAAGTTGGTTTAATTATGATCTAGTCGTTAAATGAGGAATTTTGGTGTAATTAATTCCAAGAAAGTAAAACTTACGTGAATGAGAGAAGATGAGATTGGTACGGGACATTTAACCGGACGATCTTCTTCTTCCGGTTCAACCGGATGCTCAACGGGACAGAATTCCACGTCGAATTGATTGGTTTCTTCATCGTATTCCATCATCACTGTCTCCTCCACACTCTCTCTTTTGCCCTAAAGAAATCAAAGAAAACAAAAGATAATAAGTTTTTTTTTCTTATATAAAATTCAAGAATAACGTGTCCAATATCGTAAAATGAATGAAATCAAAGGGTTTGTTTCAAAATTAAGAAGTAAAGAAAGATTAGATTAGGAGAGAAAATAAAAACTCACTGAGGAATCGAAGTCCATGAGATTGGTGAAAGATGAAATGAGAGAAGAAGAGAGAAGGAATGTGAATGTGAGAGAGTTTGTGTGTATAAAAGGGTAAAAAATGAAAGAGAAAGCGAAGAGGTAAAAAATAAATAAATAAAAGTTGGTTTTGGCATGAAAAGGAGGGATTTTTAACCCCACAGTGAAAAAAGATGTGAGGCAGAAAAAGATTCCTTAACCTCCCACTATTTTTTCTTTCTTTTTTCAGGACCATTTTCATATCATTCAAATGGCGTATGGGTCATAAAACTTTTTGTAGATTGTTTTCCTTTTTTTTTGTAATATTAGCAATCGGTGCCAAACTTCAAAACATGCAATGTGTTAATGGAGTGTATAATAAAAGGCAATAATTTTTATAAAAATTATAACTCCTAAAAACAAGTTATCAAATATATATAAATGACAATCACAATATTCATGCAAAGAGTAAAACTAACAATTTATATATGTCTCCTTTGTAAAACAGTCAAATATATAATCACAATATCAAAACTAATGTAGTTTTTTTCTGTATATATATGTGGAATTGTATCACTATTTGGTTCAGGGTCTAAAAAGATGATAAAAACAACTACCATATAATAATATATTATATACACTTTCTTGCTTTTAACAAAAGGAGATGCTATCTTTCTTTGAAAATCCGAACAATCTTTCGCTTTGTTTCATGTCTTACTTTTTTTTTTCTTTCTTCTTTCCCTTTTAGGGCTTTGAAGAAGATTGGTGATGTAGAGAAAAGCTATTGATTTGCTCGTAATCCGTTAAAATTACAAATAAATAAAAATTGCAAAAAAAGAAAACAAAACCACTAAAGCCGGCCGTTAAGGGGAAAGCATGAGGTACACCACTTTGCTTTACTTCAACAAGCCGTTTTTGTATGCGAATGGAAAAAGCAAGCTTACTACAAATACACATATATAGTGTATATAAAAGACCATAATTATACGGTAAAATATTAGCGGTATGATATAATTAGCCATGTAATTATAATAGAAAACAAACATTGTTAAGAAAAAGTTGCTGATTTTATCAAAGGTCCAACATATATTTGTGTAATTAATTTTCTAAAAATAATATAGTTTATATCCTATAACAAACGGCCAAGAGACTCTTGCAATCAAAACAAAATTTGTTAAAGTAAACGGAAGAGTTATGTTAGAGCTAGAGAATAGCTTTCGAATGAATCTCGTAGTGATTTGAAAAGAGTATTCTAGGGTAATAACTCATCGGGGTTTGAGTTTAAGTAGGACAACTTATTTACTAAGCAATGTTTTGAAGTTTAGCTCTCCTTTTTTTGAACGGTTGTTTGCTCACATAAGCTATGATTTCTTATGTAGGTAGGTAAGTTTCTTAAGATGATAAATCGTACAAAAGACATTTGCCAACTTTTTCTCTTGTCACTTGTATTTTCACTAGTGTTTTCTTTTGGATAGACAAGAAAGAACATGACAACAAATGCGAATTGATTGCCTAAATTAATATTATTGTTCAAAATTAAATTCGAGGGAAGATATCATCGAGGATTGCAACAATATTCTTATAGTACTCCAATACCTTAGTTTCATCTTCATCTCTTGCTGCATAATCCATCTACAATTTTCAAAGTTTAGTTAATAAGTTAATAGTAATGATGAGTATATAGTAGTGAGAGGAAAATGAAGAAATGTACCTTGGTGATTGAATTAAAGAGAGAGGAATAAAGAGACCTAAAAAGAGGTCTATCCTTAGGAGGCTTTGCTTGGATGATTAAGTAAAAGTCTTGCTTCATGTTTGATGCACTTCTCCTTAGCTCTTTCCCTCCTTCTTTCCACAATTTCTTGTCTATCATCATCTCTTTAATTCTTTTTATATTTTCTGCATTTTTTCTGAATCCTTCCTATGAACCATATCAAAAATATACGAAGAATTCATAAGTATAATCTCTGTTTATTTAGTGGTATTAAGTTGTAAATAATACCACGAAAAAATAGTAAATAATGGAACTAAAAATAGTGTCTATGTGGACAAGCCCAATTGGGCGCGTGGACGAACAATTTGACACCTCTATCCACAACCATTGTAATTCTTGCTACAAAGAGTCCTCCACAAACATATTATGGATAACTTATTAAAACCACAAATAATCCAAAGTGATTGATACCTTGCAAATCTATGTATCAGCCTTAGCATTCATTCAATATTCTCTAAACATAAGTTTTTGTAAACCTACTTCGGATGAATCACTTGATCAAAGCTAGAATACTCTAAAAACAAAAAAGTTTGTAAATCTTGTGATTCTAAAGAGCATTGCAATTTGTATCAATCCATATGAGTAAACAAATTTTATTTTTGTATTATAACATCGTCACTCAAATGTTTAGCAATTTTTAAGTCGAGACAACATCTAAATTGTTGTAATATGAAACAAATAGATCAAAGTAAAACTAAAGTGAGTTTTGATCTAGTGGCGTTCTCTAATATATTGCGATGGGGAAATGTATGGACCTCCAAAACTCTTCAATTAACCACAAAAAATGTAATTAAAGTAAAGACAAGTAGTAGTTTAAACCTGAGCAAGTTCGATGGTGCGTTCAGGCTCAGGTGGAGGAGCGCCGAAGTTGAAAAAATCAGCGGCATTCGCAGAAGAAGAGCGTTTGGGATCAAAGAAAAACAGTTGAGGGATTAGTGTTCCCGAAATTGAGAGCAAAACGTCTCTTCGTCTTCTTCTTCTTCTAGATGTATCAATGGAAAATGTTAATTTATCATCCGATGTATCAATTGAAGAATCTTGATTGTGAAAGAAAGTGAAATGTGGTGGTGGCTTTGAAATCGCCATGTATTCACGTTTCAAAGCAAACAAAGTAGCTGCACCATTGAACAACCTTACAAGGATAAGAACCAGAGATTATTAATCTAACGGCCACTGATGGTAACACGTGTCAACTACTGGAGATATGACACTTCCAACTACCCGCCAAAATTTTCATTTTTTGTTTGTTATATGAATTATCTCAAAGATGCTAATTGTAATTTACATATACATTAACTTAAACACGTAAGATACTAAAACTCTCAATTTACGTTTAACAAAAAAAATTCAAAGTAAGAAACTAATTTTGTTAAGAAAATTCAAACCATAACCAAAATCCAGAACAGAGTTATACAAACAAACAAAAAAACAACTCAAAGTCTAAATTCAAATCATAACCTCTTCGTTGAATAATAGAAAATATCAAAAAATAAAAAATTGTCATGAGACGATAACATTTTTCCGGCGAAAAATGAAGTTGTGGAGACGCACCGCCGGAGCTATAAAGGACAAACTCAGTCTAATCACGGCGACTGATGAAAAATTCACGGCGGCGATTATCAAAGCGACGAGTCACAACGATCTCTCAATGAACATCGAAAACGTTCAATTCATCTATAGATACATACAGAGCAACCCTTCAAGTTTCAAACCAATCATACGCGCCGTCTCGTTACGCGTGGAACGCACGCGTAATTGGACGGTGGCTTTGAAATGTTTGATGTTATTACACGGCTTGTTCTTCTCCGGAATCATGGCGGTTGATTCTATTGGACGGTTACCGTTCGATCTTTCGGATTTTGGGAAGAGGAAATCTCGGTTTAGTAGAACCGGTCGGTTTAACATTTTCGTTCGCGCTTATTTCATGTTTCTTGATGAAAGATCGATTCTTTTTTATAATAAGAACATGATTCGACTTGAGATGATCGTTAAAATGCAACGAATCGTTGATTCATTGATGAGAATTAAACCGATTGGTAAAACGCCTCTTGTAATAGAAGCTATGGAATATGTAATCAGCGAGGTTGTTGTGATTAACGGTCATATCTGCCGCGGATTCGCCAGTTTCTTATCCAATGTTCAGTCGAATATACTGGAGATATCGTCAGCAGAGGCGGAATTAGCGATGAAGATCGTGGCGAAATCTTTGTCGCAGAGAGAACAACTCTTCAAGTATTTCGAATTCTGTAGAGATTTTGGTGTCACCAACGCTCAAGAAATCTCTAGTTTCGTACGAATCACGGAATCTCAAGTGATAGTGCTCGACAAGCTTCTCCATATCGCCCCGGAGTTAGATCGGAAGGCCGCAAAAGTAATACCAGTAACCGCGGCAGATATGGCGGAGGTGGATTTGGTGACCAGTGAGGAGTGTTCTAATAGTCCATCAGATTTAATCAGCTTCTAACCATGTAATTACTAACTACTCAACTTCTAGTCTATGTCTGCTTATGGCCTTATGCTAATGTGTACACTCTAAAAGATTAACATTGCATTATTAGTTAAACTTAATATATCTAACGATTTGTATAAGGGAAAAATGCGAAAACAAATTATAAAAATATTTTCTTCTTCATTAAAATTGTTTAACATACAACATTTTATCAAAACAACATCTAATGTTACAAGTCAACATCTAATGTTGCAAAAGAAAAAGAAAGAAAAGAAAAACAACATTTTTGCTTCCTACAGATTTTCTCAAAGAAATCTTCAAACAAACAAAAACAGAACATTAAGAATGTATGAATTAAGATATGATCAAACCCTAAAACGAAGAAGTTACCTTGAAGAAGAAGAAGGAAAACAAAGGTCACAAGTTGTTGTATATACACGATCAATGAGAAAAACTCAAACTATCTGATCGTGACAAACTTATTGGTTCCATGTCTAGCCCAATGACTCTTCAAATCAATCGCATTCCCAAAGCTATAACCTTCTGTTGCTAATTTCTCTAGGACCTTCTTAAACGCGCCTTGACTCATCTTCCTACCTGAAATCCTTGCCCCGCGTCTCTTAGTACTCATCGGTAAAGGATACACCGAAATGTTAGTTGTGCAACAAGCAGATTGCCATCCGCCACATCCCCAACGGTAACATTGCTGAGGAGTTCCAGTACAAGTGCAAACCGGTACAGGTAAACCAGAAATGTCCATACTCACACCATTAATCACAAGATCAACACTCTTCTTAACCGGTTTCACACGCTGCTGTTTAACATTGCTATTAGTAACGTCGCTCTCCTCTTTCGGTTTACGCATCTTCTTAGCTTTCGGTATCGTTGGTGTTGAGATGCTACCTCTCATCTTTCTCTTCTTACTAGGCTGAACAATTTCATCTTCACGAGGAGGAGGAACCGGAATCTCCTCAAACCGGGATGAATTCACAACCGGTTGATGTATCATCTGCATCGAATTCGAACCAGAAGTTTCGGACATCACACTCCCGTAATTCGGGGTGCTTATAGGCAACATGTTGAAGAACTTGTTGTCCTTGGGTTGATTAATCCAGCTATAGTTCATGTCGTGCTCTCGCGGGTGATACGAACCGTTTGAACCGATCATCAGATTCGATTCACGCCCGGGTAAAAACGGTTTAGTGTTCCGATCAATAGTAGACATAAGCTGCAAACCAAGATTACCTTTAAATGAAGCAGCCGCTGGTTCATAGTATCCCCAATTGCGAAATCCATCATCATCCATTGTGATTATAAACTATAAACAATGCCATTAAAAGTTAAATCACACAATAACAGAACAAGATTATATGACTCTCAAGTCTCAATAACAATTAAGCAAACGAAAAGTTTCTAAATTTGTTGTTGAATCTGATTTTAAGCCTCGAATTCATCGAAATTCACATGAAATTATAACATAAGATCTATCCATTTTCTTAGATTCAGTAACAGGGTGTCTAATGAAAGAACAGATCTTTAAGGTACCCAGAAACGAAAATTAGGGTTTTTATAATCAGAATCAAATTTTTCTGAAAACCCATAAGCAGATCTGTAGATCTGACAAACCCAGAACCAGATCTAAAGAAACAGAGCATAAAGCATCGATTTTTTCGCACAGAATCATAATCTTGATGTTGGTTGATGATAAGATATTTCGATGAGAACAACGCAGAAATGGAAAGACAAGTACAGTACAAAAGGAGCCAATTATAATTTCGAAAAATTAAAAGAGAGAGAAAGAGACATAGATTGATGAGAGAGAAATCTCTTACATGGGTTTGGTCTAAACGGCTCTTTAAGGAATTTTTTGACCTCCTGGAGGGAGAGAGAGGAGAGAGAAACCTGAGAGAGATTGGGAAAGAGAAAGAAAGAAGAGAGAGGAAAGAGAAGGTTAAAGATCTTCTCAGTTTTTTTTGTTTGGTGAGAGAGAGTTCAAAAAAAATGACACTTTAATATATATTTAAGAAAACCAAAAGGCTTTTAAGAAAAAGAAATTGTGAAGAGATTATTTTTGGTTATTTGTAGGGTATAGAGATTTGGGGAAAGCCATGTGAGAGATGAGAAGAAGACAAAAACAAAATCAAAGCCCACTGCTTCTCCTTATCCTTTACATTGTACTATTTGATTAAATATATATATTTGTCATGTTTTTTAAATAGTAAATACATTTAAATAATGTGATAATTATGGACTCCAACCGGTAGTCGCATAATGGTTGAATAGCGTTTTATAAATAGCTTCATAAATTATTACTCCCTCTGTCCCAAGTTATAAGAGGTTTAAGGGTTTTTTCTTTGTTCCATTTTAATAGATTTTTTCAAGTTTCAATGCACTATTTACACTTATTTAATAGTTTTTGACTGTTTAAATTATGCAGTCTTTTTTTTAATTGGTTGAATTTTTATAAATAAGAAAACATTTATTGTTTCTTAATCCTTGTGCTTTTAGCCAAAACCTCTTATAAAATAGTGTTTTACTCTTGTCGGATTTCGAAATGCAGATAATAAAGTATAAAGAATGTTTGATTTGAGGCCCATTTGTGTATTTGGGTAAACATTGGAACGAAGTGGAATTAGGATTAATTCTGTAAGAGACAAAGCCCATCAATCATATCTTATTTTAGAGTGTTTTTTTGGTCGTTTGATATCCATATAGGCATTAATGTCATCCTCAGCTATAAGGCTTGGTATACTTAAACCATGTTGAGTCAATCTACACAAATATGACATCATAATTGTTTTGGAGTTCGGATCCAACTTTATTGTTACATAATTTAGGCAGGCCCATATGCGACTCATTAACAGATAGAGGCCCAAACACCTAGTAAATTGAAATTCTTAATATCAAAATTACGTCCGGTGGACTCATATTCGCCATTTCGGCCTATAATCACCTTATTGACTGAGGTTAGCCAACTTAATAAACACACACATACATACATTTTAATTAAATATTTTTTGTTGACTGAGGTTATATTTTATCTTAATTCGATTTGAAAGATTGAGTATACAATTTAACACACACCAACATCTACATTCGTATTACACACTTTGTGTTTATTTTCTTGGCAGCATTTTAGAGTTTATGGATGTATGCCAAACTTGAGAATGAAGGCATGAGACCAAATATCCGAATAAAATGAGTAATGATGTATCAGGAATGTTCCTTTTCAGATAAATAACTAAATTATGTTTATATTATTTTTAAAAAATATAAATAAATGAAGATAAAAAAGAAAAGATAAAGAGAATCAAAGGGAGGAGTTGGGGGAGATGATGGCATTTCTTTGCTTTGTAAATTTGGAGCATGTGACTTGATCCTTCTTTCCAACTCAAATCTCCTACTCATAATCACTATTCTCCTTATTTTATTAATTCTCTTAAATTTACTTCTTATATATTACCATGGTTATGATCATATTATCTTTATTATATAGTTAATATTTGTTAAGATATCCTAGGTAAATATACCTGAATGTCCAAAAACTAGGTCTAAGACTAAGAGCTACAATATCTTTATACTTTAGAGTTTAGATATAAATTTCAACTTTTTTGCTATAACTTTTAACCTTGGATCAACCACTTGACCATTGTCATCTTATTTATGACTATATAAACAAATTTCTCTCTTGAACTAATTCATTAACTATAATTTATCTTAAATTATTTTTTTCTTACTCACCAAAATTGCTCTTAATTTATACTTTTCTTTCTTTCTCTATGATCTCTTAATTACTACATTCTGTAACTTTGTATATTGGTTTTTATAATTCACGAGTTCGGATACTATCGATAAGAATAAGACCATTGTATTTCATTTAACATGTTTTGTTTTCTTTCTGAATTTTTCTTTCATTTAACATGTTATGGGCTCTCAAGTCCCAAAAGATTATAAAATACAAATTTAGAATTTTGTAGTTCCGAAATAAATATCATGCATTATGCATTAGAAAATAAATGATCAATGGTAATAATCGATAAGAGTAAGAGTTGGGAGAGTAATCTCATCTTAGGAAATGATTACAAACACGATCTCATTTCTTTCCTTTATACAAAGCTGTCACCATAACTCGATCACATCTTCTCGTCTAATTTGTTCTATTTTTCCTTTCGGTCCATTTGGAACCAATTTTAGACAACTGACAAAAACACATTATGAGGTATCATCTTTTGTATTAATTTGTTATTCGACAATAACGAAAAGAAAAAAAAAAAAACTAGTAGGGATAAAGCTACGGAATACATATGCCAATTACAATTGAAAAAAAAAAATGATTACACGTTTTATTATATTTTTAGTCGCTTTGTTTAGTTCAACCCTTGTTAATTACTAGAGAAAATGTGTTAAAATAACAGAACTTATGATTCAGAATTTCTAGATCATAATAGTGATTAATTTTGGCTGTTTTCATATGAGTTACTTCCACACACAGACACATATATACACACAAAAACTGTTTTAGTTAAGATTTATTACATTCTTGATCGACTAACATTCTTGGATCTGTTAATGAAACCTTCCTAAGGAATGACTCAGAAGAAAGGCAAAAGCCTAAAAGGAATCGACAGTGGAGAGTGGAGGAAAAAAGACTTCACGTGAGTAAGACATCAGGTCACGTGCGGGATCGAATATGAATTTATTAAAATAGGGTTTATATACATTACTAATAGTCTAATACTACTTTCACATTTACTCTTGGCTAGAATTATTTTTTACGTATGTATATTTTCATCCATTTGTCTTTTTTCTTCCCCTAACTATGTATGGGCACTAGTACATCCATTATATAAGCCAAATAGAAAAAAATAATAGTTTGTCTGCATTATTGTAAACTTACAGAATTTGGTATTTAATGCAATTATGCAATTTTATCCTTGGATTATTCACAAGAACCATATACCTTTTTTTCTCTCTTTGTTTCCAAGTGTAATTCGAAAAGAATCTTAACATGTATGTGGACCAACCTTGGAAACATGATGACATAACATTCATATATAGTTAACAATGACAAATTTTCTTAAATTGTCTATATATTATTGGATTGCTTTAACAATAATGGAACGCAAGATCATGTATTAGTGATGTATAATCACACTATTTATAGGACTTGAGAGTGACAGTCAAAAAGTTAATTAGAAGTATGTTAACCTTATTATTTAATTGCTTTTTACATCATCTAAGAGTTATAGCACCAAATCAACATTTATAACGTTCTCTCCTAATTAATTTGCAGATACAATAGAACTATTGATATTTTAGTCTCTAACCTACATAATATTTTGATTGATATAAACTCCACACAAATCAATGAAAGGTAAGCCTTACATGTGGACGTATGATCTCATATTTTTTTCATTTGTTACAGAAAACTCATGTAGATAATCACAAACATAAAAGAAAATGTTTTAAAAAATTATTAAAAAGTAGTTTTTGAAGGTTCAAGAAAATCAGACAAATTCATCAATCAGACAAGATATGGGTCCAAGCCAAAAAAATCATATATCCAACATGCTCTAAGAAACAAATTCTAAAAAATAAATACAAAATAACAAAAAGAAAAATCTAAAATCTAAATCTAAATAAATACCTCACCTTCTCTCTCTCTATAGCTACACGAGTGTATGTATAGATTTTACGCAATGATGGCACAGTGCAATGAGCTTTATAAGTAGAAGCAATATAGGCATCAAAGACCCCTTACTTGCTCTCAACTCTCAAGTGTATATGAGAGAGAAATAGGTTTTATGATGAAGAGTCAAAATAGCAAAGAGAGAGCTAGAGAGAGAGAGACCCAAAAAATTAAAAAGCTTTCATCATATTATTAACATAAGAGAACTTTGAAGAGCCTACCAAAAAGTTTGAAAAGCCTTTGTTGCAGAAAGCTTAAGAGAGCTTTTTCTCTCCCCCTATATCTCTATTTCTCTTTATTACCCTTCCTCTTTGTAAAGCTGAACCTTCCACTATCTCTTCTTCTTTCATAATTTTTTTTTTGTCTCTGGGTCTTGTTGTTTCATCAAATCAATCTCTAGTATCCAAATACAATAAAGTCAAAAAAGAGAGGTCAAGAAAGTATAGTAATTGATGAGAACAGATCAAGTGATGTTGTCCAACAAGAACACAAACACATGTTGTGTGGTTTCTTCTTCTTCTTCTGATCCTTTCCTCTCCTCTTCAGAAAATGGGGTCACCACCACAAACACATCCACTCAGAAGAGGAAAAGAAGACCTGCAGGTACACCAGGTAATAATAAATCCCCACTACAGAAAATTTAATTTTCAAAATCTTTTTTTCTTGTTTTTATTTTCTTATGAAAATTTTCAACTCATGGGTATTATTGGGTTTTCTTGGTTTTCTCTTAAACCCCATTAGAAATACAAGTTTTTTTATAGGTTTGATTTTAAAGTTTAAGGTTTTTTTATTCTTCTTTTTACCAATTTCAAAGTTTATAGGTATTAATGGTTTCCCTTGTTAATTTTCTCTTAAACCCCGTTTAAAATCTCAACTTTTAATAATTAAGACATGTGTTTTGATGGGTTTTGCCTTATCTGCTCTCCAGATCCAGATGCAGAAGTTGTGTCTTTATCACCAAGAACTCTTCTTGAATCAGACAGATACATATGTGAGATCTGTAACCAAGGGTTTCAAAGAGACCAGAATCTCCAGATGCATCGAAGACGTCACAAAGTTCCATGGAAGCTTCTTAAAAGAGACAACAACATAGAGGTGAAGAAACGAGTCTATGTTTGCCCTGAACCCACTTGTCTTCACCATGATCCTTGTCATGCTCTTGGAGATCTTGTCGGTATCAAAAAACATTTCAGAAGAAAACATAGTAACCATAAGCAATGGGTTTGTGAGAGATGCTCTAAAGGTTATGCTGTTCAATCTGATTACAAAGCTCATCTCAAAACTTGTGGTACTAGAGGACATTCTTGTGACTGTGGTCGTGTCTTCTCCAGGTATAATTTCTTGTTCCTTTCTATCATTTGATTTTTTTTCTTTTTAATTATTTTTGAACCCATTTTATCGATTAATTATTGGTACTATATATTAATTCTTGAAAGATATGCACACTTTTGGACGTATTTGTTAAGTATTTCTAAAATATACAAGTAATTTGGCTCTGTTTGTTTTGTATATTTAGGAGATCATATAGAAAGTCAAATATAGAAAATTCTTCTAGCGACCCAAAACCAAGATTGATAGTTATAGTACTATTTGATTTGACTATCCTTCATGATTTTTACTAATTCTGTGCATTGATGTGTATGCATCAGAGTTTTTTTTTAATATTTCTCTTGACTATTTAAACGGTTTTTGTGACATAAAAAGAAAGTTAAATCTTTTAGATTAATGACATTGACCCCAATCTATAAAGAAATGTTATATGTTTTTAGGCTGTTATTGGACCTAAACTCATATTAATAATATATATTTTGAGTTCAAAGTTAAACAGAAAAAAAACTAATATAAAATAATTAACTTTGTCACCTCATAACCCTATACGTCATATGAATGAAATTATATAATTAATAGGTTTCTTTTCTTCGTTTAGGGTGGAGAGTTTTATTGAACATCAAGATAACTGTTCCGTACGGAGAGTTCACCGTGAACCGCCTTTACCGCCACAAACCGCGGTAACAGTCCCGGCATGCTCCTCTAGAACCGCCTCAACCGTCAGCACTCCGTCTAGCGAAACCAATTACGGCGGTTCAGTTGCGATTGCGACTCCTCTACCCCTAGAAGGCCGTCCTATTCATCAAAGAATCTCATCTTCAATTCTCACCAACTCATCAAACAATCTCAACCTCGAACTCCAGCTTCTTCCACTATCATCGAATCAAAACCCTAATCAAGAAAACCAACAACAAAAAGTTAAAGAACCATCTCATCATCATAATCATAATCATGATACCACAAACTTAAACCTTTCCATTGCACCATCATCATCATATCAACATTACAACAACTTTTATCGTATAAAAGAGATTATGGCGAGCGAGCAAATCATGAAGATGGCGATGAAGGAGAAAGCTTATGCAGAGGAAGCTAAAAGAGAAGCGAAGAGGCAACGAGAGATAGCGGAAAACGAGTTTGCGAATGCTAAAAAGATAAGGCAAAAAGCACAAGCTGAACTCGAGAGAGCTAAGTTTTTGAAGGAACAATCCATGAAGAAGATAAGCTCAACGATCATGCAAGTCACTTGCCAAACTTGTAAAGGACAGTTTCAAGCAGTTGCGGTTCCGGCGGGTGCGGCTGACGAGACGTCTCTTGTCGTGAGTTACATGTCGTCAGCGAATACCGACGGAGAGCTGGAAAATGGATTTTAAGTAAAACCAAAGAAAAAAGCATAAGATATTTAAATTAAGGTTAACTTTATTATATATTTGTGTATTACTTACCCGATCGGGTTGTGTTAATTTTTTGAATTACCATATATTATGTAATGGTTGTCATATAGTTGTTAATCTTTTGGTCCAACAGTATTACCATATGTATCGTAACTATTTTACTGTCATTAACAAAATCTAATGTTAGTTAGGTTTGAAAAATACTGCATATAAATTAGTACAAAGTGGGTAAGTTATAACTTATAAGTTGCTTGGCACGAGTTAATATATGGAGTGATGGGAAATGTACTATTATGATGTCGTTTTGGTCCGTGACCGTTACACTTATAACGAGGTTCGTAAACAAACATCGTTTCATCTTTCGTTAGATTCGGACAAAAAGTGTTGATCTATAATGATGATAAAACAGCCCGACCCATTTTTACTTGTTGTTATTACAACTTTTAGCAAATTTTCTAGCTACTCATTTATTGTCTATAGAAATAAATTTTACAGAGGTTCCTGATTTTTTAAAAGGCAATAAAAATAAATATAATAATTTATAAAAAAAAAATGCATGTCCAATAATTGTACTGTTCACACATATCACCAATACTCAAGATAGTCTATATTAGATTTTATATAGAACTGGTCGTTGGATTCTAAATTAACTAACTAGTATAGTATTTAGTCTGGTTAACTTAAAAATAGACAGTTAAAAAAACACATAATATTTATGAGAGATAGATAAATAGTCACTTATCAAGTTGTTGTGCATTATTCATGTGTGATTAGTTGAAGTGTTGAACATTAGTATAAATTTTGAAACGGAGACCACATTGCGTTAAGAAGATAAACTCCATCGAAAAACTTTGTGGTGATAAACAAAATTTGGTGTGCATCTTTGACAAAGAAAAATAAAAAAATTTGGTGTGCAAGTCGTACCAAAATAATAGTGTACATGTTTAACTTGTTAAGCCACATGATTGATATGATATATACATTTGAGATTTCTTAATTAATACATTATGGGGTTCCTACATTATGGTGATTATTCATGTTTCTAGCCAAACATTTTTAGTTAAACTTTTTATATATAAAAAAATCCCCAAATATTTTTAGATTGGACAGGTCTATGATGTATGAACATACATAATAAATGAATGTCGATACATGAAAGAGAAAGAGTTTGATTGGGGCAAGCATATAGATACATACATATATGCATATATAGCAAAGAAAATATAAAAAAAAACAAAAATAAGACGATCTTTTGCGTATGAGATTGAAGAAGCACTACAAAAATCTAAAATCCGAGGTGGGTTTGGTTTTTGTACATCTTTTGGGACCAATTTCGATGCAAAAATTAGGAGGATATAAAGACTTTAATAATGAGGACTTGAAGAAATGACATGAATGTCTGTCTGAGAGAACTAAAGAAGTGGGTTAAGTGAATAAGAGAGTGACAAATGCCTGCCCGTTACTCCGTTTCAACTCTATGGCACTGAAAACCATGGCGGTTTTTTCCCCGTTGCATTTAATGTGCACTCAATTGCATTGAAAGTGACTATTTCTCTCTCTCTCGTTTTCATCATTTGTGCCAACACGCAGAGAGGTTTGCAGATTCTGCAGCTATGTTTGTCACAGAAAGAGAGGTGGAGAGAGAGAGAGAGAGAGAGAGAGAGCAAGAAAGAGAGAGCATATTAGGCTTTCTCTATACCAATGGCCAAACACATGTGTGTAATATAATGCATGTAGCTAGTATATATGTATGCATATGTTTGATGATGGTTTATGTCAAAAACTCGTGAATGTGAAACAATGTATGTAACAATGTCTAACCATGTGAATAAAATGAGGGAATTCATGTAATAATGTTATATATATGCACTTTGATCAACACGATTCGTTTTATCGCGAAATGCATGCAAAAGCGTACTTTGAGATTATAAATTGTAATTGCTTCAAATCAAAAGAAATAAATTATAGTTGCTCGGACCATCTATAATACATAGTTGGGTTTAGGAGTTGTAACGAATTAAAATAAAAAAAAAGAAAGAACAATGGAACGTGCAACACAAAAAAGGGTATAGCTTTTTATCTCTTAGGATAGCATTTTTTTAGAAGAGCATGTGCATATTTGCCTCTCTTCCCCCAAACTTTCAAATGCTCATGCCTATCTCAACCTAAAGGAGCTAACTTTTGTTATTTTAGCTACTTCTATTTGCATTTGTTATTCCGAACTATTGGAAGATTTTTGTATGCTGAAGATTTAGTCGTTTGATTTTGTTTATAACGGAGCTTATACGTCGTCTATATTTCCATGGACAATGTACATGGATTATATGACTCACCTTCCACGAATAATATATTGTCATTAGTAAAGTGTTTAAATTTAGTGATATGATAAAGAGATTCGTGGGGTAATAATATTAAATCACTAAAAAAATATGATATATCAATAAGCCGTCCGCACATTAGCTAGCCATCTAAAGAGAAGATTTTTCAAAGTTCAAACTCACGAATTCGAACAACGATAATATTAGAAACTAACACACCATTATATATCTAGTTCCGGAAATTTTTGCTTACAAAACTAAAATAAAAATAGTAGCATATGATCAAAATACCAAAGAATTCTACACAAACAAACCATTTTTTCATCTAATAACAAGTAGAAGTTTCATATAAAACAAAATCATTTATAGTCTCTTTTATGCCAGAGAGTTTTATTTGTCAACAATATAAACAAAAGGTATGCTACTTGTCAAATATATTGAAAAAGAAATAGGCTAATATATAATTACTGGATTTTAATAATAATGTATTTAGTTGTTGGATTTGGAAGTGGCTTAGCATGAAAATCTCTCATCACATGGGATTGCTTCATACTTCCCACAAAGGAACAACCATATGCTTAACTTTTATGTCATGACAAAGATACCCCTCACTTCCTTGATGGGATGTATGAGTCGACACCCTGTACTCAATGGGTATTTTCGTCCTCTTATTTGTCTACTTACTACCATATTCTAAATTAATTCTTTTGTTTTTATAAGGAAATCAAACATTTTGGTTACGGTTAGCCTCGTGTTATAAAATAAAGATTTGTTTCCGAATTAGAATTGAACGTTTCATATCAATTTTGTTCAATCAAAGTTTTTTTTTTTTAATTATACAGATAAATTTCAAAAACTATGCACATCAAACATAAACGTTGCGTATTTGTTGGCTTGTATATTTATTTAATTATTATAGATGAATCAGCTGAGGTTTGTCTTTATTTGCTTAAATATGTGTAAGATAATATTAAATCTCGCTCTATTATATGGATGGACCCTTTTGCTATATCTGTGTTTTGCACTGAAACCTGAGGCATTTTATTTTTTTTGTCTTTTTCAGTTTTGTTCTTATATTAGCTCTTAGGGCATCATCAATGGGGGATCATGTGAGGGTGTTCTTATAGAGAATATAATGTTAAAATAATGTAAGATCATGTATTTAGATCTTTTGTTTAGAAGTTGATTAGTGGGAGAACATGTGTAAGATCTTAAGACTTAATAATATAATAATCTAAATTAAATTAAGATTTTACAATTATTAAAACATTTTAAAATAACATATAAATTGCAAATGCCAAATTTATGAAAAAACTGAAAATAAAAGTGAAAATACAATACTAAATATTTATGAAAAAAACATTAAAAATATAAATAACAATAAACAAACAAACATATTACTTAATAAAAGCACAAAAACATTTTATCTAAATAATACATAGTTTATTATCCAAATTTATTCCAAATATGTTGAATATTCCAACCAATGCCCAAATGCCACGTCACCCCGCAACACCCACAAGAACAGATCCAGGTCAAGAGCCCAGTTCCTGATCTTAAGCCCATTAACCCATTTTTTTGGATTTAAATAATGCTTAGATCAGGGGGGGTGATCCCCCAATGCAGATGGTCTTAGTAAATTAAATTTTGTCATTTTCCCTTCTCATTTAATTCCAAATATTTTTAAATCTTCTTTTTTTTTTCCATCGAAATATTTTTAAATCTTCATAAATTGTTCAATCTCCTTTATGAATATACGTGTACTTATTAGATAATTTTTGCCCATGACACAATTTGTTCTTTGTTATCTTCCATTTAGCCACTTTCCATTGTTTTCTCTAATAATTCAATCACTTTTTTTTAATATGATTTTGTTTCAGATAAGACATGCAACATGCAATACAATAGTACGGGTTAATTCAAAGAGAAATTCATTCTTATAACCTAAATAATGATATTCTAGTTTAACCGTTTAGACTTTAGAATAATTATCGGCATTATGATCTATGTATCAATCTATCATCTATGATATGAAAATGTAGTGTTTGTTTGCTACCATTTATTAATTTCCTCAACCTTTTATACGATGTGACAAGTCAACTGTATACTACCATTTGTAAGCCTTATTTATATAGTAAATACTGAATATACAAAACAAATAATTGGTGCTTACAAAACAAAATTTGGAAACAAATTACGTTTAGTAAGACCAACATTTTTTCTTTTGGTTAAAGACCAAAATTTGTTTCCAACCAGAAAGAGATAAGGCTGTGAGAAAGTGTCAGATCACACAGGAAAGGAAACATGCATTGTGGCATTGTTAGCTAAAAGAAACAAAATTCGAATTGTGACATATAAAAACAAAAAAAACATCAATATTCTTGCGAGGATTTGATTCATATCTTACTGTTTTATATTAACCTATACATCAAAATTGCAGTAAGGATAGTGTTCTTCTAGAAAAAGTTGAAGAAAAGGACGATAAAAAGTTAAAAAGTAACAGTAAAAAAAAGTAAAGTAAGACAAAATTATTTACATATTTTTGATGTAACACAGTAACAGAGGAAAGAGAAAAACTATTTGATTGCAGTGTGGGTTTGCAGAGACAAATATACCCCGCGCCTGCAAAATCCTTTACTCTGTTTTGTTAATTTACAATTTTACCCCTTTCGATAGATAGATACCACCGTCGAGATGTCTTGTCACACGTGAATTCTACTAAGATATTATTATTTCTCTGCTCTCCACTTTCACGTAACATCATCTTATTTATATTATACACACAAATACTATAGTCATAGACTTATAGGTTATAGTCTTATAGATTTGCGCATTTCTCAAATAATGATGATTTTGAGACCTAATTCTCTTAATTAGTTAATCTCTTTTTTTTCAAAAACTTTAGAAGTTATCGGGTTTTTGACCTATTCCCCTCGAACCCGTTTGATAATACCGTTGTTAAGGTGTAAATACTTTCTTTCAAATAACTATTGATCTTGAAAACACTAAATTACTAGACAACCACCTACTTGATTCTTGATCTACTAATTGTCCATGGCGGCGAATCTTCACATCAATAAGTATCTCAGTTCGTGCTGAATATCTCATATAAATTCACACATATAGTCTCTTTTGTCTTTGAAATACTTTTCTCACAAAAAAAATACTGACCACGAATGTTGTCTTATTGTGAGATCTTCATAGGCCTGAAGGAAAAAGAGTCATCATGGGCCTAATGCTTCTAAGTTCTAAATGATTCTTTATGGCCCAAACATATATTTCGAAACTTCAATTAAGCCCATTTGTATGTTTTCTTACAAAGCCTAATTGTGTGTGTATAAATTTTTTTTTTTTTTTTTTTATATTTTTTTTTTATAAAATTTGAAAGTTAGTTCGCTTTTAGTTTAATTTCGAGCGTTTAATAAACCAAGAAGAACAATTCACCAACTAAACTCTGATTTATTATAATCTGTGCAGTTATTTAGTAATGGAATCAGAGTTTAAATTACATTAATAAAAATTTGATACATAATGAAATTTTAATCATTGATCCACCACCACACATACATTCTCACATAAAAAAAATAACTGAAAAACCAAAAAAAAAACTGAACAGATCATCATGGTCGTTACAAGCTGTTACTGTGACTGTGACTATTATTTTCACTTCCACGAAGTTCTCTCAACGAAGCAACAACTTGTAACATATTTGGCCTCTTTGATGGGAAATCGTCAACGCACCGTAACGCTACCTCCAAATACCTTAACATTTCTTTCACAATCACTCCTCCTTCAAAACCTTCTTTTTCATTTAGAGTCTCCGAAGAACCTTCTTTTAGACTTAGAAGGTCTTCATCAATCACTTCCATATGTTTCCCTTCTCTTGCTTTCATCTTCGACCAACCAACTAAATTCGTTTCACCAAACTCTTCTTTATCCGTTGGTCTTTTCCCGCTTAAAATCTCGAGCATCACTACTCCGACTGAGTACACGTCGCCTTTTGCGGTACATCTGAAACTCTGGTAATACTCTGGTGGTACGTAACCTGGCGTTCCCGCCAAGGTACTTACACTCAAATGTGTGTCTAACGCGCTGATCAGTCTTGCCATTCCGAAATCAGAAACTCTTGCTTCCATGTCTTGATCGAGGAGCACGTTGCTCGATTTCATATCGCGGTGGATTATGTGAGGGATACAATTGTGATGCAAGAAGCAAAGCCCTTTTGCTGCTCCTTTCGCAATCTTTTTCCGTTCTTCCCAGTTCAAGATCCTCCGTTTTTCGCCTGTTCTCGGTCCGTGAAGCACCTCCTCGAGGCTTCCATATTGCATAAACTCGTAAACTAGCAATCTTTCTTCCCCAATTTTACAGTATCCCAAGAGCGGTACAAGGTTTCGGTGTTTGATCTTCCCTAAGGTTTCCATTTCCGCCATAAACTCTCGATCTCCTTGACAACTAAGTCTAATAAGTTTCTTGATTGCCACGGAAGAACCATCTTTAAGCGTCGCCTTGAAAACCTCGCCAAATCCACCATGTCCAATCATACTCGCGGCCGAGAATCCATTTGTAGCTTCAATTAGCTGTGAAAACTTAAGCTTCCTCAACTGTCGTTGAAACGTTGCTACATTAATACTCAACGGCTCTTTCTCCTTCTCAATCTTCCATGTCGTGGCGGAATTAACCGCCTGCAAACTGTGAAGCATCTTTGCATCTTCCGCGTCTCTCTTCCTCGCCCGAACCGCAATCGCCCAAACGATCAAAATACAAACCGAAGCAGCGGAAATCAACACCCCCAAAACAATGCTATTCGCCCAAGAAGCCGCCGTAGTTCCGTGCTTAGCACGTTTCCCTTCCTCCGGTCCAGCAGGAAGCTGATTGTTTCCATTCTTACATTCCGGTAAAGGAACACCGCAAAGCCCCGGATTATTCGCATACTGAGTCGCCGGAAGCGTGCTTAGCTGACCTCTCTGAGGAATCGGACCGGTTAACTCGTTATTCGACAAATCAATCTGCACCAAGAAAGACAAATTCGAGAAAGATTCAGGGATTTGACCCTGTAACCGATTATCCGAAGCATCGAACACACCGAGATTCTTGAGCTGACCAATCGTGAACGGAATCTCGCCGGAGAGTTGATTATGAGAAAGCTCAAGAACTTGAAGAGCAATCATTTCTCCAATCTCATCAGGGATTTTACCTCGAAGCTGATTATAAGAAAGATCAAGATACTCAATGGTTTGATATCTTGTGAATAGACTCAGAATTGGACCTGAATACATTCTTGTGAAGTCACAGCTCTTAAGAGAAGGAATCTGAAGAAGCCTCTCTGGTCTGATCCCTGAGAACTCAACCAAACCTCCAACACCTTTACATGAGTTTCCAACGTTTCTAACAAAAGCCATTGTGTTGCCTGAGAGTAAACCGGAGAGTGCTTTTGAACCGGGTTGACGACCTAACCGGGGTGGGATTTCACCGGTTAAGTGGTTTGTGTTAAGATCAAGCCAAACCAGAGTTGTGCATTTTCCTAGCTCCGGTGGGATTTCTCCGGTGAAATTGTTGTTTCCGAGCTGAAGAACAGCTAACCGGGAAAGGATTCCGAAATCTTTAGGGACTTCTCCGGTTAATCTGTTGCTTGTGAATGAGATCCATTCGATGTTGCTGCAATTGAAAAACTCCGGTGGGATTTCTCCGGTGAGTTGATTGTTGTTGAGGATTAAATCTTTGAGGTTTTGTAGTTTTCCGATCTCCGGTGGGATTTTTCCGGCGAGGTTGTTGTACCAAGCGATGAATTGCTCGAGTTTCTGGAGGTTTCCGATCTCCGGTGGGATTGTACCGTTGAGATAATTGAGACTGAGATCAATCGTTCGAAGCTCCGAGCACTGAGATATCGCCGGAGGAATCTCTCCGGTGACGAGATTATCCGGGATTCTTAACTCTTCTAGTGAAGCTGCTCCGGGACATAAATCCGGCGGAATCACACCGGAGAATCGATTCGAGCTGAAATCAGCGATTCTCAAGCTCTTACAAGCAGAGATTGAAGTCGGAAACTCACCGGAGATTAAGTTGTTGCTGAGAAGCAAGATTTGAAGAGATCCAAAACTCCGGAGGATAGTGTTCGGAAACGGACCGGAGATGTTGTTGTTGGAAAGGTCAAGACTTTGTAGCCAAGAACAAGAAGACAACGACTCAGGGATCACACCAGTGAAGTTATTGTAAGAAAGCCGGAGGTTTTGTAATGACCGGCAAGTGTCTCCGATCTCCGGTGGGATCCAACCCGTGAGTCGATTATGCGAAAGATCCAAACTTTGTAAGAGTTTTAGCTCACCGAAAGATTTTGGAATCTGCCCATCGAAGTTGTTGTAAGAAAGATTCAAGCTTTTGAGGTTGGTGCAGTTGATGAGTGAGTCAGGGATATAGCCGGAGATACTGTTACCGGAGAAATCAAGAAACGATAAAGAGACGCAAGAAGAGAGAGGAATGGTTAAACCGGAGATTGAACCGGTAATGTTGTTGTAAGAAAGATCAAGGGTTTGGAGTTTCTTGCTGCTTAAGAAAAGATCATTAGGTAACTTTCCGGTGAAGTTATTGTAAGAGAGAGTGATGGAAATAAGATTTGAGTATTTGGAGAAGAAATTTTCAGGGAGGATTCCTATTAAACCGGAGGAAGAGAGTTCGAGGAGAGTTAGGCTTAAGGGAAGAAGAAGAAGAGAGGTTGAGTTTAAAACAAAAAAGTTCTCTGAGAGTTTGAGAACAGAGAGAGAATCAAGAGAGGTAAAAGCATTGAAGGAGACGATTCCGGAGAGGCCACTACCGGAGAGATTAATCTCGGTGACTCTTCCTCCAAGACAAGTGACACCGGAGAATTGACAAGGCGATTTACGAGGTGTCCAGTTTGAGAGAATGTTGTTTGGATCGTCTTGGATCATTGATTTGAAAGAGAGGAGTGATAATGAGTCGGTTTTGAGTGAAGATTGGTCGGAGGATGAAGATAGAGAAAAATGGGTGAGGAGGAAGATGAAGGAGATTTGGATCCGAGTCCGGATCCGAACCCGGATTGGTGAAGTAGTCATTGGAGGGAGGTTTTGGGAGTTTGAATGGAGAAGGAGAAGTAAGTAAGTTGAAACATTTAGATGATAAAGAGATTGTTTCTCTTTGAGACGATGCTAAAGCAGAGGAGAGGGAAGAAAAAGGGCTTTTTTGAAGAAAAGAAAAAGCTGCTTTTAGGTAATTTATTAGTTTTTATTGTTGATGCTTATAATTTTTATATCAATTGTGAGACCATCTCCAATGTATTTCCCTATTTTTAGCTCTATCTCTATAATAGAGGTAAGTTTTTTCTATTTTTACTCCAATGTGTTCCTCTATTTTTTCCTCTAAAAAGTTTAACTCTTTATAGAGGAAAAAATAGAGATTCTCTATTCTCACCTCTATATATAGAGAAAAAAATAGAGATCTCTATTTTAGAGGTGAAAATAGAGGTGGGTTGGAGCAAATTTGCCTCTAAAATAGAGTTTAGAGGCAAATATAGAGGTGGGTTGGAGATGCTCTGAGAGAGATTAACATCTTTATCGAATCGTTTTTTTTTTTTATAAATGATTTTTTAATGTTTAATATTAATCTTATGATTTTGTGGAATTGTGATCATGACATATAGTGATTTGTATAAGGTGACATTAATCTAATAGAATACATGTTGTTGATAAACAAAAATTGTGTTGTTCAAAAAAAAATGTAAGGTAAATTTTTAAAATAAAACTAGGGACTATACTAATATTTAGAAAAACAGTTTTTCAATTTTATTGATTTTTATTTCATTTTAGTCCCATATCTATTTGTTTCTAATGATTTCACAATTTTAATCCATTACCTTTCCAAGTGGGGATTTTGAACCTTTAAAGAATTATGATCACTGCTAAATATCAAAATGGAAATTGTTTCTATGAGATCTTTTAACCATTTTCAATGAAGAAAAAAGTGTAGTACTATACACTTCCATTTAGAAATTTAGCTATATAGTACACTATTGTATAATATGTCTTAAAATTATTTAAATCTTAGATGACAATCAATATGAATATAGTTAGTGATATGGTGACAAATCACTAATAAAAACGAACATAATAGAAATCCTAGTCTATATTCTATAATCACATCAAGTTTGGAATTTTGGGAGAATTTTTTTATTTTTAATTTTAATACTTTATTTGACCAAAAAAAAAAACCTTTTATATGTTGAGGTGTTTGGAAATTGTCTTGAATAATTTTGATAGAAATTATTGCAAAACTGATATAATACACTATATTTCATATGGTGAGGTTTGTGGTCAAAATAATTGGGACCCAATTTAGTCATAATATGCATCGCATATGAAATATTTTTTTGTAAATTTGGTTGATCCAATGTTCACTGTCGAGGCAGAGGCGTGGGGGAATGAACAGAACTGTGACTTTACAAATTACAATAACAAACTTTATGGTATAACCATAATGTTGCTCACTTCTTTTTACATTTTTATGTGCTTTTAATTAGTTTAGTATCATATTATATGCCATAGATGAGCCTTTATATCATGTTCCAAGTCACACACTCCATCCTTTTCATCATTACGCTGCCCTCTTCCACCAAGTTTATGAGTAGATTTCTATGAATTAAGCAAAATACTAGCTTTGATTATTTCATCCAACAAAAAGAGATGCTATTTTGCTAAGTTCATTGATAAATAATCACAAGTCATATTTTTTTAACGTTTCAATTGGTTATACTCTAGCTACCATTCAATTGCACAAGAGACTATTTCTTTAAGATCAATAGTTTCTAGTAAGAAATAATTATTCTTAGAACATTTTTCCATTACAATTAATAGTGCAAATCTTATCACCTATAGTGTGATTTTGTGTGGTATAATAAATCTTTATTGATTCTTTTTAATAAACAAAGGACCGAATAGTGGAGAGTAATAGTGAAAAAGGCCCACAAAAGAAACAACATCAATTAGCTCGTGGTTTAGTGGCATGAGAGGTTATGATTCCTTTGGCCCCAATATTTTTTAAATACTTCTTTTCACTACCACTAATTCTTATATATCTGTTTTGTATGAATTTTGTTCAGTATTCATTCTCTTGAACGTCAGTTTATTTGACCGCTCAATAAGTAATACCAATCGATATCAGACTAAATTCCAACTTAGTATGAGTAATACATATAGTACAAAGATTGACTTGTCCCCATAAAGAATCAACATTAAAAAAACATTCGCTAAATCGTTTTAATTATTTTTCATTCAAAGTGTATAGTATTTGAATTCTATTTGCATTCGAGTATTAGTATGGATTAACTAAATCTTTTATGTATCTACGAATGAATAAGTTTGAGCATTCAAGTTGGTTTAATTGTGTGTTGTTTGAATATTCATTCAAGTAAACTCACATCTCCATCGCTACCTTTTTATATCCGACCATTCTAGTTTTGAACATTTGCTTCCGTCGATTAAATCATTGGATGAATTCCCGTGTTTGCACCATACATTTAATACATTTTGGGGCTTCCATAAAGTTTACGAGATCTTAATAGCAAGATTTTGTCTTTATTAAAGAGAAACAATCCAAAATAGGAATAGTAGTTATTGACGGAAAAAAAAAGGAATAGTAGTTGTTGATTATTTTTTATAATCAAAAAATAAAATTTACGAAAATTTTGTGGCTTCTCTTTAATTTGTCGATATGTGATGTCTTGTTTAGGTTCTCTAAGATATTAACGTCAAAACTTAGGAGCGCTACACAATGTTTTATAGATTTCTAATGAACAACAACAAGGTTAAAAATCCAGAAAGATAAATTATGATCAACAATGTGCATGATGCGGATGTAAGAAGAGAATCTTAAATCACTTAAATATCTGCGAACACAATGGCATTGGGATACTTTTTTGATCTTGTTAAAAAAAAAATCATGATCATGAAGTCTTAAATGTACATAATCACTAGAAATAGTTTTTCTTTAGATTATTTGGATTGTTTGGAGAGCTCGTAATGACAACGATATTCAAAGATCTCAAACGGAAATTGCCATATATTTTATATAATGCGGAAAGAGAGGTTTTAATTAGGCTTTTTCTTATGTAGGTGTTGCAACTCAAACTTGAATTTCCAAACCTTTATTTGATTTTGAATCAAAGTTTTCTTGTTGAAAAAAATAACTAATACATATATGTAAATGCAAATAAGACATTATATATATACCTGTATTGATAATTTTGTATACACACACGATCAAAAGTACTAATTACTCCTTAAAAGTATCATGTATTGATATATATATGTTAACAGGCACATTTACACGTCAACCTATAATAAATTAATGAAAGAGATTGTATATTGTTCTTTCTAAAATCTTTAAAAATATATAAACATGCTACTGTCTCGGTGGTACAAATCATTAGTGTATTATATAATCTTAAATCCCGGTAGCGTCACACATTTATTTGAGATCTGATAAAAAGTATTGTTAACAATGCAATGATAAAAATTTAGATACTGTGATAGCCAATAGAGCTGGTGGTTCTCACCTAACCCTTGTTTCTTAGGCATGAAATGTTAGACTTCCCAATGTGTGATAAAAACTTATTGTGATAAAAAAAAAGTGAATTCAATAGTAGGACTCTTTGATCATAGTTGTGATTTTTGGTCTTTGACAAAAAAAAAAAAAAAAAAAAAAGTTGTGATTTTTGGTTTTGTGTTCCTTCTTTGTCTAATTGTTATGACCATTGAAGCTCTATGTAGTGCCGTAGTTGGAGAAATGTTTCAGCCTAATTTAAGTTGAGAATGAGATTTTGAGAATTTGACAGTAGCCACTAAACCTAATCAACTAATATTTAGATCCAATAAATTTAAAATGTAGTGGAGAAATCATTATTTTTCAAATGTGTAAAAGTCAATGGTCAACCAAGCATGACTTGAAGTTCAAATGATTAAAAAAACTATTTGAATAATCATTGTTGATTTAAATCATAGGTTCAGGTCAATAATAATTGGATAATATCTTTGAGAATGGAGACAAAATGATAATATATATGATGTGAACTTATGTCAAATTTTTATACCAAAGAAAAATGTTGTATACCAGTCAAAAGCTAGAGGCAAAAATATGTACGCATTAGGTATTATATCATGTTATGCTCTAGATAATAACATTTCAAAAGAAAAAAAAAATTGTGGCTACACCATTATCTTAAAAGAAAAAAAAAAGATAATGGTGATTAAATTAATTTAGCCATTTTTATTAGTACTAGTGACATGCTAATGTGATTCAGAAAAAGAATTGTCAATTAATTCGATGAAAACATGCCTTTATGCATAACCGTAACAAATTGAGGTACTCCCTCCGTTTTCGAATATTTGTCGTTTTAGAATTTTTTTTTTGTTTTTAATTAGTTGTCGTTTTCAGTTTTCGATACAAAATTTATTACTTTTTTATTTTTTCTATTTATTTTTATTATGCAACTTGATTTACTATTGGTTAAATTATGTTTAGGTATATAATTAATGATATTTTTATATTGAAAAACTAACGACATTAATAGTTTCTTAATTTGTGTGCATATAGTTAAAACGACAACTATTCGAAAACGGAGGGAGTATAGGCTTTCAATTAATTCTAATCATTCAAAAACCTAGTCAATCTGATTAAATACAATGAGTAAATTGTATGACATGGGTAGGTTTAAATTTTGAAAGAATTTGTAATATCATAACTTAATCAAACTGCATGGATCATTTAGTGTTTCAGATTTCGACATAGAATGTTTAACATGATGGGAACAGTAAAACGAAAGGATTTACTCATTAATAATCTAGTTTAAAAAAGAAGAAGTAATTGGGTTAGATTTTGTCAAAAAGAAATGTTTGATTCATATCCTTTTTTTTCTTTTCCAACCACACATGTTAGATTCACATCACCAAAGATTGAAATATTTGTTTGTTATTTACTTGTTTTGTAAAATGTTTTAAGGGTGATTTGCAAAAGTAGCCTATTTTGATAAACTATTTAAGGATATAACACCATAAAATCAAAAATTAAGTAAGTAACATCTTAAGAAGATGAAATGTCCATAAACTCCCTACACTCAAACTCAGCCTTTGGACACGCTGGAGAATATGGGCTGACGTGGATTAGGAGCACCTTTCCTTTTTTCTTTATTCTTTTTCTTTTTTTGGATGGTATTTGTACCCCATTATATTTTCTTGCTAAAAACTTTTTAAAAGTTAACTTATTCAAACTCTCAACTATTTAAAAAAAAAACTAGATTTTTCTGAATATGATGTGATTTGAATTTTTGGAAATTTTTACAAACTAGAAAAACGGTACAACAAGTAAAATGTTTTGGTGTATTTAGAACATACAAAATGAAATGGTATAGACATATAAAAAACCAGAGCAAAATACTAATAATTTACAAACTCAAATACTGTATTTTCGCCAATAAAAACACCCTTATCATGACAATGACATACAACATCATAGTTATACTTAATCAAAACAAACAATTCAATATAAATAGTACAACGGAAATGTAAATTCTACGTTCACAAAATAGAATAGTATAAAAATTACAAGTAAAATAGAATACTATCTCTCACAAATCTCCCCAAACCAAAATGACTAATAGGGAATCTCCAATAGAGTTTTGTTAATCCTATTTATCACGAGAAATTTCCCAATTAACTAAACCATGTCTCTAAGATTCACTTTCGTAAACTAATTGCTCATTGGCATCAAAATTGAGAACCTCATGTGTGAAACTGATGTAAGATCCTATGCAACATCTATGTATCTCACCGCCGCCATTGAAACTCAATCACAAAGAAAGATAAATAAACATTACCTTCTCCATTGACTATACTATGGCTAATCGACAGTTTAAATAGACAAACAAATCGAAAATCGATTGTATTGGTCTGTTTGTTTTTATGATAAAAATTAATGAAATTACAGAGACATTTTCTGGGCAAATCAAATAAGTTGGAATCTTTCATGGACTATACATTGATGGCCAGGATATGGGCGATGATCCGTTGGGGATTCCATGGCCTTGGTGATGCAAACGGATTTGGCGAAGAGATGTAAGTGAGTTGGGTAACCAATTAGATTCACTAGTGAAGCCGTGAACGAAAACGACAATACCGATTGGACGTGCGAGACCAAGTCGATCCCAACTGTTGCTGGATTGATCAAAATCATCGGAAGTAAAGTGACGGCATATCGATGACAGTGATACAAATGGATTTAGGATTTTCAATGGGTAGCAAAGAATAGGAAGAAGAGATCCTTGGTGAAGCTACATAATCTAGCATTTGTGGCAGATGAAGAAGGGAGAATCGAGTGGAAGAAACAATGTGTTAGGCAACAAATAGAGGAGAGATAAGCAACATATAGAGCCATAGAGGAGAAAAAAAAAGGGTGTGCATTTTACACAGGGCAAAACTGTCATTAATACAGAAAATACATAGAATATCAACTCTTTTTTTGTTTGATGTTAGTTTCTTAATTTATAAATTTTTGTTGCTTATTTATGCAAATTTCCCTTTGTTTTAATGTATTATTCATGTTAAAAAAGTTATTTTTGACGGGAGGCTCGAGAGAGAGGGACCAAAGATGTCGTGAATGGCACGCGTTTCTTTATCCACTTTTTTCTTTTTACACTGTGTTCAAATGATTGGTGAGTACTCTGTTTTTGTTTCCTGTTAAATTCTTGTCAAAACATTCTGCTTTTTAACTTTTTTACTGAAAACAGTAAACACTCTCTCTTTTTGCACACGTGGCATAGTTACTACCATGCAATTTATTTTAATTTTGAATAACTTTTACATACATATGTTATATAGATTTGTCAAATTTAAAAGAACCTTTGTTTGTGTTAAGAATTGACCAAGTGTGAAAAGTATTTTAGGTGTTGGCCCGTCAAAGCGATATCATAATTATTATCATCGATCCCAAAGATGTGATTTTTTAAAAAAATAGAATCAAAACTTAAAATGATGATTTCGATCATCCCTAATATTCCCTATAAACAAGCACGCCTGTCTTTTTTGTTTAGTCTTCTACATAACATCAGATTGTTGTTTAATGGGCTTTAAGGCCAATTACGATACGGCCTAAACCAACGATCAAAACCGGCCCACAATTACTTGTGAATTTTCTTTTGGGATGAATTTTCCACGTGTCAGTAATTGATTGCATAAGTAACTTGTATACAGGAATTCTTTTTGGGATAAATACTCGTATACATACGAAAATCAAATCAGTCCTTAAAGTTGTCCAATAATGAAGTCACAAAGCCAAAAGTCATGGAATCTAGTCGCCGGAATCTTCTTTCCGATCATCACTTTTATTCTCTCAGCTCCTCTCGTCGGCCACTCCTTGTATCTCTTCTGCATGCGTAACGACCACGTTTACTACCGAAGCAGCTTCCAAAGTATGTCACGTGTACAGACACTCGTCAGCGTCTCTCTCCTAGCCTTGTTCCTCCTTAGCAACATCGCTATGTTTCTCCGACCACGACGGCTTAGCTACTTTCTAGTTATTGTCTTCTTCGTCGGCTTTGCTTACTCCGGTGTGTACAAGATGGAAAGCCGGCGGTTTTCTCCGACTCCAATGTGGTTCAAGGGAGAACATAGAAATGGACAACGTAAGTCAGAAGAATATCAAGTGGTTAAGATTGAACAAAGTCAAGGACGCTTGCAAAGAGTTCACTTGCGGTTTGTCGATAGCTATGACTTGCCACCGTATGATAGAAGATTGTTACCATCCGTTAAGGTACTTACGAATCAATTAATCCTTTTCTAGAATAATTAAGTACTTAGATATTTATCAAATCTAATATAGGTATCAGTTTGTTACAATCTTAGATGGGATTTAGATATATATATGCCTTTGATTTTATAAAATTATTTTAGTTCGATTTTTATACATTTTCAGTTCGGTTCGATCATAGATTTTTAGGTAGAGAGAATAAAAAATAATTTAACCAAATAAAGATTTGATTAGTTTGGTTTTCAGAATTAATCCAAATTAGTAGTCATCCTTATTCATATATATCTTGAAATGAAGAAGTTTGTTATGTTCGAATGTGTATGCAGTATGCTTCTGGTTTTCTACAATCTAAGTGCATTTTTCACAACAATTTTCTGTTTTATACATCTTAATATATATTGATTTTACACTTTCACTTTAAAATATGATGTAGGTCTTGAATGGTATAGTTTTTTTAAAAAATGTTGGTTTTTGTTTTCCAAAAACTTTTATTTATTTATATATCCAATTTGCAATTTGTTTTTTAACATTTGAAGCCGTGATATGCAAGGCTTAATACTAGTACTAAACCCTAATAAGATATGACGAAAGAGAAAACCATTATTTATATATTATTAAAAAAAAGTCATAATCTTTTTGTTGTTGTTGTTGTTTAGACTGGATGCTGCAATCGGCCAGGGAGTTGCAAGCTAGAGACGGTCAACGCAACATTGTGGGTTACAAGAACTCATGAAGGACCACCGTTGGAAACGGCAATGATCTACGGTCGTTACAGTGGCAATGCAGACATAAGAGATTATTACGATATGTGGAGACACGAGTTAAGTGTGTTGTACTATGATTGCATGACTTGTCAGGTCAGGATCATTAAGTCTCCACGCCTGCGCAAATGGTGGCACTTCGGTGTTTTCTTATCATCCCTCACTTCTTTGTTTAGATAGATCACAAAAACATATTTCTCATATGATTATAATCGAAAGATTAGCTTTTGATTTAGGGTTTTGGATTGTGTTTTTCTCACTTCTTTAGTGGATTTGTGTATTATATACTCTTTTGTTATCCAAGGCAAAAAAAATAAAATATATAACCGGTATTTTCGTCTTTAGAATATATAAAAAAGAACATAGTTTCGTCTATAAATCATATCACAGAAAACAAACTGCCACAAAACATTATAACAAAAGGAAAGAAAAAGCTTAAGCACCAACAGTTTTAAGAAAAAGATTATCATCTTCTTTGTTCTACCAAAAATCGTAAGGGAAGGTGGATTGGCAGCAACAGTTTTACTCGCATTTAATCGACCGGTAAATGTGGCGGACGAAGAGGAGAGCAGCGCGGAAGCCAACAGTTCCAAGCATGAGGAAGAAACCGTAACAAATGCAAGCCATGTAACCGAAGAAGAAGGATGTTTGCATGAAACCGGACATGTCTGATCTTGCGTAGTAATAGTATAAGCAGTACGCATAGATGAACAGACCAGTAGATCCACCGCATAGGAATGATCTGCAATAAAGAATATTAATAACTATAACAATGTAGCTTTATTATCACCAATCCAATTCGAATTTAAAATCTACGGAAGGATTTAGTAAATGTGCCTATCAGGTTTAACCGAAACCCTACCTAAGAAACCAGTCCGAAACGAGTATATAAAAGAAAAACCGATTGTGACTCGAAACACAAACCATAGCAAATCTAAGCTATTTGTATTCGGTATTACCATTTGGTTTCTATATTCCATATATCAAAAACCGAAATGAAAACCAGATTGGGTGGAAAAATTTACCTCCACCACCATTCATGATCTTCAGCAGCGAGTTGGAAGTAAGTAAGGGCAACTGTTATAAAAGCAGTGACGATCAACAGGATGATGAAGACGATGAAGAGGATGCTGTAAATGGTGTAGATACGATGGCCCCAAACACTGGCAAATATGTAATATAGCTCAATGTAGATGGCACTGAAAGGAAGAAATCCGGCCATGGCCATCTGAGGTATAGCACTCCTGTACCATGGGAGTGGCGGGATCTCCCGAGGATACTTAGTGGTGCGGACTGGTGCTTGGAACTCAGCTTTGCTGTTTTTACCGGCAATACCACCCAACACAAGTAAAGGCGAAGTAACTAGTGTCCATATGAGGACGATCACTACAATGGTTCCAAAGGGAAGAGCGGCAGTTGCACTGTAGGCAATTGCAACTGTGTTTAGGAAGCAGAAGGTGAGGAATAGTGGGCCACAGAAGAGACCTCCCGTGAGCAGCAAATTTCTCACCTGCAAAGGAAGAACAGTGAGAAATGAAAAGCTTATCACTTTATGTTGAAAAGAGTTAAGGGAAAGGGTTTACATACCCAATTCTTTCCTTCGAGTTGACAGTAGAAGGAGGAGGCAGTGTATCCGGCAATTCCAGATGTGAGGGCGTAGATAACGACCAAAGCGGTGAAGAGTGCTCCACGGTTGTATGGATAGAACACTCCAACAAGTGAAAGCATGAAAATGAAGATGGTCCTGATGACATATGAGGTATATTACAGTTGGTAATGATGGCAAAAAATAACTAAAGATAAACGAAGGAAGCTGAAAAGAGACTTACAGAGTGAACAACTGGGTACCACTACCGAGAGATGCAGCAAAGAGAGATTTGTGCTTTGGGAAACGGAAGACATCTCCGTGAATGTATTTCCATCCAGTTTCCTCTTGATCATCAGCAGCTTCCTCATCTTGAGCATACCTTTGAAAGTTGGGGAAAAAGTTAATATTTGGAAACAAAAGTGGGCATCGATGAGTCAAGCGCGAAGAGTAACAAGTTAGCATTCAAAACTTACTTCATGAAATCATTCTTGAGAACCCGCATCAAGATGGTTGCAAGGAAACCAGTCAAAAGGAGGACAGTGACGCAGGAGTTAATAATGGAGAACCAGTGGATTTCCAAGTGATGTGGAAGAGAAGAAGACATAGCATACTTGTCCATTCTTTTCTCAAAAGGAGTCTCAGTTTCCTTCCACTTCACAGTGTACATAAACTCAGCAACGACTTCCTTATCCTCAGTAAGATCCACAAGCGAATGAGGATCCATTCTAGCATTGATTTCAATCACTCTATCCTTATTGTACAAAATCTCAAACTGAATGTGCTTGTAGAGGAAATATTTGAACTCGCTCGGATCAGATTTGCTTTCTTTGTCAACTTTTCCAATAAATCCCCAGATAGGCAAATCATCATAATACATCTGAAAGTAATAATCTTTTTCAACAGCTCTTCGAAACTGTTCGACTTCTTCTCTGCTAAGCTTCTTTTTGCAGTAAACATCTGAGTCTTTCTCCTCTCTAAAGTTAAGCTTGTATGGAGCACTAACAAGCCTATCCCCATTCAAAACCTCACCAAGAGCTTCCTTCTTATCTTTTACACCCTCTACACAAACCAAAAACAATCATATGACACCAAAATACACAAATCTGAAAAAAAGAGTGAAAAATTCACATAACAGAGACAACATTGAGCTTATTTCGCATTCCATTTCCAATTTTAGCTAGATACAAAAGCGTGCTCGTACCTGGAATACAAAATGGGAGATCGAAATAGCGATACGTCTCACTGCGAAAATCATCAAACACAAGTTAAATCAGCCATATAACAATGAAATCGAAGATCTATCACAACAACTCTTGAATTATATCACACATTTTAGAACACGAATCGAATTTTCCAAGGTCAGATACCAAATTCGATACAATCGCAGCTTCTAAAGCGATCAATTTATCACTCATCAAAGAGAATCACAGATCTAAGCAACAAAGCTACCGACACGGAACTAGATTAGAATTCGATTTACCTGGGATTGTGAAACGGACCGACTTTGTTGGCGTAGAGAGGAACGGAGTCGCCATCCTTGTAACGGTGGTCGGAAGCATCGGATCTGACATTTCCGGCGCCGGAGAAGATGAGAGCTCCGATGAAGAGGAGCAACGACGTTGGTAATCTCATGATGGTGTGTTTATGTGAGGGAAGAAGATCGTGAGATCTGAGTTTGATTTTATTTTGTGAGCAACGCTTATGGCAAAAGGACGATAATAATATTTTTATTTATTTATTTATCTCATTTTTTTTTTCTTTTTAACGAATTTTCTTCTACAAAATAAGAAAATATTGCGATAAAAAAGCGTTATGTAAGAAAAATAAAATTACAAATTTCCTGCAACATTCTGATATTTTTAAGTACTTTTCAACTGATTCATTCATTATATTTTATTTTTGGTTATTTTTCTAAAATTTATGTATTAATTGAAGTTTCAAAGGAACTTGTGAATGGTAGATAAAAGGTAGCAATTTTCTATTTGGTAGGGTGATTCTCTCGTTCTTGTGTTTTCTTTAGAGAGTCAATTTCTACTCTTTATAGGGGTTTTATGGCATTCCATGTGACTATAACAATCATTTGTAATGTTCTTTTTTACTCTTTAACAAAATCATGATTAAAAAGTACAGCAAACCAGTTCTGATGAAGAAATATGGCAAGTGAAGGCAGTTCCTTAATGGCACTAATCTTAAACTAGAGATTAAAATATCCAAGGGTTCCTGTGAATCAGGGGGTTTAGCCTTTAGATTTGAGGAGTTTCAGTCTCCAGCTTAGGCTTAACACCTCCTTTGAGTAGGACTCCTTAGCTCGTGAGCATAAGTGGCATTAGATAAAAGATAGTTACTAACCTTCAGTAATGGCGTTTTGGGCTTCTTCTCACCTACAATGAGTCAGATGTGTGTTTTTCAGTACTCGGAATTCTATATTAACGACTCTTACAACAGAACCATGACACTCTCATAAAATGTGAATGCCAACTTCATGAAACTAATCACAAAATAATGCTAAGACTTACCAAGAAATCATACCTTGACTATATTTCTTTGAAGAATTGTTTGAACTCATCGGCTTTCTTATATTTGGGATAAACGACCTTGTATACCTCCATAAACAGCTTAGGGAACAAACCATCAAAGTATATGTAAACCCCATCTGGAAAAAATATTCAAAACATTTAATTTAGTGCAAGTATTTAAAATATTTGTTTAAGTGGACAAATGATTAGTTTAAGAGAGCAAACCTTGATGTCTTTTGGAAGTCGACCATAGTGATGTTGAGTGTTTCTTATCACCCTTAATAAATCACTAATCTTGGCATAATTGTAATCTTTCATCGTTTGTACGTAGCTAGTCATTGAAGCGTTCGCGTGCCTTGCACTGTATTTGTTGTTGTGATCTAAGAAGATATCATCTACCTTACCATCCCAACTAGTATCTCCTATAGCCGCATCCAGTTCAGTTGACAAGAGCCAATTAACCTCAACAGCATAGTCACTAACCTTCATGAAGAAATCAAGCTTCACATCATAATTCCAAAAAAAGGGGTGAAGAAGCACTTGACTAGCGATCAGACTGCAAATCAAGAGTACATATTAGCAAAGAATTAGCTGAGTCAAAATTGAATCGAGATTGGAAATTTCATTACCGAGAATTAGGTTCGGAGTCCACCAAATGTTGGATCAGGTCATAAGCTTCGGGAAAGTTTTGTATTGGACGTAAATCACAGTTATTTCTCCGAATGTTGGCTTTACGCTTGTTAACCGCTCCAAATGGATGTTTGCCCGAAGATATAACGTAAAACATTATACATCCTAGGGCAAACATGTCAACTGCCGTGGTTTCCTTCTCATTTTCAAATTGCTCTCGTGGTTGGAAACCCGGACTCCTCTCACCTGCAATTTTTACAGAGGCGTTTTTAAAAATGGTTTGAAAACTCAATCACGTGCAGACAATTATGACAGGTCATTTAGTATATCAAATCAATACAAGTGATAAGAAAACACAAAAACCTCTGGCATGGTGACTCAACAATGGTGCCGCTTTAATCCTAGCAATGCCCATGTTGCCTATTTTCGCAATTAGGGTCTTCCCAGCATGCACAATCATCACGTTCTCCGGCCTCAAGTCTCGATGAATTATATCTAGGCTGTGCAAATGTTCAAGACCTAAAACAACATCTCAAACAGTCCAACAAATGTAAGTATAAAATTAATCGAAATGTAAATTAGAAAACATTATCTCTACATCAAATCTAAATTCCAAATTTACCTGATGAGACTTATCAAGTGTGTTGACGGAGCGCCGGTTGTTGTCCACAAGTTTTGTATTCCTAAATAAACTAATTCACTGTCTGGTGAATTTTTTTTTCCAAAATTCAGAAATGAAGTAACGGATTATGTTGGGGTGATAATCCGCTGAAATGAGGACTGCGATCTCGTTTTCCATTTCCTCAGATCGCAGTCCACATTTTATGAAAACAAGACGACGATTCTCTAAGAAACCTTCAACAACTGCCGAGTCATCTCTTTGTTCTATAACCTTTTCTGATAAGGACAAACACTTGTCCTATTCCAAGCTTTTCTGAATAAATCTTTGGGAGGCAACCTATCAGAAGCTTCAAAGAAATCTAAGCAATCTACATAGGGCTCGAATCTCTTCTTTGCCTTGGGGAATGCAGCAGGTGGCTCAGAAAGTATTTTCTTTTTCTTTTTCTGTTTTTTTGGTTTATTAGCCACAATCAGTTTTGGGTCTGGCAGCGAGGTGGATTCCGGTCCATAGAAAGTATATCAAAGGCGAGACACAAACAAATAGCAGAACTACTATCCAAAGATATGTAACAAAGTTTGTTGCCCCCCTTGATTCAACCTTTTCAGGTTCACTATCGGAAAACAAAAAAAAATCAAAAACATCAATTGACCACAATATGTTGGAAACTAAACTGAATTTGATATTCGAAAGAAAAGAGGACTCACTGGATTGCTTCAGCTTTCAACAAATACAAAAGATTGAAGACGAAGCAGCATCTCCGCCCAAGGTTGGTCATCCACTTGACTCTTGTAGGTACATGTTTAACTTTGTTTGCAGCCAGCAGCTCACCAACGCCTTCCATTAATATGCCTGCAAGCCAATAAAACCCCATTACTATTTATCCCATTAAGGCAAGGAGATTAAGGAGCCTGCATGACATCGTAACTCATCATCACCTAGTGATCTTGTCCATTGTACAGCTTGCATTGAGTGTAGTTTGGCCTGCACAGCAAGTGTACCGTGTCTTTGTAAGTCAAACCAACAGATTTATCCTGAAAGAGTACATAGATCACTTCGGTTGAATTACAAACCTTAAATGCTTCATGTTTCTCCTTTAGATCAATTTTGCCATGTATTGCTTTTCCCTGTAAAATTTAAATTAAATTAAATAAATATATATTAAACAAACATAAATTGATTGTTCCATCATTTTTTATAGCTTTGCAAACAGAAAAGTTAGTTTGGAGGTTTAAAGTGTTAGTAAAACAATCTTGGTGGTTTATAGTGTTAGTAGAATTCTTTCGAGGTTTAAAGTGCTTCCCAGTTACACTTTGAGGGTTAAAAATGTGATTTTCCCTAAAATCATATATATAAAAGTTGGTCAAGTCTCTCCATATGAGTGACACATCATCACACAAAAAAATAACATATGTCATTCAACATTATTTAAATTAAAAATCAGCAAAATTAATTGAGAGAAAATCAAAAGTCTCTTAAATCCTCCATTAATCCATTTCTTAAATGATTTCTTCAAAATAAAAATAAAATTATAAAATTATTTTAATAAATCAATTACTACTTTCATTTTTTTTTTCTATTTTTTTTAAATTGAATGGTCAATGATCATCACTCGATAATGACTAAATAATTATTTGTGTTGTAGTTTAGTTGTTTGCTACCTAATATCTTATTAGTTTATTAATTTTAACTTGAATATGTTTTTATTATTATAGGTTGTTTGCTACCTAATATTTTTTTAGTAGTTTTATTACCTACCTAATATTTTTTTACGTTATGGTTCATATCATATCATATGACATTCTCTCTTTTCATTTTTGTATCTTATGGTAAGTTCGTAACATTGACATGCAAAATTTTTCAAGTAATAGGCTTTTGAGACGTTAGATATACCACAAAATTCAAGACAAATCCATTTCTCTTATATGCCTATATGCAATAGCATAAAATCTAAAAGTGTTACTTAAATAACTCTTTAACTTTTGCTTTCTTTTTCTTCTTATTATACGAAAAATCTTGAGATCAAAATATCTTATATTTTTATTGTGTGTATTCATGATAATGAACAAATATTAGAATCTTAGATATAAAAATAATCAGATTATACATGAAAATATATAAATTGATATTTAGAGTCAAAAACGAATCTAACAATAAAAATTGTAAGTACATAAGATGAGTCTTATTTTATTAAGTATACAATAACAAACAAAAATAAACATAAATTAGTGACAAAAACAATTAACATATTTTTATCTTAACAATTATCTAGTTCTCCATGATAGGCTTTCTAATGATCTTTTTCCCCCGTTAAATAGTACAAGGGTGATAGATAACTAACGCCTAACGGGCTTATTCATTTCAATATGAGACAAAGGCCCAAACTTCAAATAACTCCCCGTATTATTTTGGGACCTTTATCGGACCAATTACACTACACACCTATGTGTTTTCTATGTCACCGGTATCAACTATCAAGTATCGTTATGGTTTTTTTTTTTTTAAAACTATATGTTTATTTGCAAGCTTCTGTTATATTATATGCTTTATGATGATGAAAAAAAAAAGTTGTATAAACAAACTACGCCAAAAAATGAAGAGTTCAGATGCATAATCTTTTGGACATACTTGATTGGATCTAATTGGTAGATCCATTTGACTTAACTAATTTATACCCTTATCTTAGACAAACGAAAATATTATAATTAAATTACGGATGTCAGATGATAGTTACTTGAAAACTTAAGTATACAAATTCGATCTGGATTTGACTTACTAGGTTTCAATATTAATTTGATAAAATCTCTATGTCAAATTTGGGATCAAAGGACCCCTACCATTACCAATCAATTTATAAACAAAGCGATCATTATTTTTAAGAAGATTTACATTGACTTGTATTCCTTAATAATTTAGAGTTGAAATCTAACGAACATGCCTTGCCAACACAACTCCCTAACTCCTAGATGATCAAAACAATTGCAAAGACAATATGAACCCACACATATATCGACTAGTGATTCCTCTCCTATATGATGCCAACTTGTTTATGCATAATTATGCATTTGATAATTTTGGGTTGGGGATGTTTTTTCACATATTTTCAAAACCATAAACATGTCAAACTCCACGAAGTGACCACACACACATGTCATATAAAATTAAATAATAAACAAACATGTCCAAAAAGAAAAAAAAAAAAACATAACTATGAAATATGAATCTTTTGGCCTTTTAGGGCCAAACCAGCTTTTCGAATATTATAATTGTCTCGCTTAAATAAGCTTACGAATAAACTCAAGTCGAATAAATTCTTGTACACAAATTAAGCACCCCTTTTCCATCGCGAAGATACCACAGTCACATTCACATCTATATGACATCAATATATAAAATCCAAAATAAACTATATATTATATTTCCATTACTTAATAGTATATAATTCTGGTTCTAATATGCTTTTGCTCAGAAAAAATTATTTTAGATTTGAAGAGTTGGTCGGCTATATTTGTTATAAACATTTTTTTTAATGACTCCGGTTAAAACCAAAAAAAAAAGAAAAATTGTTATAAACAGAATTAATAATAATTTTTAAATTAAACACTATTACTCTAAAATATTATTTAAATCATCACTTTACCATTTTCGTTGGTTTAAATCATGAATTCTGGTGATTTAAATCTTTAATTTTATGTTGATTTTCATTTTAATCATGAATTCTCATTAACAAAGCCAATTGAGGCACATCGCTAACTGGCTAAACGGATTAATAAGACAATGTCATCGCATAACTGTCACTTCGAAGCCATCACATAATTTTTCTTCTACACCAACATGGTTTCCATTTTTCTCTTCGTTCGATTGCTCCGTTTAGCCAGTTAACGATGTGTCTCAATTGGCTTAGTCAACGAGAATTCGTGATGAAATTAAAAGTCAACATAAAATTGAAGATTTAAATCATCAGATTTACATAAAATAAGGATTTAAATTACAAGCTCTACCGTTTATGCCTTAAACCAACGAAAATGACAAATTGATGATTTAAATAATTTAAATGACATTTTTCCCATTACTAACATGACTAGTATACACGTGTGTAAGTATATGTATATAGTAGCTCTATACATATTTAATTCAACTGAAGGAGCATTCTTCTTCTTCATCTCTGTTGTTGTTTTCTCAGGTGATCAAAGAAAATGGCGACTGTAATCGAAGCGACGATGACTTATCGATTTCTGGAGGAAGGGACCGGTTCGTCTTCTTCTTCCAAAGTAGAATCTAGCCCTGTCGACGCCGTTCTCTTCGTCGGAATGTCTTTGGTGCTCGGTATTGCTTCTAGGCATTTGCTTCGTGGAACTAGGGTTCCTTACACCGTCGCTCTTCTCGTTATCGGAATTGCTCTTGGATCTCTCGGTTTGATTCCATGGAATTTGGAAGATTATGTGGTTGTTTAGTCCTGCTTAATTGTTAAATCTGTTGTTTGATGTTTCAGAATATGGAGCCAAACATAACCTTGGAAAAATCGGCCATGGAATTCGTATCTGTAAGTTCTTAGGTTCGTTTTTTTCTTCTCTTCATTGGTGATCTTGTTGGCTTTTTAAACTATAGAATCAATGTTATTGTGTAGGGAATGATATCGATCCAGAACTTCTCTTGGCTGTTTTTCTTCCGGCTCTTCTTTTCGAAAGTTCTTTTTCAATGGAAGTTCACCAAATCAAGGTTTGTTTTCCTCTGGCTCTAACTCCTAGTTAAGCCTAAGATTAAGAGAAATAGGTACTGAATGCTTTGGTTCTTGGGATGAAATTGTTTGCATGATCCTTTAGAGATGTCTAGGACAAATGGTGTTACTTGCTGGCCCTGGAGTTCTTATTTCAACAGCTTGTCTCGGATGGCTTGTGAAGGTATGCATTAGCCTGGTTGGTATTAACTAGCTGTCCTGAAACAAAGAAAGAAAAATCGATCATTATGTTATATAACTATACTTGCTATTTGCAGGTCACGTTTCCGTATGACTGGGATTGGAAAACGTCGTTGTTGCTTGGGGGGCTTTTAAGTGCTACTGACCCGGTCGCTGTTGTTGCTTTGCTAAAGGAGCTTGGTGCTAGTAAGAAGCTAAGCACCATAATTGAAGGGGAATCCCTGATGAATGATGGGTAAATGACTTCAACCTTTGCTTATCTTCTGTCATGGTCTGGTTATTTATGACATTTATGCTCACTCTTCATGATTTTTAACAAAAATTCCAGGACAGCGATTGTTGTTTTCCAGTTATTCTTAAAGATGGTTATGGGGCAAAACTCTGACTGGGGTTCTATAATCAAATTTCTGCTTAAAGTCGCGCTTGGAGCGTATGTCTTGATCTTATCCTCTATTAGTGATATGGAGTTGCTGCTGCGTTCTTAATACTCTAACGTATGGTTCTGTCTATTTAGTGTAGGCATTGGTCTGGCGTTTGGCATTGCATCAGTTATTTGGCTGAAGTTCATATTCAATGACACTGTAATAGAGATTACTCTTACGATTGCAGTGAGCTATTTCGCATACTACACTGTACGTCTTTATGTAGACCTTGAATTCCTGTGCCAAGATCTTATCTTTGTAGTAAAACTTAGAGTTTACTGTGTGACAGGCTCAAGAGTGGGCTGGGGCTTCTGGTGTTTTGACGGTGATGACGTTGGGCATGTAAATTCCACTGATCTCGTTACTTTTTCCCTTTTCTTTTGTTATCATGTAAGAAGTCTCTTCTCATAAAATAACTGTAACAGGTTTTATGCTGCACTTGCAAGGACAGCCTTTAAAGGTGACAGTCAAAAAAGCTTGCATCACTTCTGGTATTTCCAGAACTTGTGGAATTGGACTTGTTTTGTAAATTGTAACTCTATGAAAAAGGGTTGATCTGTGTGATATAAATTTTCCTGGTAACTTGTGCAGGGAAATGGTTGCATATATTGCAAATACTTTGATATTTATCCTCAGGTAAGGGTAAAATTTATAGACTCACTCATACTTGTGCTATCCCCACCCTAAAGTAGAAGCTCATGGGTAGAGAAAAGAGCTGTTTTACTGCAGTCTATTCTTTAGCCTGGTGCTACAATATTGACTGTGTTTCTCATCTTATTTTTGCAGTGGTGTTGTCATTGCTGAAGGCATTCTCGACAGCGATAAGATTGCCTACCAAGGTGCCATTTTTTCCTAGCTAAAGTAAATTATGTGAACATAGTTTGGTCTACAGTTTCTACAGTTCACTGTTAATTGAAGATGAGTCTCACGTCATTACATAGGACTCCCACCTGTTATCATTTTCTTTTGATGTTAAGAAACCTTAGTGTTCATGGTCTTTGGTTCTCGAAGGATCAATAATTCCATAGCGTGAATTAGTCACAAAAATAATAATAAAACTGGCATTATTGGTTTGAGGAAATGTTGAGCAAAAGTTACCACTGTGCTAGGAATGGTACAATTGTATTCTTGTAGAGATATACTGTCCTGGAACCATATCTTTTTTTTTCTGTGGAACCATATCTGCATAAGGAACATGATATACTTGACTTTAGATTTCTTATATATTGTGGATCTAACAACTCTTCATGACCCAAATCTTACAGGGAATTCATGGGGATTTCTTTTTCTGCTATATCTTTACATCCAACTATCGCGTGGTGTTGTTGTCGGAGTTCTATATCCATTGTTATGTCGTTTTGGCTATGGTTTGGATTGGAAAGAATCCATTATACTCGTATGGTCTGGTTTGAGGGGTGCAGTGGCTCTTGCACTTTCTTTATCCGTGAAGGTTAATTTTCAAGAACATCTGTCAAAGTTTGTTCTTATCTCTTAAATTTATGCACAATGTTTTTTCCAGCCACATTGATTCAGTGCTGACTTACCTTACTCGCACTCATTTGATTCAGCAATCAAGCGGAAATTCACATATCAGCAAGGAGACTGGAACATTGGTAAGTTATTCTTAAGATGTTATTGACAGCCTAAATGATTATGCAAAGTATTGTTTTGCTTTCGTCATATTCTCAGTTGTTTTGCAGTTTCTTTTCTTCACGGGTGGAATTGTGTTCCTAACTCTGATAGTTAACGGATCCACTACCCAATTTGTTCTACGCCTTCTTCGCATGGACATTTTACCAGCCCCCAAGGTCATAAACTTCTCTCATAAGTAACTCTTCGACTTTTAAGTAATCATATATATGTGTAAATGACTGCGTCCGCCTACATCTGAGCCTTTGAGCTATATAGTTCAACAGGGTCTGTATGTGCCAGTCCGTAGTGTATACGAAGAAACTTATTACAAATTCTCCACTTTCCTTTGACAGAAACGAATATTGGAATATACAAAGTATGAAATGCTGAATAAGGCCTTACAAGCGTTTCAAGATCTAGGAGATGATGAAGAGCTAGGACCTGCTGACTGGCCTACTGTTGAGAGTTACATTTCAAGCCTAAAAAATTCAGAAGGGGAACTAGTTCATCCTCACAATGGTTCTAAAAGTGGAAATCTTGACCCTAAGAGTTTGAAGGACATACGTATACGGTTCTTAAATGGTAGTTATGATCATATACCTTCCAATATACTATTTTACTTGGCAGATTATTGACACTTTGAAAATTGGATGTGTCAGGTGTGCAAGCAGCTTACTGGGAGATGCTTGATGAGGGCAGAATATCTGAAATTACTGCTAATATTTTGATGCAGTCAGTGGATGAAGCGCTTGATCAGGTTTCTACAACTTTATGTGATTGGAGAGGTCTAAAATCACATGTCAATTTCCCAAATTACTACAACTTTCTTCATTCTAAAATTGTCCCACGCAAGTTGGTCACATACTTTGCTGTCGAAAGACTGGAATCTGCTTGCTACATTTCTGCTGCATTTCTTCGTGCACATACAATTGCACAACAACAATTGTATGATTTTCTAGGTATGTATAATCCAGACTCTGCATCACACTTTGAAAACAATGACTAGAATAAAACTTGTACCGTATGCGAGTGGATCATCATTGATTTATCAGAGTTTTTGGTTGCAAGTATCTCAACTTAGCAAGAACAATACATTAACCCAACCCTAATTTTGTCTAATAGTTATCTTTCTTCTCTACACAGGGGAGAGTAATATTGGTTCCATTGTAATCAATGAAAGTGAAAAGGAAGGAGAGGAAGCGAAAGAGTTCTTGGAAAAAGTCCGATCTTCACTTCCTCAGGTTTAAAGTCTTGTCACTTCTTTTGGGTGACTTATCTTTCCTGCGATGAGGCACATATAATCTTTGATTAACATGCTTTTCAGGTTCTCCGTGTTGTGAAAACAAAACAAGTAACACATTCAGTGTTGAATCATTTACTGGGTTACATTGAAAACCTCGAGAAGGTTGGCTTGTTGGAGGAAAAAGAAATCGCTCATCTTCATGATGCTGTCCAGGTACCAAATTAAAGAATCTCATTCCTTCAACAAATAGTCTTGTCTCTTTTGTCCAATGCTTTTGGTCAAATCTCTCTCTGCAGACCGGCTTGAAAAAGCTTTTGAGAAACCCTCCAATAGTTAAACTTCCAAAATTGAGCGACATGATCACCTCACATCCGTTATCCGTTGCTCTTCCTCCTGCAATATGTGAACCTCTAAAAAACTCAAAAAAAGAACCAATAAAGCTGCGTGGTGTCACGCTTTATAAAGAAGGTTCAAAACCAACTGGAGTCTGGCTTATTTTTGATGGCATTGTTAAGGTAACCCAAAACTTAGCTTTTACTTTTAAGTCAGAATTTTGTAAGATCTGTTACCTTCATCACTGAATGTTATTACAATCTTACAGTGGAAAAGCAAAAGCTTAAGCAACAACCACTCGCTGCATCCAACTTTTTCTCACGGTAGTACATTGGGACTCTACGAAGTCCTCACCGGGAAGCCATATATGTGCGACATGATTACTGATTCTATGGTTCTTTGCTTTTTCATCGATAGCGAAAAAATTCTATCACTACAATCAGATTCTACCACCGATGATTTCCTTTGGCAGGTATGTCTCTATTTTAATCCATTTTAGTGAGACTCGTTTCTTGATTGTTGATTGCTTCAACTTCATTCGGGTTTTTTTTTTTGCAGGAAAGTGCATTGGTTCTTCTGAAACTCTTGCGTCCTCAGATATTTGAAAATGTGGCTATGCAAGAATTACGAGCCCTTGTTTCTACTGAAAGCTCGAAACTGACAACATATGTGACAGGAGAATCAATCGAAATCGACTGTAACAGCATTGGTTTGTTATTAGAAGGATTCGTAAAACCGGTTGGTATCCAAGAAGAGCTTATATCATCTCCCGCCACATTATTACCTTCTAACGGGAATCAAAGCTTCCATAATTCATCAGAAGCTTCAGGTAATTAATTGCACAATACAGAAGAATCAAACCCTTTTAAAGGTCAGCGAATGATATAAATCAAATCAAATCAAAACTGTGCTTTGGTTTTTTTTTATCACAGGTATCATGAGAGTGAGTTTCTCACAACAAACAACACAATACAGTGTTGAGACAAGAGCAAGAGCAATCATCTTCAACATTGGAGCATTTGGAACTGATAGGACTCTACATCGAAGACCATCTTCGTTAACACCACCACGTAGCTCAAGCTCTGATCAGCTTCAGAGATCATTTCGCAAAGAACACAGAGGTCTCATGAGCTGGCCTGAAAGTATTTACAAAGCCAAACAACAACAAGAGATCAATAGAACGACATTAAGTTTATCTGAACGAGCAATGCAACTCAGCATTTTCGGCAGCATGGTAAAAATAGATCTCAATGTTGATTCTTTTAACTGTTTATAAAGGTTGTTGTTATCGATGAACTTATCGACTAACCCGAAGGTTTTCCTCTTTTGATATTGTCAATTATAGGTTAATGTGTACAGAAGGAGTGCAAGTTTCGGTGGGATCTATAATAACAAGTCACAAGATAACTTTTTGTACAAAAAACATCCACTAAACTCAGCTCAAGGTCTCGTTTCAGCCAGATCAGAAAGTTCGATTGTGACCAAGAAGCAGCTTGAAACCCGTGAATATCCGTGTCAGGTTCCTCTGCAAGCGGAAAGCAGCAAAAGGCGAAATACGATGGTTGAATCAAGCGATGAAGAAGATGAAGATGAAGGAATCGTTGTGAGAATCGATTCTCCGAGTAAAATCGTTTTTAGGAACGATCTATGAGCATTGAGATGTTTGTAACATAATAAAACAAAAATGTTAGCTTACTCATTCTAATGCAAAGCAGAATATCAATAGGAGAAAAAACAAACAAACCAAAAAAGCTATGTTGATAGAAGAAGTGACAATCATTCTAAAGTTATTCAAATATGTATGCAATTCTGCTTTTATTTCCGAGTTATTTACTCATCTTTTTTTCTGGGTAAAACAAATATCTGCCAATTTGAAAACAAAATTCGTTTATTAGTGTTTACCTGGCTACGGTCAATTTCTTCTTTTATGAGTGGGCTAATTATTTTTATGACATTTATTTATTATTTAATGTCTATAACGGGGTTGTCAAAAAAAAGTTGGACCCCGACTCCACTAATAATAACTAAGGTCAAAACTTTTAAGTTTTTTTAGCACAAAAACTATAACTATCCAACTAAACATATATTTGCTAGAGTTCGTGAATAATTCAGTCAAGAGAAACATTCAAATATTTCCATTGATTTCAATTATAATTAGCTGATTTTTGGACGTTTCAAATTATAAACATATCTAATTTTCACATATCTTGGAGGTTATTATTAGTTGACATTTTAGGATATATAGCTAATTCACCAATATAGTAAAGAACCGAAATTTAACTCATCAGAAAAACAAAAAGATCACAAATCTTAACCAAATCCACGATGAGCCACATGCATGATGCATGCACACTATCTTAGGCAATAGGCATATGACCACTTACCACTTTTCGTATACAGCTTAGTTGCTCACTGGCTGGCTGCCTGGCTCATGCCGACATAAGCATTACGCACGTTATTGTAAGTATACCTGAGCTTAAATCTTCACCGTTTATTGTCTTCAATACGTCGAGGGCGTCGAGCAACGGCGGTGATCCAAAGCTGATATTATTGCCTACAAATGAACTTTTCTTTTAGGCAACACAACATGGGCTTGTTATTGCCTACTACTATACGATGAACTTTTAAAATTCTGATATATTTTTCAATTAATGTCTTAGATATATATTTTTTTTGTTCTCTTGTAATATATTTTATTACCATGAGTGGAATACAGAGTAGAATATCAATTCTTTCTATAAAAATATGTGATTGGTATCAATTATCTAACAAAAATAAATTGTTAACAAACAAAAATAACACTTTAATAAATTTCATTTTCTTTATCTTTTTACTTTTTACCCTTTACTTATTAAAATTGCATCTCTTCCTTTTCTTTTTATTTATTGCTTCTTTATTTTCTTTATTCTCATTGTTTTTTTTCTTTATTCTTGTTTACCTATCGTACTTTATATAGCTTGGGAATAATGTATTCTCCAAATAAATAACAAAATGCTTTGCTAATTGAAAAAAAAATAAGTATAAAGCGTAAAAAGCTCAAAATGCGAAATCCAAGAAATTCAAAAAAATATAATATAACTAACTATTCTCATTAGAATAATCCACCGGATATTGTACAACGTTTTCAAAATTTACCTTGCCTAACTTTTCTATACAAAAGTTGAAAGTTTCTCTCATAGCCAATGATCACTTTGGCTTTCTAAAACGTCATTTATATTACACATAACAGCCCCAACTAATTACCAATATTACACAGTTTACCCCTTAGTTCTGATTATAGTAATTGTACCCTTCCCTTGTGTTTGGATCTTAGTAAGAGCCACCACGGCTTTTCCGGAGAGGCCTGGTCCGCTGCCAGAGACGCATGGTCGAGAGGCAAAGTCTCCCACCGGATGTCGAACTGGTCGAGACGGAGCCATCAAAATTCTCTCGTTGATATCATTTAGGGTTACATCATTTTCTCGACCACCTGGTTTCACCAATCCAAATGGGTACACTAGTTTCGTGATAAGTCTTTTGTTCTTATAATTACCACAATTGGATGAGAATGGTTCGGTTAAAGTTTTTTCTCGGACAAAAATTTCCCCGGAAGAAACAGAAGTGTCGGGAGACTCGTAAACGGTCGATATCGGCTCTTCAAAGTAACTGACTCCAATTTTACGTTCATCTGTATTTTAGTAAAACTATTAATTAAAAAGCTTTTATTTTTTTTAGTCATTGTAATAAAATCAAATTTATCAAAGGTGAAAATCGAATCAACGTATGGATCAAAATTAGTTACTTTAAGAAAATTTACTGTCATTTGGAAACAAGACCGTCTCAAACTATTTAGAAGTTTTTTTGGGACCATAAATATGTTAAAAACCAGTGATGTTTGGACGAAATGATTTACCAAAGATGAAAAGCAAAACTTTTTTTAAAAGTGCTATTCATTTGTTTTTAAGAAAAACAAAAATAGCGGTAAATAAGAAAAAACGTTGGTCAGTTGAATGTATAAAACACAAACTTATATCCGACAACTAGTTCAAGTAACCTTTTTTCATATGTTGTACCATGCATTTGAATTCTAAATGACTAATATCTTAAAAATTATTAATATTAAAACAAAAGTATAGGTCTCACCTTTGTTAACATGTGGAGTGACAAACTGACTATTCAAACAGCTATAACTCTCATGCAGGCCCCAATCGTTCTACATATTCAACAATCAACAAATTTCAAATAAATTAGATATATATTGTTACCAAATCATTTGGAAATGATAATTATATTGAAAAAAAAATTACATATCATTAGGAAACAATTCAAATACAATATTATGATACATAAATTACACAAACCTGCGAATTATCGTTCAAGGATATTGACGGATCCTCGAACAAGAGACGTCTCTTTTTGCTTCTCTCACCGGATTCGATAATTGCGTCTTCGAGGTAACCTGTGGAGACGTCGGAGTAATCCATCTCCGGTGATCGGAAAATCTGTTCCGGCGATCCATTCATGAATCCATATGTATCTGCAAATTAAACACACACATTGCACTTTTTATACTTCTTTTCATATGTAATTATCAACAAAGAAAAAACAATTTTTTGCATACATAAACATCCTTTATAAAAAAAATCTTGAAGAACTTGTAAATTCATACATGCACGTCGATACAAAAATATAAATTGAAAAATTACATATATATACGCGGTATGTGTTATATTTAAGACTGAAAAAAATAATATATATTTTTGTATATATATACCAAGATTGAAGTCAGGCTTGAAGAGTGATCCAAGGTTATGGTGATCCCAAGTAGGGAGAGAGTAGAGAAGCTCACTCATTTTTTTTTGTGTTTTTCTTTTTGAACTTTGAATTATTTGCTGATTGTTTTGTAAAACAAAAACTTAAGTGGCTGCCTATTTATCGTGGTGGATTGTGTGTCTAAAGTGAAAGTAATTCAGAATAAACAATAAGTTGGAAAAAAAAATCTAAAGAAAAAAAGTAGGGGAGAAGTTTGGAAGATGAAGACAAATTTGTACTCGACACAGTCAACGGAAAAAGAAGTAAAGCAAAAGAAAAATTGTTGGATGGATAGAGTTTTTCCTTCTTGAGATATGCAAATGTAGAAAATATAATTTTCTTAAAATATTTTTGTAATGCACAAAAATCATTATGCTACATATGTCTTGGCCAAATGACTTTTTATATATATATCTTTGTTTATTCAGTTCACATATATTCTCAATTATAAAAATTTACAGAACTATATTTTTTAACATATTTCTAGGATTTCGCCACTTAAATGACTTTCATAATAATTAACTTTGAAAAGCAAACAATTATTCAGGCAGTTAAAACTAAATTAAAATTTGTGTTGGACAAGTATATATGTATCTAACTCGTAAATTAATTAATGTTTTATCAGTAGACTTATTTCAATGTTAACATCAATGTCCTCATTTGTTAAGAAAAAGGTACAAGTGTTTGAATTTCGTTAGGGTTTGGTTAGATGGGGGACCTTATAATGGCTAAAGCCTTAAAGGTTATGATCACATCATGCTGTTAATTTTTACAGTTCCGCTTTAAGCAAATTTAGTAAATAAATCTTATAACTTGACTCACTAAAGTATATACTAGAATAAGAAAAAATCACATGTGAACAGTATAAACTGTCGGCAATTTTAACTTACTTGATATGATATGGTTGATTACGTGATCAAAATCTTATTACACCAATATGAAGTTTTTTGGTTGACAACCCGAATTTAAAATCTAGTATATATATATGCATCTATTTATAATATTGCGAAATAAAATTTTTATTTTGAAACTTATGTAAGTCATTTGTCGTAATCGTGTGTGCATATGAATTGCCTTTGAAAAAGCTTTTTTAGACTTTTTTATTTTTTATTTTATAAAGAGTTATACATGTTTATTGCAAATTTTAGATCATCATTATAGTATATGATCACTTATCAAATTATAATTCTTACAAAATGATTAAAAAGGGATATAAGACACGTTCATTTAACTGTTTCTGAGTAATGACGATCATGTTGTGTTTGTTTTTCTAACGTTAGTTACTTAGTTCGGTGGTAACATATTATTGGTGATCAAAATTAAACGACAACGATATTGATTTTTACTGTTATCATGTTGAATGTTTTACTATTCACTGCTGATATCAACATCAGTAAAAAGAACATGTCTACGGTCAAACAAGATTAACAACGTAATTGAATTGTTAAGTCATAAAATTATAACATTCTGAAAAAGTAGTGTAGCAGTTCATTAAACCATATTCCCTCAATTTCAAACGACAATAATGAGTTATGTAATATACTAATATCTCCTTCTCTTTTTTTCTTTATTTGAACCAAAAAGTCATGTAGAGAAGAATTTTTTTTTTTCTCGACATATAGGAGAAATTCTGTTTATTGTTTTATTTTAAAAGTCTTTGATTCTTGATTCTGTTTTGCTTATGATTTGGTGAACAACCGTTCTTCTTTTGTATGCTTTTTTGGATTTTTTTCTTCATTCTTCACAATGGTGGGGTCGTGTCACGTCCTTTCACGTTTACCTTCTTCCATTATTACATCCCTTTATTTCAATTTGTTTTAATTTATGATTTATGATTTGATTTGACTTGATCTGATTTGATTTGAATTGAGAGGATGATGAAATTGTTAGCAATGCTTGCAACTGTCGAAGCAACGTAATCACTATTACTATAGAATAAGTTTGGTCGTGTTCGTGTAGTGTTATACTATTAGAATCGTCGTTAGAAATGATTTAGTTTGGATTGAATATTGTTAGAGGTAGAATACTCAATAGTAATTTTTATAATGTTATAATAAACTCTTTTGAGTTCTTTTCGTTCCATGTTTATTTTGTAAGGAAAATACATTTTTTGATTGGAAAACAAAATTAACAAAAGAAAAAATGTTATAATAAAACTGCTTTTGTGTAGAACCACGAGACAATTAACTATTTGAAACTATACAAATTCAAATAGTGATGTGACTATAGTGTGTTTTTTAATGTGATTGTGTGTATAATCATAATGACAATTTAAAACCTATATATGTTTTAATATCAGTATCTAAAAATATAATACTATTCATTTGTAATGTTTCCTCCATTTTTGTCAGTATGTATTTTACTTTTATCAATTAATCAGTTTCTAGACATGTTCCCCCGAGTACGAATTTTTTTTTAATGGGCCCAAATGTAGGCACGCTTGTGGGGCCCATTTAGAAAAGACGAAAAATATTGCGCCGGTATTATTCGCAGGGACCTACATTCTTTAATTGGTCGCCTCTAATAATTAAAATAGGAATGTATTTTCTCATGTACAAAAAAAGAGACTAATTTTGTTTGTCCAAAACAAAACAAGAAACTAATTTGGTTCTTTTTGTAGGGTTCTTCTTTATATTGATTTTTTTTTTCATACTTGACAAAATAAATGGATTGGATACTTCTTCTTTTTTTGTCTAAGCGTTCGCAATTTTTTTTTGATAACTGAGGTGATCCTAAAAATTTTATAGGTCTAAAAACTAATCTTGAGACCAAAGAAACCATGTTAGAATTCGATCTCGATAGCCAATATTATTCTAACCTAGGTGGCGAAAACTTTTTTCACTATCGGATCAAGGCGACTTGGTTGTTTCGGGACTTTCTTTCTAAGTGATAATAATTATTTTATAATGATAGTGAGCTATATATTTTTAGAAAAAAAAAATCATAAAAAGGAAAACAATAAATATCTTAAACCTTTGTTGCATGGTTTGAGATCTAACGGTGGTGTAGTTGGGCCTTTAGCTAAAAGAAGGATATGTTTGCCCAAGATATACATTTTGGGCTCGATTCGGGAATTTTCCCTCAGCCCTTACAGGGTTGTTGGTATAGTTGGGCCTTTATCTAGATTTTTTGGCCCAAACTGCTTTAAATAGAAATTTTGGCCCATGTTTCAATATTCCGGAAAACAAAAATCAAATAAGAGGGATTAAGGAAATAATAAGTAATTATGGAAAATCATAATCTTCCATATTTTCTCCAATTAAAATTTTTATCATTTTTTTCTATAAATCACAAAATAGGGTTTGCCGTTTACGTTATATGTCGTCTTCTCAATTTCTTCTTCTTCTCTGGTCTCTCTAATTTCTTCAAACTTTGAAATTTACGACACTTTAAAGAAACTCTGATCGTCGTACGTACGCGGCACGTCTCCTGTTTTCTAGGGTTTCGTACATCTCAAGCTTCACTAATCAATGGTACACACTGACCTTGTTTTTTTGTACATCGTTATATTCGACCCTTGTTTCATCTTAATCATGTATTGGTCTCTGCTTAAAATTTGCAGTCTCAATCGGAGAAGCAGATCCTCACCGAGAAGGAACTCCAAAGGAAGATAAAGAATGAAGACAAGGTTTCACTTCTTCTTCTTCTTCCCCGCCAGAATTTACATGTAGAATCTGATTCATTCCATGAATGTGTTATTACTATAGGTTAGAGAAAAGGAAAAAAAGAAGCAAAAAGCTTTGGAGAAAGCAAAATTAGCTGAAGAACTTAAGGTAAGTGGTGGTTTCTTTATGTGTTTTGGAACTATCGTCGAACGTATTTGATTAGGTTATTGTTGTTGTTATAGGCAAAACAAGAACAAGATGGAACCAAATCTACTAAAAAGACTACGAAGAAGAGTGCTCAAAGATTTGATTCAGAAGAGAATCCTGAGGATTTTGTTGATCCAGAGACTCCTCTTGGTGAGAAGAAAAAGTTATCTCCACTTATGGCTAAACAATACAGTCCTGAGGCTGTTGAAAAATCGTAAGTGTGAAGAATATTGTAATTAACACTGATATTTGTTCCAATGTTTGATAAAATCTGTTTTTTTTTTGGTCAGATGGTATGAATGGTGGGAGCAATCTGGCTTTTTCAAGGCTGATGCTAAGAGTTCCAAACCAGCTTTTGTTATTGTAAGTCTCTTTTTGAGTTTAGTCTTATAGTCTAGAGAGTTGTTTTAATGTTTTGTTAATTTTCATACTAACATGTTTTGCAGATTCTGCCTCCTCCTAATGTGACTGGAATCTTGCATACCGGGCACGCATTAACATCAGCTATAGAGGTTTTGGTTCATAAGATTCTTAGTTCTGTTACTTTTTGTGAAAAAGGATCAGACTTATAATTTGCTTTGACTGATGCAGGACACGATTATTCGTTGGAAGAGAATGTCTGGTTTTAATGCTTTGTGGGTTCCTGCGACTGACCATGCTGGTATAGCTACACAGGTCTGTAGTTAGTATACTTGTTTGTGAATTTTCTTGTTTCAGATTCTTCCTCCTGATAGTTTATGTAGGGATATATGTCAAAACTGGTCATAACTAGTAGTACTAATCTTGTTGAATACAACAATGTAGGTTGTGGTTGAGAAAGAGATCATGGCTAAAAGAGGATTGAGTAGACATGATCTTGGCCGCGAAGAATTCGTTAAGGAAGTGAGTTTAAAATTTCATATGCAGTACTGAGTAATTCTTTCTTTCTCCTTATAATGAAATCTCGTGCTTATTCTATGATTACACGATAGGTATGGAAGTGGAAGAACCAGTCTGGTGATACAATCATGACACAACTACGGCGTTTAGGTGCTTCTCTTGATTGGTCTCGTGAGGTAAAATTCAGTGATATCTTCTGTATCTTCACATGTTTTTCTGAGCTAACTTATACATAAGTGTGTTTTCTATATGTGAACTTGTAGTGTTTTACAATGGATGAGCAAAGATCAAAAGCTGTCACTGAGGCTTTTGTACGGTTATACAAGGAAGGGCTTATCTATAGGTAAATGTTTTTAAATCTCTAATAAGCTACACGAATCTTGTTGTAGATGAAAACACTAACCTGAAGGCAACAATATTGTTTACCTTTGCAGAGATAATAGGATTGTTAATTGGGATTGTAGTCTAAGATCAGCCATATCTAAAGATGAGGTAAGTAATTAACAACTTTGGTTTGCTCTATGATTATTAAATTACATGATTCTTCTTATGGCTCTGCATCTCTAGGTTACTCCCATTGAGATCAAAGGAAGGACACTGTTAGAAGTACCTGGATATGAGAAGCCAGTGGAATTTGGTCTTCTTACTTCATTTGCTTACCTTCTCGAGGATGGTTCGGGAGAGGTTGTTGTAGCCACTACGAGAGTGGAAACAATGCTTGGTGATACTGCAATTGCTGTTCATCCTAATGATGAAAGATACAAGCATCTTCACGGAAAGTTTGCGGTGCATCCGTTTATTAGTGGACGGAAGTTACCAATTATCTGCGATGAAGAACTCGTTGATCAAAACTATGGTACTGCTTGTGTTAAGGTATGTATGAGCTCGAAAATTATCATACTTTTTTTTAAGTTATTGTACTTGCCGAGTCAAAAGTACTTTGCTCTTCTCTTGTAGATTACTCCTGCTCATGATCTTGATGATTTCGATGTTGGAAAGCGCCACAATCTTGAATTTATAAACATATTCACTGATGATGGAAAGATCAATACTAATGGCGGGCCTGAGTTTGCGGGAATGCCACGCTTTATGGCCCGTGAAGCCGTTCTTGAAGCTCTGAAGAAGAAGGTAATCATTTCTGTATATTTGTGTAACATTAACATATCATATTTATACTAACCTGCAATTGTCTTATATCCAGGGATTGTACAGAGGTGCCGAAAACAACACAATGGAACTTAAACGTTGTTCAAGAACTAAAGATGTTATTGAGCCTATGATAAAGCCTCAGTGGTACGTGAATTGTCATGTGATGGGAAAGAAAGCTCTTGATGTTGCTATCAATGATGAAAACAAGAAGCTAGAGTTTATACAAAAGCAGTACACAGCAGAATGGAGAAGGTTCTGTCATTATGATGAACAAGTTTTGTTCTGTTTTTTCTTTTCTTTTTTTTCAACTAAACATGGATTAACATTCACAATGGATCTTAATTACAGATGGCTAGAGAAGATACATGACTGGTGCATTTCGAGACAGCTTTGGTGGGGACATAGAATACCAGCATGGTATGCAACTCTAGAAGAAGATCAAATTAAAGATTTTGGCTCTTACAATGACCATTGGATCGTTGCTAGAAACGAGAAAGAAGCTCAAAAAGAGGCTGATGATAGATTCTCCGGGAAGAACTTCGAGCTCTCTCAAGATCCTGATGTGCTTGACACATGGTTTTCTTCCGGTCTCTCTCCGTTATCGAATTTGGGATGGCCAGATGAAACTGATGACTTAAAAGCTTTTTATCCAAATTCTGTTCTTGAAACTGGTCATGATATTCTCTTCTTTTGGGTTGCTCGCATGGTTATGCTATGTATGCAACTTTCTGGTGAAGTTCCCTTTAGCAAGGTTTATATGCATCCTATGGTATGTGATGCACATGGACGAAAGGTGTCAAAGTCTCTTGGAAATGGCATTGATCCACTTGAAGTCATTAAAGGTGAAACTCTTGCGGGTCTTCATAGGAGGTTAGAGACCAGTATCTTAGATCCAAAGAAGCTTGTTGCTGCTAAAGAAGGACATGCCAAGGATTTTCCAAATGGTATCCCTGAATGTGGTTCCGATGCTCTTCGATTTGCACTTGTATCCTACACAGCTCAGGTACCAATTACATCACATGGACTCTTTGCTCTTTCATTTGTATAAAATGATCTTATAGACTTGTTTTTGTTTCTTTTTCTAGTCTGATAGAATAAATATGGATATCCTCCGAGTGATTGGTTACCGTGAATGGTGTAATAAGCTCTGGAACGCGGTGAGATTTGCGATGATGAAGCTTGGCGATGATTATACACCTCTGCTAACTCTATGTCCCGAAAACATGCCATTGAGCTGCCAATGGATTCTTTCGTCACTAAATAAGGCGATATCAAAGACGGTTGATTCATTAAATGCTTACGAGTTTTCGAATGCAGCCAACGCGGTTTACGCTTGGTGGCAATACCAACTTTGTGATGTATACATTGAAGCAATCAAGCCTTATTTTAACAAACCAGAATATGCTTTAGAGAGGACTCATGCACAACATGCTCTATGGGTTTGTCTAGAGACTGGTTTGAGATTGCTTCACCCGTTTCTGCCTTTTGTTACCGAAGAGCTTTGGCAACGATTACCTTGGCCTAAAGATTGTGAACGGAAAGCGTCTATCATGATATGTGACTACCCATCTCCCATTGAGGTCTCTCTCTGATTCTAACATCTTCTTCTGAATCTATTATCCATTTTTTCGGTTTCTAAAAACTCTTTAATGACAGAACTGGAGAAACGAAAAGGCGGAAACCGAAATGGACATGATTCTGATGACTGTGAAATATCTCAGAGCAAAGAGAGCAGAGTTGCTAGAGAAACAGATAAAAGAAAGGTCAGAGACTGGCTAATTATCGAGGATATACCGCCAATTTTCTTCGGTTTTCTTACATTATTACCTTGTTTCTTCTCAGGTTGCATACATTTGCTCTGTGTGAAAACGAGTTAACGTTAAAGATTGTACAATCTCATGAGTTAGAGATCAGAACACTTGCAAATCTCTCATCCTTAGAGGTGACTTGATCTTCATATCCACTTTATGTTTCTTTTTGTCTTTTGTTTTTTGTTTTTCTCAAAGTTATGTGCACAACTATTATAGGTTGTGCTAAAAGGAGGAGAAGAACAAGCAGCCTTATTAGCTAGAACTGCCTTTGAAACGATTAACGAGAACCTCAAGGTTTATATCAAAGTGGATGAAGCCATTGATGCAGAAGCTGAAGCTGAAAAGATCAGAAACAAGATTGAGGAGCTACAGAAGTAAGTTTTCAACACATAAGAACAGAGTCCAATCCTTTGTCTTGTTCAGAATCAGACAGTACTAATCTGTTGTTTCGTTTTTGATCAGACAAAAGGAGAAGATAGAGAAGATTATGGGCGCTAGTGAGTACGAAGAGAAAGTACCTGCCAACATTAAGGAAGACAACACCACGAAGCTCGCGAAACTTCTTCAAGAATTCGACTTTTTCAACAATCTTTATTCAAAGACCCTTCAAAGTTGAAACACACAAAAAAAAAAAAAAAATGTAGCCTGTACTCGTGGGGAAATAGATCGTTTTCCCGTATATATAGGTTTATGCTAGATATCAATTCTTTATTATTTTGGTTGTTTTTAAATTAGTTTAAAGTTCAAAAGTTTTAGAGTGAAATCATAAAATTAGTAAGAACCAACATTTGATTGGGAAACTGCTGGACAATATTATAACTTATTTCATTCAAATACATTATAAATCAACACTCATCATCAATATCATCAAATCACATAACTTATTAAAAAAAAAAAACGTCCAAATGAAGCATAACATGTAATATTGACGAGTTATTAAATATTACCATCAGCAAATACATGCACCCATTGACCAAGCATCGGACCAAACATTGAACCAAGCACTACTTGGTGATCGTGTTCTTGTTAGTCTTCTTATTCTCCACAAACTTCTTCCAATAAGACGTGACTTCTCTCTGCATCTCCTCTGCCGTCTTCTTAACGCCGTTAACTTTTCCATTAGCCATCTTGGCGCGAATCCTCACGGGAAGCGTATCGAGCTCATGTAGAACCTTCTCGAAGTCGGAGACAAGTCTCTCGGCTAAGTTTCGAGAGAAATCATCTCGGATCACAACTCGAAGGACCGTGACGTGTTCCGCATCTGCGGGCATCTTGTAGGCCGGAATAATCCAGCCGAAGCGGCGGAGCATTTCGGCCACCTCGAACTCGTTGTGGAGGCTACTGTCTTTGAGAGAAAACGCCACTAACGGAACACCGTTTACTTTGGAGACGATGTTAAAACGTCCCGTTTTCTCTAATCCTTGTTTTAGCACCATCATGTTCTCATGGCAGGTATCCATCACGTTGCGATATCCCTAAACCAAACAAAACGATTATTAATTATTCCACTAAACCAAAACTAGTTAGTTTAGGAACGTTTAATCTAAATTTCTATATGATTTGAGTTTTCTCTTTGTTATTTTTGAAATAAATTAAATCATAATTAACACCATATTTTTTTTAACTTTCCTAGTCATAAAGCATAGTAACAATTTGATAATAGTACGTAAGGTTGGATTTAGTACGTTTTTTTTTTTTTTTTTGATTTAGTACGTTCTAGTTTCTTTATAGACATTTGGTTTTCAAACAAATTAAAATATATTGCTATTTTTGTCATTTTGAGTTATTATTTAATTACCTCGAATCCAAGACGAATCAGCTGGTAGTATTGAGCAATCACTTGACTTGAACCTGGTTTAATTAGACAAGCATTATGAAATCTTTAATCTCTAAAACAATTCGAGACCATAGATATAACGAAAATTATATATAAGTTATGATAATGTACCTTTGGAGAAGTTGAGTGTGAAGGTGGGTTGGTCAGCGCCAAGATAATTGATATTGAAAATAAGTTCATCAGGCAAATCGGTTTTGGTTCTCCATACGACCCAACCGATACCGGCATAAACCAAACCGTATTTGTGACCACTTACATTTATGCTCTTAACCAACGGTAACCGGAAATCCCACTCCAACTCCGGATACAAGAACGGAGCAATAAACCCACCACTCGCTGCGTCCACGTGAATCGGCGTATCCCATCTACAAATACGTTAAACCGGACCCAAACCGGTTTAAATTTATTATAAGTTTTTGTTGTTTATCGGTTTGATATTAGAATGCTTGAATGTCTCACATTAGAAATTGTGATATTTCTAAGCAAATATATAAGATTAATGGTCTTCTTCGTTAATTGGTTTTGAATTGAAAGTCCATGACTAAATTACCCGGTTTTCTTATTCTTCTCGACTAGGAGGTCGTTGAGGAGCTTAACGTCTTCGAATTCTCCGGTTAGCGTCGAACCGAGGATGGCCACGACGCAGATAGTGTTTTCATCTACCATTTCTACCGCCTTTTCAGGGTCCATCACGTAGTATCCTTCTCTCAGCTTCACTTCCTTAAGCTCCACTTCGAAATACCTTGCGAATTTCTCCAAGCAAACCTGTATTGAACCGGAAATTGAGTCAAACATAGACCTTAACCGGTTTAATATTTCATTAATTTTTGTTTTGGTTTACCTGAATATTGGCTCCGGTTACAATATTAGGCTTATCATAAGGAAGCCCTTGGGCCTTACGCTTGTTTTGCCACTGTCTCTTAAAGGCCAGTCCGGCCAACATCACCGCCTCCGATGAACCCACCGTGCCAACACCAATGGCGGCTTCACCGTCACCTAGAGGTGCGTTGAAGAGACGCGCAATCATGTTAACGCATCGATTCTGAAGGTCGGTGGTAACAGGGTATTGTTCCATCTCAACGCTATTCTTGTTGATGGATTCCATCATGAGCTTGTCACACTCTGGCTCCATCCAAGTGGTCACAAAGGAGGCCAGGTTTAGCCGCGGGTTACCATCGAACTTGAGCTCGTCGTTGATGATTTGGTATGCTGCTTCCTTAGGGATCGAGTTCTTAGGCATTTCGAATCTAATGAAAAATTGATACATTTAACTTAAGATAAAATAAAATTAAAAAAATACCTCTTATAGTAACACACATAATGCTCGGATCTTTCAGTAGTGCAAGTGGTAATGTCAAAGTTAATTTCGTTAGAATCTAGTTTGCTATCTTATATACTCAAAAATTGTGAAATCTTATCCTTTTATATTAAAAAAAATTATTTCTATAAAAAATTCAAATCAAATTTTGAATCTAGAGTCCCCGAATTATTTAAAACCATTCGATCACCATGTAACGTCGTCTAGGCTACGTTTTAGAACACTAGTTACTAATGAAAACATCAGGAAAAACAATGTGTTTCAACTTCTTACCGTGGAATAGAGTTGCGGACATAACGAGAAGCAAAAGTTGAATGGATTGAATCATCGGATGTCAAAGCTGTCTTAGACAAAACCATCTTCTTGACGTGAGTGAAAGGAAAGTAGAGGGAAAAATGTGCAATGTTATGTTGTTGTTTGTAGTTGAAGAATATGTGAAATTAGAAGAGGAGGAGCAAATGGTATATATAGTGACGAGAATGGTTCTCTTCGTTTCGTTTGCAACGTGAAAGGGAAGCATAGCTGGTTTAATGGTTCCTATCATCCTTTTATAACTTTTTATCACCAATGATTTTTCATTACTAAAATAGTAAGACCAGTAAATTATGTATAGGCTACTTTTAAAAATTAAAACTCTTAAAATGAATCATATCATATCATCATATAGAATACTAAAATGAAATCTCTCCAACTTAAGTTGCACATTATCAGTTTATAGAAACAAATATAGAAATTCGTTTTCATATTAAATTTCTAAAATTCTTTCTTTTCTTTTGGCATCGCATGAACTTCTTCTTTTTTTTTTTTACTTTAGAAATATCTCCTCGTTTCATCACACATATCATATTTCTTTTGGTTGTCAAAATAGAAAATCAAAGAACATACTATATAAAAAAAAAAGTAAAAAAAAAAGAGGAAAAAAATTATGTTGTGTGTTGCAAATCATATTGGTTAATCCACTTCATATTAGTTTGTCTCACTTTCTTGTTTTGCTTTGTGACGTAAAAATTGTCTCATTGATTTCGGGTTTACACTATATCGGCCTCTTGTTTGTATATGTAATATGTTAGGTCCCTATATCCTATCGAGATAGTTATGGTTTATATAATAGAGAAAAATTCATCAGAAGCAGTTGATAAAGTTGTAGGACTCATATATAGATCGATTTAGACGATTAATAAAATACGTGACGAATAAAATAAAACAAAAATAAAAACAATGGTCAAATAATTAGCGGGAGCGAGTGATGCTTGAAACGGCGAAATTAATGAAAGTGGGTATGTTGACAAAACAAATAATTAAAGTGTCTATGAGAATCAGCACCCAACTAATCAAGAAATGTTTACCCCTTAAAACACGAGTTTAGTGCTTCTTTTCTTTGTAAATTAATAGTAATATATTTTCTAAAAAATTTAAAATTAATTTTGAATTTAGAATCTGCCTAAACGCCCGAGTTATTTAGACCCGCTTAAACTACTGTATAATATAAAATCAAAATGTCAAATCACCGTGTAGCGTCGTCGTCTACGATGCGTTTTAGAAATATAATACTCCCTCTGTTCCAATATATAAGATGTTTTAGGCCTTTTTATTTGTTCCATTATATAAGATTTTCTCTACTTTCAATGCATGATTTATATTAGTTTAATAGTTTTTAATTATTTTAATTATGCAGTATCTTCTTCTATTGGTTGAATTTTCATAAATGAGAAAACATTTATTGTTTCTTAATCTATGTGCTTTTAGTCTAAACATCTAATAAAATGGGACAGAGGGAGTACTAGTTATAAACTTATAATAAACGCATCATACAAAATAAAGTTGTATTTTTGCCGTAAAAAAAATAAAAATAAAGTTGTGTTTCAACTTCTTACCGTGGAATAGAGTTGGGGACATAACCAGAAGCAAAATTATGGGCTACTTGTAACAATTGACACTTTAAAAACGAATCATATTATATCATATACTATAGAATACTAAAATGAAATCTCTCCAACTAAAATGACACATTATCAGTTTATTAAAAACAAAATAATTAATATATAAATTCGATTTCATATTAAAATTTCTAAATTTGTTTGCAAAACGAATAAGAAATACTAATTAGGACTAAATTTATTGTTATAGACTGATGTCTAAAAATGGCTCTAACATCTTTCTGAAATAATACTGCATATAGAGGGCCACCTTATCACCTTTTTAAAAAATATTTGATTCTTAAACTACAAATAATTAAAAGTATATATACAATTGGTGGTGACAGCGTGAAAGAAAAAACAAAAGAGATCTTATTTTTTCAGTAAAAACCAATGCGAAATATTACCATGCCTTAGCATATGTTTCCAATAAATAAACATACACTTAATTTTAATAGAGAAAGATGTTATAAAAAGCTTCAATTATACGTTTTCGTTGAAAAAATATTTCAACTTTACAATATATAAATATTGACAAAGTTAATTATGAATTTTTTGCAACATATATATAAATATTGAATTAAACTCGTGAATCTATAAAATTGTTTAGGTAATGGTTAAGCCAATTATGTGTCATTGTTTGTTCTTTTACACAGAAAAATGTTTTTGTAGAAGAAGAAGAAAACACGTTATTACATACCCATAAAAACAATAAAATTTATTTCTTTTATTTAGTATTAAATCCATAAAAAATCACTCTTCATCAGCAATATCAAATCACAAAACTTAAAAAAAATAAAAAAAAATAATCCAAACAGCATGAAAGAAAAAGTCCAAATGGAGCGTAATTAAGGACAAAACAAATAATAATATTAGTTTATTAAATAATTTTATCAGCAAATTGTGTTCTTGTTGGTCTTCTTAGTCTCCAACAACTTCTTCCAGTAGGCCGTGACTTCTCTCTGCGTCTCCTCTGGCGTCTTCTTAACCCCATTCACTTTTCCATTAGCCATCTTGGCGTGAATCCTCGCGGGAAGCGTATCGAGCTCGTGTAGAACCTTCTCGAAATCGGCTACCAATCTCTCGGCTAAGGTTCTAGAGAAATCTTCTCGGATAACAACTCGTAAGACAGTGACATGTTGCGCATCCGCGGGCATCGTGTAGGCCGGAACAATCCAGCCAAAGCGGCGGAGCGTTTCGGCTACCTCGAACTCGTTGTGGCGGCTACTATCTTTGAGAGAAAACGCCACTAATGGAACACCATTTTCTTTAGAAACAATGTTAAAACGTCCCGTTTTCTCTAATCCTCTTCTTAACACCATCATGTTTTCCCGACAATTATCCATCACATTGCGATATCCCTAAAGAAAACAAGAAAAACATTATTAATTCCACAACACCAAAACTAGTCAATTTAGGAACGTTTAATTCAAATTACATTTCCATTTCTTAAAAAAATTATTCGGTTTTTTGAAATTTCCTAGTCATAAAGCATAGTAACAACTTGAATATAGAACGTTCTAGTTCTTTATTGACATTTGGTTTTTAAAAAAAAAGTAAAAATATTGCTATTTTGGTCATTTTGAGTTATCATTTACCTCGAATCCAAGACGAATCAGCTGGTAGTACTGAGCAATCACTTGACTTGAACCTATTTTATTACAAGCATGATAAAATCTTTAATCTATAAAACAATTCGAGACCATAAATATATCGAAAATTATATATAAGTTATGGAAATGTACCTTTGGAGAAGTTAAGTGTGAAGGTAGGTTGATCAGCGCCAAGATAATTGATATGGAATATAAGTTCATCAGGCAAATCGGTTTTGGTTCTCCATACAACCCAACCGATACCGGCGTATACCAAACCGTATTTGTGACCACTCACATTAATACTCTTAACCAACGGTAGCCGGAAATCCCACTCCAGCTCCGGGTACAAGAAGGGAGCAATAAACCCACCACTTGCTGCGTCAACGTGGATCGGCGTGTCCCATCTGCAAATTGCGTTTTCAAAAAAACGTTAAACCGGATTTGAATCGGTTAAAATCGATAATTAGCTTGATTATCGGTTTGGTTTAGTTACCCGGTTTGCTTATTTTTCTCGACAAGGAGGTCGTTGAGGAGCTTAACATCTTCGAATTCACCGGTTAGTGTCGAACCGAGGATGGCCGCAACACAGATTGTGTTTTCGTCTACCATTTCGACCGCCTTTACAGGGTCCATCACGTAATAATCTTCTCTTAGATTCACTTCCTTAAGCTCCACTTCGAAATACCTTGCGAATTTCTCCCAGCAAACCTGTATTGAACCAGAAATTGAGTCAATCATAGAACTAAACCGAAATCACTAATTTTACGGTTTAATTAAAACAAATTCGTAAACCGGATTGAAATTTTCAATTTTGCTTTGGTTTACCTGGACATTGGCTCCGGTTACAATGTTGGGCTTATCATAAGGAAGCCCTTGGGCCTTACGCTTATTCTGCCATTGTCTCTTGAAAGCCAAACCCGCCAACATAATCGCCTCCGACGATCCCACGGTGCCAACACCAACGGCAGCTTCACCGTCACCTAGTGGCGCGTTGAAGAGACGCGCAATCATATTAACACATCGGTTCTGAAGCTCGGTGGTGACAGGGTACTCGTCCATGTCGACGTAGTTCTTGTTGATGGACTCCATCATGAGCTTGTCACACTCTGGCTCCATCCAAGTGGTCACAAAGGAGGCTAGGTTCAGCCTCGGGTTACCATCGAGCATTAGCTCGTCGTTGATGATTTGGTACGCTGCTTCTTTTGGGATTGAGTTCTCAGGCATTTCGAATCTAATGATGAAATGATAATACTTTAAGTTAAAATAACGAAAAATGTCCTTAATTATAGTATATGTTTAAATGTTATTATTGTTTTTGAAAACATTAGACAAAAGAACGTAAAAAGATTGTGTATCAAGTTGTTACCGTGGAAGAGAGTTGCGGACGTAACGAGAAGCAAAAGTTGAATGGATTGAGACATCGGATTCCGAAGCTGTCTTAGACAAAACCATCTTTTTTTTGAACTTTGATTTTTGGTTGTGAAATGAACAAGAAGAAAGAATGTGTAATGTTTTTTGTTTTGTAGTTGAAGAAGAATGTGTGGAATTAGAAGAAGAGCAAATGGTATATATAGTGGAGAGAATGTGTCTCTTCGTTTCGTGTTTGCAACGTGAAAGGGAAGCATCGCTGGTCGTTGTTTATGTGCTCCTTTTTCTAACTTTTCGTTACCAATGACTTTTCTTTATTATAATATTAAGAAGACCAATGAATTTTAATACTTTTAAAAACACGAATACTTTTACACAATAAATACTGTTTACTATCGTCTACAAATTCCGACTATTTTTTTTTGATAATTAATATTCTATTAAACTGTCATTTTTTTATTGAAAAATTATAAGTAAATATATTGAAAAGTTGAATTGTAATGAATATAATTTTGATTTTGATTTTGTTTATTTAGCATCTCCCGTGATTTGATCAATTTCACACTTACAGCTATATATATGTGAATATTACCAACGCGTAAAATGTGAATAGATACTAGATTATATTGTTTTCGTGATTCTTTTTGCTGTCAATGTAATTTAGACCGTAAATAAGCTAGAAACCAAATTCGAACATATATTGGTATCAACGCTAAAGAACATTTGACTTTTTGTTGGGAGATCTCGTATTACCATCTCTAAACTATAAAAATTCAAATAAACATCAAACCCATGGTCTGACCTAAACAAATAAAGTTAGGGGATTAATCAAACCTCCCACATGTTTAGACTAGCTTTAGACTAGCCTTAGCTTGGGTTAATTATGTTGAATACAACTAGAACCTAAAGCATTGTTTCTAGATTATCTTTTGTCATACACAGTAGAATTGTAACTTTTAATATTAAATCAAAGATAGAGTTCTTACCTTTTTCTAAATAAAATCTGCACACTATTCCCCCTTGAAAATCATTCACTGATACTTTTTCATATTAAAAAAAAAATACAGTCGTCATTTGCAAAATAAAATCTCTTAATATTAGCATTATACATATATATATAATGTACATAAGTATATTTTAAATTGAAACAGGAAACAAAAATCCTTCATCTTATGTATAAAATAAAATTTATTTCTAAAGACAATTCCAGTAGTTCGACTATTCAGATTTCAGAATATTACATACAATTTTCCTTTTCTTTATTGGGGCTGCATTCTTTTTTTATTTATTTTTTATTCAAGCAATACTATATTTGTCAGTAGTTAAAAAATGGTTTTGAATTTATATAAAAAAAATCGGTTTTGTTTGGAAAGAAAATAGTCAAATACTATTTGATAATGGCGGTCATACGTAATTAAGCGGCAGTGAAATGGACATAGCTGGAAGATAATTAAATAAAATAAAATAAAAAAAAAAGGAAAAAAGGAGTATAAAAAGTCACTGTCAAACGCGTTAGTCAATGGGAACCGGCAAATGTAGACGCCATTCGCCGAACCGGCAAAAACGAGTAACCGCCACCGGTTTACTTCTCTAAGTTCTGACTTTCCTTAATTATTGCAACACGAATTTTGAAATGGCCAATTCAAACATGCTCTGTTCTTTGTACTAGTCAACTATTAGCGACCGAATCACCGAATGATAAACTACTATTCAATAGTTCAACGTTAAATTATTATGGACAATAACAAGTTTTCGACGTTTAAAACTATTCCTTTTACATACAACATTTTTATTTAGAGACAAAATCACTAATCCATAATTTAAAACGTTATTTGTTTTTTTTTTTTTTTTTTTTTTTTTTTTGAATATAATGTTAAATTAGATTCAAGAAAAAAATCACGGTTTTACAACAAGTGCGACATTTGTTTGAAAGTTAGATGAATAAGAGTTTGCTAAAGGAACTGCCTAAGAGCCTCTCAAAGCAAACCACATTTGGATGCCTGAGTCGTATCTTCTATCCCCACTGATTTTAAGTTGTGAAAAATATATCTCTAAAGTTAAATTGCTAAACCAATATACAAAACGATCTTATGATTTAGAGTTTTTCCAAAAAGGACTTCACATTTGAGGTTGAAGAGTGTTGTTCTCCAAAAAAAAAAAATTTTTTTACTTCAAAACTATTTTTATTTTGCATTATAGTCCTCAGTATTGATTATAATTAATTAAGATCATAAAACTATAAATTGTTTTTGGTGCTTTTCAAAAAATAAAAATGTATTTGCTTAATCATATAACAAAATATTTTATATCCGAGTTCTGGGGAGGTCATAAAACTGGCCCAACAAGCACAATTAAGGAACCCACTAATATTTAAAGCCCAACAGACCCAATCACAATTAATTAAAACGTGTTTTAAGTTTAACAACAACAAATTAGTTTATTATGACTTATGCGTCAGAGACAGAGTACAATCCAACGATCAATTCAAAAACAAAAGATCATTCCTCGAAGTTGTTGAATCTCTTATACATGTTTTTTTCTCTGTTCTTAGATTTAGAAGTCTGTAACTTGTTTGATAAATTTTGTTGTGTTTATTGTTTAATGCTCAAGTCTAATCAGATTAATAAAGTTTGATAATTTGGTTTTATATTCCTCCTTTTTTAAAAGAAAAACCTTTAAAAATGTGGTTCTGTGGTGACTGGTGAGTGACCACTCAACACCACCAACAACAACTTGGTCAGTGGGAGAATCATTTTATTTGATTCTTCGTTGAGAAACTTAAATCAGCTTTACGTGAAGATTGTCATGTTCATGAGATAGTAAAAAATGAGTTCCATTGATGAAGAAAGGTCACTTCTTGAAGTTCAAGAAGTGAAATTGTATGCTGAAGATGGTTCAATAGATATTCATGGAAACCCACCATTGAAGCAGACAACAGGAAACTGGAAAGCTTGTCCATTCATTTTTGGTATAAACCCTTTGTTTTATTTCACCTGTTGTGTTTTCTCATGTTCTGTCTTTAACATCCAAAAACTGGTATTTATGCTTTGATGCAGCCAATGAATGCTGTGAACGGTTGGCTTATTATGGAATTGCCAAGAATCTAATCACTTACTTCACAAATGAATTGCATGAGACTAATGTTTCTGCTGCTAGACATGTTATGACATGGCAAGGAACATGTTATATCACTCCTCTTATTGGTGCTTTAATAGCTGATGCTTATTGGGGACGATATTGGACTATTGCTTGTTTCTCTGCCATTTATTTCACTGTAAGCATTTTCTTGAATTAAAGGCTTTGGTTATGTTCTTTTGCTTGATGTTCTGTTCTTTGATATGGTTTTTAGGGAATGGTTGCATTGACACTATCAGCTTCAGTTCCGGGTTTGAAACCAGCGAAATGCATTGGCTCTCTATGTCCACCAGCAACAATGGTTCAGTCTACGGTTTTATTTTCAGGTCTTTACCTTATAGCTCTTGGGACTGGTGGAATCAAACCATGTGTCTCATCCTTTGGTGCTGATCAGTTTGATAAGACCGATCCAAGCGAACGAGTGAGAAAAGCTTCGTTCTTTAACTGGTTTTACTTTACCATCAACGTTGGTGCGTTTGTTTCATCTACTGTACTAGTTTGGATTCAAGAGAATTGTGGATGGGAATTGGGATTCTTGATACCTACCGTGTTCATGGGACTTGCTACTGTGAGTTTCTTCTTTGGCACGCCGCTTTATAGATTTCAGAAACCGAGAGGTAGCCCGATTACTAGAGTCTGCCAAGTTCTTGTAGCCGCATACCGTAAATCGAATCTCAAGGTCCCTGAAGACTGCAAGATAGTCCACACGGACGGTTACAAGAAAATCTTTTTCCCTCTCATTTCTTATCTTGAATTGAGCATTTTAGACTATTCATTAGTTAAACAAACGGTTGTTCATATCAATGTACAGGTTTCTTGACAAAGCCGCAATCATATCAGAAGAAGACGCGGAATCCGAACCTTTCACCGATCCGTGGAAGCTATGTACCGTGACTCAAGTGGAAGAAGTTAAGATTCTATTACGTTTGGTCCCCATTTGGGCCTCAGGCATCATCTTCTCAGTTCTCCATTCACAGATTTACACTCTCTTTGTTCAACAAGGACGGTCCATGAATCGAACCACCGGCTCATTCGAAATCCCTCCAGCTACTCTCGGGATGTTCGACACTGCAAGTGTTCTCATATCTGTCCCAATCTATGACCGCATCATCGTTCCCTTTGTGAGACGGTTCACAGGGTTAGCAAAGGGATTCACTGATCTACAACGAATGGGGATTGGTCTTTTTGTCTCTGTCTTGAGCTTGACATTTGCAGCTATCGTTGAGACGGTTCGGTTACAGTTAGCGAGAGATCTTGATCTAGTGGAAAGTGGAGACACTGTTCCATTAACCATCTTTTGGCAAATCCCTCAGTACTTTTTTATGGGCACTGCTGGAGTTTTCTTCTTCGTTGGGAGGATCGAGTTTTTCTATGAGCAATCTCCAGATTCAATGAGAAGCTTGTGTAGTGCTTGGGCTCTTCTCACTACTACACTAGGAAACTACTTGAGCTCGATGATCATTACCCTTGTGGCGTATTTGAGCGGCAAAGATTGTTGGATTCCTTCAGACAACATTAACAATGGCCATCTTGACTACTTCTTCTGGCTTTTGGTCTGTCTTGGATGTGTTAACATACCCGTTTTTGTCTTCTTCTCTGTCAAATACACTCACAAGAAGGCTTGATCTCTTCTTCTGCTCTTGTGTGTACTTTCAAAATGTGTGGGCCTTTGTGTTGCAAATTGAAAGTTATGGCCCTCTGTTTTGGCTTTAGGATATATTTATACTACGTAAATAAATTACACAATTCCATATTAGAGATTTGTTCTTACAATTTTTGAGTTATGTTACTCTTACAATTTGAGCCATGGATAATAATGGAAAACAAACCTAAAAAAAATTTGGAAGAAAAATACAAAAAAAAATTGTTGTCCTACATTTAATAACTATTGTCGGATAATACTTTATTTTTGCACAAAAAAAAAATACTTTATTTTCCAAACATTACCCTTTCATACACACGATTTACCAAAAAAAAAAATTCTTGAAAACCTAAAAATACTCTTTAACATATATTCTAAGAAAAATAACAAAGAACATTAAACTACTATATATATATATATATATATATATATATCATATCATTGCACTTTGATTCCACCCACTCTCTCTCTACATCTAGGTTGCATGGAATCAGAAGCGGGTACGCGGAAGCGAAGCGTTTGGAAACGTGGAAGCGATTTTTTTAGAAATTTTAGGAAATGGGTACGTGTTGGAAGCGTATATAGAAATTAATATATATATATATATATATATATATATATATATATATATAAAATTAACCACACAAATTTAATACATAAATTTTCAATACTTCCACCACAAATAAAAACTAAATAGTTTATTTTAACAATAAATAAAAAAATTAGTTCAAAGTCAAAATTTTATACCACTATCTTCATTTTCATTTTCTTAATTCTATCAAATAAAATAGTTTTAAATTCCGTTTTATCGATAAGAACATCATCGAATTCAAGTTTTTCGAAATTTATTTAATTCAATTAATCATTCTAATATTTTTCAAATAAATGTTCATGTCGTGGTTATTTTGTTAAGCATGATCTTTTAAAAATAAAATACAAAAATTAGTATGCAAAAAATTTTAAATTTTAAATTAGTTTTGGTTTCTTTTTTATTGTAAAAAATACTTTAAATTAATTTTATGTTTCTTATTAATATGTGACTTTCAAATTTTTTAAATGGAAACGCAAGCTTCCAAAATAGAATCGTAAGCTTCTAACAAGCTTCCAAAGTGGATTTTTTGGAAGCGCTATGGAAGCGAGATTCCAAAAGCTTCCAAGAGCTTCCGATTCCAACTAAGATTCCGAAGCGGGAAGCGGACCTTCGACGAAGCTTCCGTGCTTCCTAGCTCTACATTCGTTGTTTCTGTCCTCCAGAATCTAACAAAGAAACCGGTTTTCCACGATTTAATAGTTTCTTGCCAAACCGCAAAATTACAAAAGTATATTTTTTTTTATCAAAACCGTAAAAATTGCGGAATTATGTTTTAGTGGAAGATAAATGAAAAATTGAATTATAGGCTCGTGTAGAAGAAGATATGAAAAAGGTAAATGAATAATTTAACTATGGGCTCATCTAGGCCCAATTGATGATGTAAACCGGTAAACAAAACGGTTTGGGAAATGGAAACAAAGAGAAGATGTGTTACTGGTAGTATTAGGTTATGGGCTTATTGTAAATTGTGATTGCTTGATGCAGATGTGATACATTTATACAAAGAGTTAGATCCTATGATTACGGGATACACAAGATACTTGATAAAGATATCTCTAGAATTAATGATAAGTATATCTCTAGGATATCGTTAGAATATTCACTTATGACGACGCGTTCGTTTTCCTGCTGAAATTTGGACATCGGAGACAGGAGTTATAAATTCTGCGCCGTTGAATTCACGAGAGTAAGTAGAAAGAGAAATTAAATCGATGGAGAAAACTCAGAAACTCAAACGAAGAAGAAGAGAGTTTGAGAAAATTCATATACCTAACGAAATCGTCGAAGAAATCATGGTGAGGCTTCCGGTGAAATCGCTCACGAGATTTCAAAGTGTGTCGAAATACTGGAGAACTCTGATCACGTCCAAGGATTTCGGGGAAAGACACATGGCTCTTGAGAAAAGCAAAGGATGCAAACTCATTTTTGTCTGTGATGATTTTGAAGATCGTGCGGAGGACACTCTGTTTTTAAAAACAGTTGCCTTGGAGAAGACGTCAGCTTCTGAGGGAGATGAACAAGCTTTCGAATTCCAAGGATTTAATGGGTTTCTCGATATTTCCGAGAGCTGTGATGGCCTTATCTGCTTCTACGACACTAAAAGAGCAGTGGAAGTTATGAATCCGGCCACAACAATGTTCATACAACTCCCTCTATCGAGAATTCAACGGCTTTGTATATACATGAATCCAAACTCGGAGGAGCCAGTTCAAGATCCAAATCCTGTTCCAGACCCAATCATGTCATGTTCTCAGTTTGGGTTTGGGAAAGACAGCGTTAATGGAAGTTATAAACTAGTATGGATGTATAATACTTCTCCTGCTACTCCTCCTACGTGCGAGGTTTTGGATTTAGAGGGAAAAAAATGGAGGTTCGTGAATACTAATACTCTTGATCATCATAAGATCTTGTTCAGTCAGAGGCCAGTGTTTGCAAACGGATCACTCTACTGGCTCACGGGAGATGAACAAGGATATGCAACAACACAAACCAAACTCATACTTTTCGATATTCATACAGAGATGTTTCAAGTCATCCAAACACCGCCTTTTATTACCCATGATGCATCTGGTGACAAGATTGGTTTATGCAATCTTGATGGTCGTCTCTGTATTTCTGAGTTGAAGAAAGATTGCAAGCAGGAGTTTTGGTGGAGAATTGAAGACACCAACACATGGGAGAGGATCTTCTCGGTTGATTTGCATTCTACTTCCACTTGGTTTGGTGGTATCACCTGGCAGCCTCTCACACCTTTAACCATCTCTAGGGACACCAATAAAGTCATTCTCTCACTTCGCTATCAAGATAATCTCGTTGCCCTCGATCTTGATCCCAACTCTTCAGTTTGTCATTTGTATTTTTCTGGTTACTACGGCTTAGTATGTCCTTATTTTCCAAGTTTTGTCACTTGCCATTGAAGTTTTAGCAAGTTTGTAGCTCTTTCATAGAGAAAAATAAAAACCGGCCATTTTAAGTTCATTATCCAATAACTTGAGAATGAAAATCAAATTGTATGACTCGCTTTTTTCATTCGTATTTGAAATATATCAACTCCGTTAATTAACACAATGCTCAGTAGAATTCTTAAAGATAGAAACCAAAGAAACCAAAGAGTCAATGAGAAGCTTGTGTAGTGCTTGGGCTCTTCTCACTACCACACTAGGAAACTACTTGAGCTCGATGATTATTACCCTTGTGGCGTATTTGAGCGGCAAAGATTGTTGGATTCCTTCAGACAACATTAACAATGGACATCTTGACTACTTCTTCTGGCTATTGGTCTGTCTTGGAAGTGTTAACATACCGGTTTTTGTCTTCTTCTCTGTCAAATACACTCACAAAAAGGCTTGATCTCTTTTTATTTTGCTTATGATATCTCTTGTCAGGCATTGGTTTATTGTTATTGTTGGATCCAATAGTCTATAGGCCTTTGAGCCTGGTTCTGTTCCTAGATATACCAACGTTCTGGACCTGTCATCAAGCTTCTTTAGATTATTAGACTCTACTTTTGCAAACGCAGTGCAGCCAAATACTCGCAGATGTTCTATGTTTGGCTTCTTTCCTTTGAATGCTTCATAAGGAGTCTTGTCACTTAAAGTTCTTGTTGCTACTCTGTTAATGACATAAGTAGCATGTCTCACTGCTTCTCCCCACAAGTAATTTGGTATGCTCATATGTTTTAAAATGCTTCTTGTCATCTCCATAAGAGTCCTGTTTCTCCTCTCTACCACTCCGTTTTGTTGAGGAGAATAAGGCGCTGTCAAGTGTCTCTTGATGCCAGAAGTTTCACAGAAATTTTGAAATTCTTGAGACATGAACTCACCTCCTCTATCAGTTCTTAGAGTCTTTATGTTCAGTCCAGTTTCTTGTTCAACAATGGTCTTGAAACTTTTGAATTTGTTGAAGCTTTCTCCTTTTTCTTTGAGCAAAAATGACCACATATTGGTCCACATAAGTCTCCATGAACAAGCTCTAAGACACATGAAGCACGAAATGATGTTGCTTGTGGAAATGTTTTCCTTGTTTGTTTTCCAAGAAAACAAGAAGCACACATCTCTTTTTCAACTTGAATGTTTGGTAAGCCGATGACTAGCTCTTTCTTTATCATTGTTTTCATATTTTCAAGGTTAGTATGACCCAATCTAGCATGCCATGTGCTTGATTCTCTGGTTTTTTCAATTTGTAAGCAATTCTGAACCTCAGCTTCCATTAAAACTTTGTAGAGTCGATTCTTTGATCTTAATGCTTTTACTAGTAGTTGGCCATCTTTATCATAGAGCATCAAGTAATTTTCTTTCATTATTACATCACATCCTGACTCTGTTGCTTGGCCAAGACTGATAATGTTGCTTCTTAGGTCAGGAATATAATAGACATCAGCTAACACTTTGCGTTCTCCATTCTTTGTTACAAAAAGTATTGAACCTTTGCCCTTTATATCAATCTTAGAATCATCTCCGAATCTAACTTTTCCTGTAATAGATTCATCAATCTTTGAGAAATAACCTCGATTTCCTGTCATATGATTGCTTGCTCCATTGTCTAGGTACCAAGTCTTGTCATTATCCATATTAGTCTTGAAATCACTTGGTTTTATATTTCTTTCATTAAGATATACAACTTCATGCATCATTAACTCTGCTATCTGAGTTTCATCTTCTTCATTCTCTTGTGTTTCTTGAAGTTTAAGCAATCTTTCAGGACAATTAGAGGCAAAGTGACCGTTCTTGTCACATCTATAGCATATAACTTTTGACCTGTCTCTGAATCCTCCTTGATTCTGAGTCCCTGTCCTACCTCTTCCTCTTCCTCGTCCGTAGAACCTACCTCCTTGTCCTCTACCTCTGTTTGCATTAAAATTTTCATTATATGGCTGTGACTCATGATTTGCATACATGAGTTTGCTTTGATCATCACTCTGTTCTTCCTCATCACAGATTCTCTCTTCATATGTTTTTAACCTTCCTATAATATCTTCAAACGTTGTTGTATTGAGGTCAAGTACTTGTTCTAGAGCGGCTATGATGTGGATGTATCGTTTTCGTGGTACACTGTTTAGAAACTTCTTGACAAGTTTCTTTTCTTCGATGTTATTTCCTAAGGCTGCAGATTTTGTAGCTAGTTCAGAAAGTCTTCCTGCGAAATCATCAATCTTTTCACTTTCTTTCATCTTCATTCTTTCAAATTCTGCCATTAAGGTTTGTAACCTAGCCTCTTTTACCCTATCAGCTCCAACATGTCTTGATTTTATTGCATCCCAGACTTTCTTAGATGTGTCAAGTTTCCCGACTTACAAGGTAAGACCCTCTGGTATTGATTGGAACAGGAGTCCACGAGCCATGATATTCTTGTCTTGGTCATCACTACCAGGTTCGATGGTCTCCCAGACCTTATTCACGCTAAGAACAATCTGCATCCTGATGGACCAGACGGTATAGTTCGTAGCTGTGAGCATCGGACATTTGATGGTTGAGGAAACGCTTTCCTTAACCGTTGCAGGGATTATATCTCCCATCTTGTCAACCTAAAACAGAGCACGACCTCTGTTTTGATCTTGTTTCACGTTTTAGGGTTTCTTAACACAATAAGCTTGCGCTCTGATACCAATTATTGATTAAGAACCCTAAGTAAAACCCTTTAGACTTGTGTTTATAAGAACAACTTTTCTTATTACCTTTGAAACTTACTCAAAACAAAGGTCTCACACAATCTCTCAAACTCTCAACTCATATGGAATACCACATCTTGGCATCTCATATTTATACACATAATATCAACCCTAGTTTAAAACCGACATGTTTATAAACCGACTTATACAAGATATGATTTGGATTGTAGATATCTCCTAAACCCTTTAACCTTTTAACTCAAGTTAACTTCTAACTCTAGTTAACTTCTTAACCATAAGCTTCTAACTCAAGCTTACTTCAACATTCACCCCTTTAAGCTTGAGAACCTCTTGTGATATGTCTTGAACCCCTACAAGATCCCTCATCTCTTTAAACTTGATTCTTCCTAAAGCTTTTGTTAAAATGTCAGCTTTTTGTATATCCCCTGAAACATGATCTACTTCAACTTGTTCATTTGCAATGCATTCTCTAATGAAGTGATACCTCTTATGGATGTGTTTACTGCGTCCATGGAAAACAGGATTTCTTGTGAGTGCTATAGCCGACTTGTTGTCGATTAAGATCAACACCTTTTCACAAGATTTCTCAACGATTTCTCCTAGAAGTTCATGTAACCAAATAGCCTGTTTAGCAGCTTCTGTTGCAGCCATAAACTCAGCTTCACAAGATGACAGAGCCACTGTTTCTTGTTTTTGAGAACACCAAGTAATTGGACAATCATTTAGATAAAAGATATGGCCTGTTGTGCTTCTTCCATCATCCTCATCAACATTGTGACTGCTGTCACTAAATCCTACTAACTCCATTTTATCCATTCGTCCAAACGAGAGACCATAGGATTTTGTTCCTTGTAGATACCTTAGAATCTGCTTCAATGCAGCTCCATGTGATTCTTTAGGATCATGCATATATCTACTTAAAACTCCTACGCTGAATGAGAGATCAGGTCTTGTATGAAGTAAATATCTTAAGCATCCGATATTTCTCCTATACTCCTTTTCATCTATGCTCCTTTCTTCTAATGCTTTACTTAACTTCAGATTTGCAACCATTGGTGTATGAACTGCATTACATTCCTCCATTCTGGTTTCACTTAAGATTTTCAGTGCATATCTCTCTTGTTTTAGCATAATTCATGCTTCATGTTGTATTACTTCTATACCAAGATAGTAAGTAAGTTTTCCCAAATCACTCATCTCAAATTTTGTGGCCATCCTTCTTTTAAACTCGAAAATTACATCCAAGCTAGAACCTGTTACCAAGAGATCATCAACATAGACTGCCACGACAAGAGCTTGCTTATTCTCTTCTTTCCGATATAATGATGGTTCTTTAGAACATTTCACAAATTTTAACTCCATAAGAATCTGATTCAGCTTGTTGTTCCATGCCCTTGGGGCTTGCTTCAGTCCATATAAAGCTTTGTTTAGCTTATATACTTTGTTCTCTTCACCATTGATCACATATCCTTCAGGTTGTGTCACATACACAGTTTCTTTTAATTCCCCATGGAGAAATGCTGTCTTTACATCTAGATGGTGAATTTCCCAACCTTTTGATGCAGCTAAAGCAATGATAAACCTAATCGTTTCAATGCGGGCTACTGGTGCAAATACTTCATCAAAGTCTATACCATGTTTCTGAACATATCCTTTAGCCACTAATCTTGCCTTGTACTTATTAATGCTACCATCAGAATTTCTTTTGATTTTAAATACCCATTTTAGGCCAATTGCCTTAGAGTCTGCAGGAAGAGAAACTAGATCCCATGTTTTGTTCTTGTTTATAGATGAGATTTCTTCTTGACATGCATCTCTCCATTCCTTTAGTTCTTTTGCTTCATCAAAGTTCCATGGTTCTTCATTTAGAGTTAACAGAAGTCTTTCTGTTTCAAGTTCAGCCAAAAGAAGATAATCTTGTAAGTAGCCAGGCTGCTTTGTTTGTCTTCCTGATCTTCTAAGTTTTGGTTGTGATTGTTCTTGATTCTGCTCAGTTTCAGTATCAGGTCTTTCTGGAGCTTCTGTCTCAGCAGGCTCTTCATCACTATCCTGTTTTTCATATTCCTCTGTTTCATTTGGTTCATTTTCAACATTTCTGATGCCATTGTTTCCGAATTCTCCAAAAGTAATGTTGAATGTTCCAGCGTTTTCATCAGTTTCTTCAAGGTTATTCCATTTCCATCCCTTGGATTCATCAAAAACTACATCTCTGCTTACAACTATTTTGCGTTTTGTTGGAGATACAATCCAAGTCCCACATCGGAAGTTTGATGGGACAATCAATAATATATAAAGGGTTAGGGCCAATCCACTAATTGCCAATTGGTTTTTAGTTGGAAGCCCATAATTAGCCCAAATTTAACATGGTATCAGAGCCCAAGGTTCAAATTCTGGTGGACCTAGAAAAGTGGATACGGACATACCTCAAACCCGAGTAATGGGGGCCCGAGAAAGGGGCTTATTATCGGTCCGAGTGAGGGATCGAGGAGGTGTGTTAAGATCCATGTGGTCCTTGGATTGAAGGGGAGATTGTTGGAGATACAATCCAAGTCCCACATCGGAAGTTTGATGGGACAATCAATAATATATAAAGGGTTAGGGCCAATCCACTAATTGCCAATTGGTTTTTAGTTGGAAGCCCATAATTAGCCCAAATTTAACAGTTATGGAGGCTCTTGTGTGTACTTTCAAAATTGTGTGGGCCTTTGTGTTGAAAATTGAAAGTTATGGCCCTCTGTTTTGGCTTTAAGATATATTTACTACATAAATAAATTAGTTGCAATTAGAGTTTGTTCTTAGCTTTGAGTCTTTTGACTTACAATATGAACCATGAACAACTCAATCTGAAATTCAATTACAAGGTCATAGTTAGATAAACCGTATAATCATTTTTAAAGTTGCATGTGCAAGTGAGATGAACAATTTAAGACATGAATAATAGAAAATTTCTCAAAAAATACACTGAGGTGGACTTTTTTGTGCGATTTTCTAGTTTTTCTATTTAGAATTATGTAAGCAAGTTGACGATTTGGATAATTGGGGTATACTTAGTCATTTGTCATTTTTAACTAATCCATCTTTTTATCTAAATGGTCCAGTTAGGTTTAGCCAAATGAGTTTGAAAATTTTGCCTAAATTTTAAAAACTTATTCAGATGATCAATATCAATGATGCTTATTTTTACGCAAAAACGAACAGCAGTTCACAGTTTCATTCAGATAAATCATTTGAATGAGCAAACAAACAAGGTCAAACACTACTTACTATTAAAACCAGCGTTAAATAATTTCTCACGTAAAAACCACTACATACACAAACCTATATAATCTACTCTACTTCATTTGTTATCCCAAACACTTTCCCGAAAAATTAGATACCCTAATTAATGACGGACGAGTGGAAATCGCATGAAGATGTTCTAGGAGGAAAAAATATGGACTTACGAGATGGGACAAGATATCGGCATCACTTCTCTCTCCTAGCGAAGCATACCTGAATGCAAAAAGAGATTCAAATCTTTTGTTGAACAAGTAAATTTATTTTTCGAAGATTTATTTTTTAGAATCTAGGATTTTCTTTAGGCAATAGCTAATCAATATTTTCATTTCTTCTTTGCACAATACATTTGTTTTCATTTTTTCAAACTTGGTTGTTTTACCGAGACAATTATGTTTTGTTTTCAAAGTATCTTGGAGTTTCTTTAGATAATAATCAATCTTTCCTCTTTTCGACTAGTTTTTCTTTGCACCATACATTTGTGTTCTTTTTTCATTTTTTCAAACTAAGTTGTTTTACCAAAACTTTTTTGGTTTCTCGAGAATCTATGTTTCTTTAGTTTTCAATTTTTATAAAACATTATTTGATGTAGAAAACAAGGAGGATTGTTCTTACAAAGGGTAATAAATAGTGAATTTATAACTGATCGTACGATATTTTCTATGGACTCAAGTTGATGGATAGATCGAAGTTTTTTGCACAAACTTGTGGAATGACTTTGTGATAAAAACACAAATCAATGTCTATGTGAATCGCAAAAAAAAAAAAAACAAAGATCTCATTTGTTTTCTAAAGAAATCACACATAATAGAAAAAATAAGTAAACAAAGCATAAACTTTAAAAAAAACTCTCTTTTATATTCCAAATATTCTATCGATATACAATAAATGGCAAAATTAACTTATATAGACTTAAATTACAAATTTTGTATGTAGACACTTTTTAATGTATTTGTGAATGAATTGTATTTCAATTTTTTAAAAAAATTTTGGACTTGATTTGCATTAAATCATTTGTTGATGAACCATAGATTTTGAACTGTAATTTTATGATTACATCATTCTCTCCTTTTGCATCAAACATTAGCGTCGATAAGAAAACATATATATTATGTAATTTGTGGGATTTGTTAGTGTCAATTCTTTTTTCTATAGAAATATTTAGTATGTACTATGTAGGTATTTATATATATATATATATTCCTTGATTAGAGTGATATCAACAACTTGAGACATGGACAGGTTAATCCACAATTCTATCTTACGTCATAATAAATTAATAATATTAGTAAAGAAATCGTAAAAGATGAGTTTTGTTAATTACTTCTATTATTATAATCAGTTTTGATTTTTATTTTCCAATTAAAAATAAAGTCGCCGGGAAAAGTAAAATAAAAAAGCCGTCACGTCTTCTTCCGTTAAATAATAGAGAGTATAATAGAGATAGCTTCAACGTAAGGAATCTAAATTGGTTCTGCTCAAAAACGAAAACGATGGGTTCCATTGAAGAAGAAGCAAGACCTCTCATCGAAGAAGGTTTAATACTACAGGTTTTGTTCAATTTCAATCTTTTGGATTCCGTTAATCAATTAGGTTACCAAATTTTGATTTTTGCATCTTTAGGATTGTGCTCAAATTTCAAAATCTTGACTTTAGATTGATCTTATGCATTTTCTTTCTGGGTTTATTGAGATCTTTTCTGGGTAATCACTGTTTTATCTTGTTCTTGATCGTTTTTGATTTTGGTGATGATTCCAATGTTTGAAATTTTCTATCTTTGATACAGTTATGATTTAGTTAGCTAATCAAAAGCTCGAATTTTTTTGTTCACACTGATGAAAATGTTATGTGATTTTGTTTTAACTAGGAAGCGAAATTGTATGCTGAAGATGGTTCAGTGGACTTTAATGGAAACCCACCATTGAAGGAGAAAACTGGAAACTGGAAAGCTTGTCCTTTTATTCTTGGTAATGAATGTTGTGAGAGGCTAGCTTACTATGGTATTGCTGGGAATCTTATCACTTACCTCACCACTAAGCTACATCAAGGAAATGTTTCTGCTGCTACAAATGTTACTACATGGCAAGGGACTTGTTATCTTACTCCTCTTATTGGAGCTGTTTTGGCCGATGCTTACTGGGGACGATACTGGACTATTGCTTGTTTCTCCGGGATTTATTTCATCGTAAGCATTGTTCTCACAAATCCTCTGTGTAATGTTTGGTTTGGTTTGTTTGCTACTCTGATTACTGATTGGTTTTGTATTTGTTTAGGGGATGTCGGCGTTAACTCTTTCAGCCTCAGTTCCGGCATTGAAGCCAGCGGAATGCATTGGTGATTTTTGTCCATCAGCTACACCAGCTCAGTATGCGATGTTTTTTGGCGGGCTTTACCTGATCGCTCTTGGAACTGGAGGTATCAAACCGTGTGTTTCATCCTTTGGTGCAGATCAGTTTGATGACACGGACTCGCGTGAACGAGTTAGAAAAGCTTCGTTCTTTAACTGGTTTTACTTCTCCATCAATATTGGAGCACTTGTGTCATCTAGTCTTCTAGTTTGGATTCAAGAGAATCGCGGGTGGGGTTTAGGGTTTGGGATACCAACCGTGTTCATGGGACTAGCCATTGCAAGTTTCTTCTTTGGCACACCGCTTTATAGGTTTCAGAAACCTGGAGGAAGCCCTATAACTCGGATTTCCCAAGTTGTGGTCGCTTCATTCCGGAAATCATCTGTGAAACTCCCTGAAGACCCCACGCTTCTGTATGAAACACAAGACAAGAACTCCGCTATTGCTGGAAGTAGAAAAATCGAGCATACCGATGATTGCAAGTATAAATTTTTAATCCGCTTCAATTGCTTTCCAGGAACGTATAGCTTTGCTTGGTTTGACAAGGTATTCCGGTATGATGCAGGTATCTTGACAAAGCCGCTGTTATCTCTGAAGAAGAATCGAAATCCGGAGATTATTCCAACTCATGGAGACTATGCACGGTTACGCAAGTCGAAGAACTCAAGATTCTGATCCGAATGTTCCCAATCTGGGCTTCCGGTATCATTTTCTCAGCTGTATACGCACAAATGTCCACAATGTTTGTTCAACAAGGCCGAGCCATGAACTGCAAAATCGGATCATTCCAGCTTCCTCCTGCAGCACTCGGGACATTCGACACCGCTAGCGTCATCATCTGGGTCCCGCTCTATGACCGGTTCATCGTTCCCTTAGCAAGACGGTTCACAGGAGTAGACAAAGGATTCACCGAGATACAAAGAATGGGAATCGGTCTGTTTGTCTCTGTTCTCTGTATGGCAGCTGCAGCCATTGTCGAAATCATCCGTCTCCATATGGCCAACGACCTCGGATTAGTCGAGTCCGGAGCCCCAGTTCCCATATCCGTCTTATGGCAGATTCCACAGTACTTCATTCTCGGTGCAGCAGAAGTATTCTACTTCATCGGGCAGCTAGAATTCTTCTACGACCAATCTCCAGATGCAATGAGAAGCTTGTGCAGTGCCTTAGCTCTTCTGACCAACGCACTTGGGAACTACTTGAGCTCGTTGATCCTCACGCTCGTGACTTATTTCACGACAAGAAATGGTCAAGAAGGTTGGATATCAGATAATCTCAATTCGGGTCATCTCGATTACTTCTTCTGGCTTTTGGCTGGTCTTAGCCTTGTGAACATGGCGGTTTACTTCTTCTCTGCTGCTAGGTATAAGCAAAAGAAGGCTTCGTAGTAATGTTGTTTACTCTCTCTCCGTTCATTACATACAACAAAAGTTTGTTTCTTTCAACTGTAACTGTCTCTGTATCTCTTTTGTGTTATTGCTGTGTACTTTCTCTTTCAATTTCAAAAGTTTAAGTCGCATTTGCAATATTATACACACTTCAGGGTCCGAATACTAAATTGAGAGAAATTATACAAAGGCTTTTGGGCTTAGTAAACCAAATGGGCTTTTTAGATCAAATGGGCCCATATGAAACGGGTCAATCATATGACCCGGAAACGAAGAATCTAACTATGTCCGGGTCAATCAGAAAGAAGAAGAAGAAGAGAGTAATTGTTGAGGTTTGGGGATCGCGAAAATGGAGGTTCCAGGTTCATCGAAGAAGATGATCGCAACGCAAGAAGAGATGTCTGCAGCTAAAATACCACTTGGTTCTAGAGATCAGTGCGCTCATCTCTTGATTCCTCTCAACAAATGTCGTCAGGCTGAGTTTTTCCTTCCATGGAAATGTGAAGACGAGCGTCACGTTTACGAGAAGTGTGAATATGAGCTTGTTATGGAGAGAATGCTTGCGATGAAGAAGATCCGTGAAGAAGAAGCTTTGGCTAAACAGAATAAACTACAAGGGAACGCCGCTGTTCCTCTTATCCCTAAAACTGCTAATGCTTAGGGATTCGATTCGAATCCTTCTCCAATTTGCCGATTCCAGATTCCGGTTAGTTTATAGCTTTTGATTTAGGGTTTCGATTTCTTGTGTGTTTGGGTGATTTGATTGAATTGGTTTGATGTTTCTGCAACATGATCAGATCTTTGTGTTCTTCGTATTCGAATTAGGGTTTCGTTGTGAATAAATGAGATTGCTACAATTTTGCCTCTCGTGTGAACATTTGACTACAATTGGATTCAATTTCTTGAAGAAATTTCTCTTACACCACAATTACAATAGTTTGTATCAAACCCTTTTAGAGAAAGGTCTGGATTTGTACTTCTTGTTGTAAAGTATCTCAATGATATCTGAATTTTAGATAAGGATAATTCCATCATTGACTGGATTTTCTACAGATTTTGTTTCATCATGTTGTTTCCTTTTCATTCAAAGCTTAATAGATTAGTCTTTAAGTAATCAGTAGCACTAATTTCCTGAAACCTTTAGGTACTTGTTTATTAAGACGAAATAAGGATGTTAAGAGTGTTTCACTGATTTAACAGGGCACAATTCGATTCGTTAGATTATATCTTTTATGTTTACAAGTTCTTTTGCATGTTCTATGTCCTATGAACTTGTAAGTTGTGTCTCAGATATCATGACTAGCAATTGTTACAGTCAGTTTGTGATACAGATCCCTAAAGGATATAAGAGTGTTTCACTGATTAACAGGACACAATTATATTCGTTAGACTATTTGTTATATGCTTACGAATTCTTTTGCTTGTTCTATGTCCTATGAACTTGTAATCTGTGTCTTATATATCATGGCTAGCAATTGTTACGGTGACTTTGTGTTACAGACCCTTAAAAGGATACAAGAGTGTTTCACTGATTAACTAGACACAACTCAATTCGTTTGAGTATATCTTATATGTTTGATTTATGTTCTCACACTTCTAGGCTGTGAATTTCTTATACTTGATCTATCTTTTGTGAACATGTAAATTGTGTGTCAGATATTCATGGCTAAGAATTAGTACAGTCACTTACTGTTACTTATAAATCCTTAATAAGCATTGTCAAATTACAACACCAACTATATACATGTGTCTGAATATCTTCTGCTTTATTGATTCTGCAAGAGATACATTTGTTGATTTTGTAGATTTTATATACAGATATTTAAATGTCACAACAGCTACAGAAAGATTCGCTTGATGTCTCTCACCTTCTCGTTCTCACTTGCCATTGAGTACTCTTGCATGTTTGTGTGATTCTTTCCTTTTTAATATAGTTCTTATGTGTTTCACTACTTGTTCATTGTATATGCCACTATGATTTGACACCAATGGGAGTTTCTCTGCTCTGAAGACAGACCCCTAAATGTTTTGTCTAAGATTCTTCAACATGACAATGATTTTGTTTTCTCCTGATTTGATTCTTTATTCATTCTTCTGAGTCCTAATTCACACTCTGAAAATATTTGGACAGGGATTCTCTGGAACTGTGAAGAAGGTGGGGGCTCTGCTTTTCAATCTTTTTCTTCTTGCTAGTGATGAAAAATTGTTGCTACATTTTCAGATGTGAATGTTCAAGATTCTCTATCTTTTTGTTTTTACTCTTGTTAACTTGGAAGTGTTTCCCAAAAAAATAAGATGCAAACTAATATTTTTCTTAGTTTTCTATCTTTAATCTTTGAGAAGAAAAAACATATGAGATTGAAAGGATTTTTCTTTTCATTTAAATTGCTTATAGAACCAAATCATTTACACGGGAAGCTGCATCTAAAGAAATTTTCGAAATACACTAATTTGGCAATACTAAAAGTCTAACTGGTAATCATCGGATCTCTAGTTCTATCCTATAAGCTTCCGCTTTATCAATGCTAAAATCACATACCGTTTTGTATCACCAATACGCAAGTTATGGAGAAGCAGAAAAGAAGTATACCACTTTGTAGTTTATCTCCATGATGGAGAAGACCAAAAAACATGGAATGAGAAGGAAGAGGTTAAAAAAAAATTAAAATAATAAAACAAAAATAAAAGAGGTTAGGCTAAGAAAACATATCAAATCTAATTCCAATCCTTAAGGATGAAAAGTCAAGAGTTGTTTGGTCCTACTTCCAATAATTATGCACTCACTACTCTAAACCTTTTCACATAACCATGCAATGTCTATATTTTATCCATGTGTACATTGTTGTATATTATATTCTCTGCCTTGTAATTATATATTAGTTGTGTAATTTTTTTGTGGCCCAACCATTCCCAAATCACACTTTTAAACAACTCTCTTTCACTTTTGTTTTATGTTATTTTAGGTGTGAAAGGCTAATTCTTCTATGTTCTCTCTAGGTGTTTCATGGATTACACCTTTTATATTATTTTAATCATCTTAGAATTTGCCTTGTTCTTGCATGTGCTATGATTGAATTCAATCAATGGGTGATGAAGAAATTGACCCAATAAAAAATAAATAATATTGACAATCGTCGAATGGTTTGGTAAGATTTGCACATCCAAATTTTCCACACACACAAAAAAGAATGTTATGGCTTTATAGTCCAAAATCCAGTTGGGTTGCATTATCTTACATTACAAAGTTTTATAATAATTAAAAAAAAAAACAAACAAAGAGAATTATTGAATGTTTTGATTGTGGTAAAAGCCATGAATCATGGACCTCCACAGTCAATTACTCATTCAATTTCTCTTGGAGCTATTTGTCACTGCCAGACTCATTTAATGTATTATTTTCAATTGCTTCCATTTTCTTTCACATTTATTCCTTTATTTTATCACCGGATAATATATAGTAATAAACATTTTGACACTTGAATTTTCTGTTAAACATTTTACCCTACCATGGAATTGTGTTTAGATAGCAATTTTTACCATTGATAGCCGATTTGACATAGCAAACTAATAGGTTTTATCACAATTTCTAGAGAAAAATTCGAATTTACTATTTAATAAATCTATATTTTTGAAAAGAAAAAATAAATCTATACTTTTGAAAAAAAAATTAAATTTTTATTAATTGTTGTTGATTATATATGAACAAGAGACAAGCGCCCCTAACAAAGTTGTAGTTTTTAATCTCCATTTTTTATCCGAGTGTAGCAACTCTCAAGTTCTCTTATAATGCTCATCACAACCATAAGTCCATAACAAAGCTAAGCACTACAAAACAAAAGATAAATAAACAACCAAAAGGATCTCTGAAATTTAGAAACAACATTTTGTAATTCCTCCTACATCCTGCACATTGTACTCTCATTCGTAAAACTGAAAATAATTTTCATGTGCATGTTTCAGCTGTTCGCTAGGATGATATGTCTTCACTAAATTTGAATCGAATTTCAACTGTTGTTCAGAATAACTCAAACCACCATCACATTAAAATTCCTCAAGTAGCTATATATTTCTTATGTCTAAATGTCAGTTTGATCCAACAATGAAAAGTCATTCAACATATGCAAAAACTTTCAAGGTTCATGCACATTAATCTTACATCAAATAACTCATTATCCTCCAAAAGTGTTGTTATGTACAAAGCAACAATGAAATTTTGAGTATTTCTAAGTCTTCCTTGATATTAAGTGCCACATGAAAATTATGTCAGTTTTATGAATAAAGCTTGATTGCCAAAAAAGTGTGTCCGTGTACATCTCTTTATTGTAGAAAATGTCATTTAGGCTCCAAATTCAAATTATATTCTTAGAAATTGGAAAATTGATATATTTTTGTTAGAAAAATTTATTAGAAAATATTAGGTTGTATATAAGGAAAATAGGTGGTATTTCTTTTTACTTAGATTCAAATTGTTGGTCGAAAACTCGACCAAATCATTAAATATGGTAATATAACCCCATTTTCACTAATAAAATAAAAGTCTACCAATTGTTTCGCTAATAAAACCTTTTGGAATGTGTTTACTTGATGATTTTGATCAATGATCATTACCTAGGTAGCTTTTTGTGTCATTCTTCTAGTCAATATATAGATAATATACGCAACTCGTGTGTCTTTGACAATTTGGTGATAGAATATGATATTTTAGTTACTTTCTAATCAAACACTAAATTTTTTCTAAACCATTGTTTAAAGTCTCCTAAATCATTAAAGCAAATTTTGGCATTTACGTACGCAGAGAATTCCACGATTTTATAATAATTTAGAGAATGTGCATAAATGAGAAGAAAAGGCAAAGCATACAGTATTAGTCTACATTAAAGTCAATGACCTCACTTTGTATGTAGATTTGATTGTTTTTTTTCGTTGGGTATATAAATGTCTGATTTCTGTGTGGAATAAAGACAACGACTTTGTTAATTAAATTAGTATTAAACTTTGTTTTCTTAAGTGAATACTCATTTGGTTTTTATGTTAATTTTTTTACTATTATTGTCTGATTCCACGTGAATCCACGAGTAAGTTTATAGTACAAATCAATTATAATTTCTAATACTACGTGAAATCATATACATACTTAATTTCTTATAAGAAATACATACTAATTAATTTAAAACAGTATTTGATGTTTAATGTAAGTAGTTAATTGTAGAATAGCTGATAAAATAATATGATTTTGAAAAGGAAAATACTACTCGTATAAAATATGTCCACAATTAATTCGTTGATGAAAATATTGAATTCGTGGTTGGAAAATTTGGAGAAATCAGTAATTATTGTCGGCTACCATATAGGGATATGATGGTTTTGGTTCGTCTTCCATGTACATCAAAACAACATCAAAACAACAATGAAAAATAAGAAGAAAAAGTGTTAGACCGAGGCCAGAGCCAGAGCCAGAGCCAGAGTATGGGGACAATTTTTATAATTTGGGGGAAATAAATAATTTTTATCTCAAGCTTTATTATTACTTAATATGGAAGGGAAAAAGAATAGAATAAGAAGAAAAATGAATGGGAAATGGGAGAAAATGTAAAGGAATTAGGGGAATGAAGTCAAAACGGTGGTCCAAAAGACATAACGAAGGACCATTGTAAAATTGTGATTTATTGAAATCAGAAAGTTTAACACGAAACCCTAAAAAACAAAACAAAAAAAACAAAAAGAGAAAAATAGGAACAATAATTATGCTGTGGTCAAAGCTAAGCAGTTGGGCTATTTTCATTTAAATTTATACTACTAGTTTTGGTCTAAAACCTATCGTGAAAAAAGTGAGAAAGTAAAGTTTGAGGTACTGTTGAGGAAACTTCTTCATTTGGGTAAATCCCAAATCCCTATAAGGTGAATATTATGTGTTTTAATTTGCGAAAATTTGGTTTTCTATGACAAGATAAAAGTATATTCTTTTGACCAGCTAACAAAGGTGTGTTTATTTTGGTTTTACATAATTTAATTTTACTGTGGCAAACGACTAATATTCGGATCTATGTTTTTTTTTTCATGCAAGTTGTGTATATAGCCTTGTGTAGTTCTCTGGTACGTTGATATGCAATGATTCTCTCAATAACTATTTAAAAACATTTTAAGATAATAATAATGAATATGGGGTCGAGAGTCAAGACTAATGTAACCAAAGTCAAATGGATTTTCGTATGATTACTACTTTTGTAGATTATATATCCTTGTAGGTCAAAAAACACATGTCACCTCTCTTTTTTTTTTGTTTAATAAACAAATTTTATAACAACATTCCAGCTTGTAGATCATTCATTCTTCTTATTTGCTAGTCTGAATAAGTAACCCAACCATAAACCATACCAAACTATAAAAATTTGACTTTTACGATATTTACGTATCATCAAAATCGTCACGTATGTCATTAACAATTCATATATTTTTTTCTTTTTATGTAGTTTTTGTTTTGTAAGATGAAACATCATTATTCATTAACACAACATAATTTAACTTAGATTATTGTATTTCTAAAACCAAAACTATCTAATAAAATCCACATAAATCCGAATTAAACACAACTACAATGAAATATCCGAATTTCTAAAGTTTTTAATAATGATAATTGTTTGGAATTTTGCAAAAATATATATGTATATAGAGAGAGATTATAAGTATGAGTGAATCCAAAAAGAGACAAAAAGAATAGATGGAAAAGAGAGACAGTCATCTTTTAGAAAGAGCCAAAAACAAAAACTTACTCTTTTAATCCCAACCCAACCCAACACCCTCTCAAATCCTCTCTTCTCCTTTAGGGTTCTTCGTTTTTCTCTTTCTTCTTCACAGAACCAAAAAAAATCAAACCTTTGTTCTTGGGTTTAAGTAAAAATCGAATCTTGTGTCGGTTTTTAGGGTTCTTGAAACGATGGGTAAGTGTGGTGGGAGAAATGGTAACGGAAGCTTTAACGGCGGTGGCTTTCACGGTCACGGTGGCGGTAGAGTTAGGCCTTACGTACGGTCTCCGGTTCCACGGCTTAGATGGACGCCGGATCTTCACCGTTGTTTCGTTCACGCCGTCGAGATTCTCGGTGGTCAACACCGTAAGTTTATTATATATACTTTTTTCTCTTCAAATCTTTTGAGAAAGAAAAAAAACCAAACTTTTGTGTCTTTGTTTGATTCAAATATCTTAAAGTTACGATTTTTATTTGGATATAACTAAAAAAGATTGAAAATTTCTCATTTGTTTTAGTAAAGAATCAGTTTTTGTCTTGATACTTTTGCTACTTTGTTTCATTATTATCATAAAGTTTGGATTTTTCTTGGATTATGCTAAAAAAAGTTTGAAATTTCCTTATTGGTTATCTTCATCATCGCAAAGAATCATCTTTGTCAAGTTTCTGAGGCAAGCCTTCACGCTTTTGTTGTTTTGTTTCATTCATAAAGTTTGTTTTTTTTGTTTTTTCATGAAAAGTAATCATAAAGAATCATAATAGTCACCTTTTTGATTTTGTTGTTGTTGTTGTTGGGTTTGATGAAACAGGAGCAACACCAAAACTTGTTCTTAAGATGATGGATGTGAAGGGACTCACCATTTCACATGTCAAAAGCCATCTTCAGGTAAATAATAAATTTTACCAAAACACCAATCTTTTTTTTTTTCCTTATTCATGTTTCATTCATATAACGTTGAATATTAAATCACTTTTGATTATATATAAACAGATGTATAGAGGATCAAAGCTCACTTTGGGGAAACCAGGTATTATTTTTTTCTTATAACAAAAAAAAAATTGTGAAATCATGATATTTGGAAAAAGAATGGGACCGTTGATTTTAATTTGAACTGTTAACATCAAACATATAATAATGGATGGAATTTAATTATTTTACTGTATCTGTTTGTAGTATGTACTATTGGTCTAGACTCTAGTGTCATGATTCATAAGACAAATGTCATAAATACATATATTTTTTTTGCTTTTTAAAAAATAAATGTCTACCTCTATTTTCAAGAGTAATAGAACAGAGAATATTCATTAACTAATTTTATTTTTTGGGGGACAGAAGAAAGCTCATCATCTTCAATAAGAAGAAGACAAGACAGTGAAGAAGATAATCTTCATGACAACTTGTCTTTACACACAAGGAATGATTGTCTTTTGGGTTTTCACTCTTTTCCTCTTTCTTCACATTCTTCATTTAGGTATTTATTTTTCTTTTTAAAAACTTATTGTTTTCTGACAAAGTTTTTAATTTTATTTCAGAAAAAGTTATGCTTTTTGTTTGTCTTTATTTGAATTGTCCTTTTACTTTGGTGCAGAGGAGGAGGAAGAAGAAAAGAGCAGACTTCAGAGTCTGGTTATGATGATGATGATGACTTTCTTCACATCATGAACATGAAGAAGACGAAAGATACGACGACGTTTCTATCACATCATTTCCCCAAGGTATTTTTTTTTTTGTCAACCTGTATTTTATTTAAATATAACATACACATTTCATCATTTGGAAATTTAATGTTGCCAAACCAAATCAAGTCCGGTTTAGAGTTCTAACCGGTCTGATTGAGACTGGTCAAATCCAAAGGAATTGAGTCCGGTTTAATTACTATTTGTCATTGAAACTTATTAGCTTCACTTGAATTTATATAAGTGGCATTTAATGTTTGATTTTTGAGTCTTTAACCGGTTTAATTGAAACTAGTCTCAAACTTAAACCAAATATAATCCGGGTTAGTGACTAATTTTGGTCTTTTTGGCTCATTAGGGAACAGAGGAGTGGCGGGAACAAGAACACGAAGAAGATTTGTCGTTGTCTCTGTCATTGAATCATCATCATTGGAGAAGCAATGGATCATCGGTGAGCGAAACGAGTGAAGCAGCAGTCTCAACATGTTCAGCACCATTCGTCTCCAAAGATTGCTTTGGTTCTTCAAAGATTGATCTTAATCTTAACCTCTCCATTTCTCTCCTCGGTAGCTAAATAAGTAAGCCAAATCTTTGTTCTTAGATTAGGTTCAGTGAAACAATATTCGGATGTGTTTTTGAAACTAGGATTTATGTTTTCCGAGGATTCAAAGTTAGTAGAAATCTTGAAAATAAAGTTTAGATCAATATATCAACTTGAAACCATATAAACCAAAAACGCAGCGTTTTGACCGACTCACAAACAGAGCCAAACGCAGCGTTTTGTTCTTTGAGGATAATTCCTTAAACGCAGCGTTTTGTCTTTGGAGGATAATTCCTTAAACGCAGCGCTTCATTTTCAAGATCGTACGGTATAGAGTCTGGCCAGTCGGCAATCCTACGGTAGAGAAAATGATTCGAAGGACTTCAAAACGAAGCGTTTTCATCATTCGAGGATAGATCCATTAAACGCAGCGTTTCATCGTTGGAGGATAAACGTTGCGTTTTATATTCAAGATCCTACGGTAGAAAAGTTTTTCTTCTCGACAATCCTACGGTAGAGATAATTTCGACGGATTTATTATATAAAATATTTGAATTAAAGCTGTAACCGTTTCTCTTCGAAAGAAAATAAAATTTTTGAAAAAACAAAAACAAAACTTGAAACTACCTTATAACCGCCTCGACGATGACCAACGTCGTCAACGTCGGCGAAGATGAATCTATCGAACCGTTTTGGCTCCAACTCCAAGACGGCGAGACCCAACGATTCTTCCTCCGACGAGAATCGTTCTTCTTCCGCCGTCACCGCCGCAACTTCCGTCGTAATGCCACCGTGCTCCAGCACTGTACTCCGAGCTCTTCTTTTACTTTTCGTCATCTTCTTCTGCTTCTCCCTCTACAGAAATTCTGGTTATCTCCGAATCATCGCTGACTCTTCCTCGACGCTCTCTCGCATTTTTCCCTCTTTCAACGATTCTTCCTCGTCTCCGTCCCCGTCTCCCTCTCCGTCTCTATCTCCGGTGAGTGTTCTTCCACATTGTTTCTATATTTGGTGTTTATCATGAATCCGATGTTCGACTAAAGGAGTGTTCGATTTTAGGGATTTGAAATTGGAATCGATTTTGCGATGATTTCATTGATAGATCGTGTTCTTTGTGTGTTTCTTGCTATGAACACATTGAAATAGCTCCACATTCGAAATCGTAGTCGCATTTGAGTTCGATTTCTGGATTTCACAAGTTCTTGTTGATGTTACTGTGTATGTGTTGAAGCTTTTCTTGATTTGATTGTGTTCTGCATTCTGATTCTGGTTTTGGTTTCTTAGGAGGAAATTGAGGAACCTAAGCTAGAAGAAGTTTTGCGTAGAGCTGCGACTAAAGATCGTACAGTGATTCTGACAACTCTGAATGAAGCTTGGGCAGCTCCAGGATCTGTGATTGATCTCTTCTTTGAGAGTTTTAGAATTGGTAAAGGAACAAGAAAGCTTTTGAAACACTTGGTGATCATTGCTTTGGATGCTAAAGCCTATTCACGTTGCAAAGAATTGCATAAGCATTGTTTCAGACTTGAAACAGAAGGTGTTGATTTCTCTGGTGGTGAGGCTTATTTCATGACTCCTTCTTACTTGAAAATGATGTGGAGAAGAATCGATTTCCTTCGCTCTGTTCTTGAAAAGGGTTACAACTTTGTTTTCACGGTAAAGTTTCTTTCACTCTTGGTGACTTAAAGAAAGTTTTTGGTTGTTCTATTGAGTGATCCATTTTTGTTCTCCAGGATGCTGATGTGATGTGGTTCAGGAACCCTTTTCTGCGGTTTTACAAAGATGGTGATTTCCAGATTGCTTGTGACCATTACATGGGAAAGCCTAACGATTTTCGTAATAGACCAAATGGAGGATTTACCTTTGTGAGGTCCAATAACCGAACTATAGGCTTCTACAAGTTCTGGTACGATTCAAGGCTCAAGTACCCCAAAAATCACGACCAGGATGTTCTAAATTTCATCAAGACAGATCCTTTCCTTTGGAAACTCAGGATTAGGATTAGGTTCTTGAACACAGTGTATTTCGGTGGATTCTGTGAACCAAGCAAAGATTTGAATCTTGTTTGTACAATGCACGCGAATTGCTGCTTTGGTTTGGATAGTAAGCTTCATGATCTAAGAATCATGCTTCAAGACTGGAGAGATTTCAAGTCTTTACCACTTCATCGTAACCAATCCTCTGGTTTCACCTGGAACGTCCCACAGAATTGCAGGTTCTTTGTAGTTTAAATCTATCTTCTTTAGTCATTTTTTCGGTCTTTGAGATTGTTATTCAGAGATCAATGAAACGTTTTTGTTTTTGCAGTCTTGATTCACTTCGGCGGGTTGATTCTAAGGTTGGAGAAGAGAGTGAACCACCAGGAGAATCTAAACAGTGAAGTGTGTGTGGTACAATGTATATAGAGAAACTGTTTTGAGATTTTTTTCACACGAAGAAATAGAAATATAGAAGATTAAAACTGTAAAATCATCAATCATTCTTAAAGAGAGATACATAACACTAATGACCAGTGACTTGTTCACTACTTCATTAGTTCACTGTGCCAAAAATAGTCTTTTTTTCTCTAAATATTGACGTCGGAAATAGTTTAGAGAATTTCACAAAGAAGTTTTTTATTTCTTCTAAAAAGACATTTATAAAAAAAAAAAATCGGCTACGTTAATTTAAATGAAGCAACCAGCAAAACTGATAGTCTGATACCATGAAGAAACTGCCCTGCGAGCTAGAAAATGTAAGGAGAAGATACTCGATTGTGGCATGCAGAAGAAGATAGATAGTAACTTTAACATATTTCAAAGAAAAAAATATCAAGAAGAAAGATTGAAGACGTACCAGAAGATGTCAAAGGAGAAAAACAAGATAAAGTTGTGGATAGTGGAGAAACTGTAGAGAGGACTATCATATTTGAGGCCGGATTATTTATTTCACACTATCCATCCCCTTTGACGGTCTAGCCTTTAGTTTCAACTTATCGTTTCTTAGAATTCATTTTACTTTTGTGTTTTGAATCAATTGTCGATTTCAGAAAGAAGCTCCTAGATCTAGCATACAAAGCAGAGGAGACCGTTAGAATTTCTTTAGAAAAGTTTGTACGGTTGGTGATGAATCTGGTTTGACTCTTTCTTGTTGGTTGTACGTACCCAAGTTCATTGCTTGCGATCTAAGGTTTGTCTTCTCATAGTTTTATTTTTGTAAATCTTATATAAGAAGTAAGAACCAAAAACCATGAAACCATACATACAACTGTACAAGGGACTTATTAGAGGACATATTTAGTTCTTAGTTCTAACTTCTAACCAAAATATTATCTCCACAGTTATGACGCCAACCAGCCATTTCTCGTAGTCTTAGACTACTAACTACATAACCGCTCACAACAGCGAAACCGAACAAGAAAGAACCCTGTGCAAATGAAAAAGTACACCAGCTTGATGAGGCCACCTTCTCAAGGATGATGAAGCACTGATTTAGATGAAAGACAAAATTTGAACCCTTGGAAAAAAAGCATATTAGGTCGAGCAGAGCTTAGAAACAAGCGCATATAATTGGAATCCGAAAAACAGAGTTTAAGAGAAGAAAGATGAAACATGAATGTTTTCGTATATTAACCCCAAAAGACTTTTGACAGGAAAAACAAAAATCTAACTCAAATCACAGGAGTTAGTACTAATTAGCATTATCATCATCACATCAATCAATATCAGCATAACGGCAATCCTCCTCCATATCAGCTAAATGGCGAGCTTCCTCATCATCAACAGGATATCAGTAAACACAGTAGGTAACATCGTCATCGTCATCTTCATCATCAACATCATCATAATCATCATCAGAATAACAATTTGGTGGTATTCCGCTTAGAGGCTTTCCTCCACCTAAAACTTGGGTACAATCAACCACTGAGTCTACACAAGGAAATATAGTATCTTGTTCACCAGGCGGCTCTACTACGAGAACAATTATATTTCTCGATTTCATACAATGAAGAACCCTGTGCAACTCCGGGTTGTGTTTTTCAACCCACTCACAGAGTACAATGTTCTTGTTGTTGTTCATGAATGGTGTCTGACTTTAGAAGCCTCGACACTTGTCTCGATTCAATTTTAATATCACTTTGTTAGTATGCATCTATTAATATTGTTCATGGGCCTCCATTTACCCATTCTTTTTATGTGAGCCTAGGCTTGTTGCGGCAATCAATACATTATTTTAAAGTGGTAGAAATTGTTGTAATTAGTTATGCATGAAACAAAAAAAAAGTTATGTACAGTATGTTGTTTTGATAAACATGATATTGATAATTACTTACTAATGACCATTTATTCATAAAGTTTTTCAACTCAAACAGTCTAAAATGTGGAATTTTTAATGATTTAAACTGTCAAATTTTAAGCACCTTTTCGCGTCTATCATATCTTTATATACAGAGACTATAACACATATATTTACTCTATTCATTATTTGGTTTAATTAACCACTAATTCAACATAATTTCATAATGAATTTATTATAAAAGTCAAATTTGGAAATAAAATCTCATTCTATTATTGTAACGTTCGTGACATTAATATCTTCAAGATAAGTTTGAAAGTTTGATAGCCTCGTCATGACTTACACGCGGACAAATTTTTCTATTGTATGTAAGACAGATATGAAGATTTGTGGCTTCGCCATGACTTACACGTAAAAAAATATTTTCTTATATGTATTAAAATAGACACAAATGATTTACGGTTTCACCATGACTTACATGCGGACAAATATTTTCTTAAATGTACTTAAAATAGATATAAGAGATTATGACTTACACACAGACAAATATGTTCTTAATTTTGTTCAAGATAGCTATAAAAGATTTATAGTCTTCTCATGACATACACATAGACTAATATTTACTTAATAGTCAATAACAATTTTCAAAAGTCATTATGCAAAAAGTTTTAAAAAGTAAACTACAAGTAGAAAGATATTTTTAATTGTATTTAGGATAGACATAAGAGATTTATGACATCTTCATGACTTACACGCGGTTACATACTTTTTAATTGTAATTCAAAATTAAATAATAAGATTTATGGTATTGCCATGACTTACACACGGACAAAATATTTTCTTAATTATACTAAAAATAGATAAAAGAGATTTATAGTCTCTCCATTTCTTACACACAAACAAATTTGTTCTTAATTGTATTTAAGATAGCTATATAAGATTTATAGTCTCGCTATGATATACATGTGGACTAATATTTACTTAATAGTCAATAACAGCTTTCAATAGTCATAATGCAGAAAGTTTCAAAAAGTAAACTACACGTGAAAAAAAAATCTTAATTGTATTAAAATAGACATTAGAGATTTATGGCTTCTTCATGACTTACACTCGGCCATATACTTTTTTAGTTGTATTCAAGATTAAATAAGAAGATTTATGGCCTCTCCATGACTTACACGCGGATAAATATTTTCTTAATTAGATATAAGAGATTAACAGCTTTTTCATGACTTACACATAAACAAATTTGTTCTTAATTGTATAAAAGATAACTATAAAAGATTTATAGCCTCGCCATGACATACACGTGGACTAATATTTACTTATTAGTTAATAAAAAATAGTAACAGTCATTGTACATAAAGTTTCAAAAAGTGAATTATAATTGACAAAAATGCCCATATATTGATTCTTTTTATTTATTTTATTTATAAAAGTCCTTAGTTTTTATTTGAGTCATTTTACAACCACAACTTTTAAAAATAAAAAATAAACCCATATTTAACTTTATGTTGTCTAGTACTCTTATATATATATACATAGCATCAAAATCAATTGGACAATTATATTAAAAATTACTGGTTTAAAGTGGTTAACAAAAACTTTGACATCTTATGGATAAATAATTATCTAATCGTTTGATTGACCTAATTATGATTGCATTTTATATCTTACTACATTGGCTATATCTTTTCAGAATTTGCTAATGTTACTAGGAAAATTGTCATTGGAACTGATATTTACATGTTTTATATATGAAAGGGTTGTTTTTATTAACAAGAAAAAATTAAGGGTTAGATTTAAAAAGTAAAACAATCGATTGGATCTATAAGGGACTTATTCTGTGATTTTTCATTTTCTTTTGTCCTCACACTTAAAGGTTAAACTGGTAAATCTTAAAATAACCAATATTTTTCGTTTAAAAGTAATTTTAATATATATATATGGTAATTAACTCTAACAACTTTAGTCCACTTGCAATTTAGTCAATAATTTACTTTCTTTGAAAGTAATTAATTAAAGTAGTTAATGATTTTGCAAAACTGCATTAACTCGCCTTAAATTTTCTCTTAACTCATTTATGTATATGTTTACTATATATGTATGTATATATATGGCCCTCTATTTCATACTGAGAGGTGGTAAGAAACTGATAGAAATTCACTTCAAAAATTGACATCAAACTCGACGAGCTAAAAGAGGTGAAGTTCTTTTTCTTATCTTTTATTTTAAAAGAGCTCTGTTCATATATCTATATTTATATATTGCTTACTGTTGATTTGAAAGAAATTTTCTGTTCGAATATGTATGTGAGAGGAAAGGATATGGTTCAAGTGTCATTGTTATCATCGGGAATGGCAATTATATTCCTTTCCTCAAAATTCTTAGTATAACAAAACTAATTATGCATATAAAACAATCACATCGTATTTGTTTTGTATTATCATATGGTGATTTACTAAACAAGTTTTATATATAACTCATGCTCACGTTAACAAAGACCCATACAGAAATGGGTTGATTTTCTTGATCTCCTTCATTGGAGAACATGACTGATTTTCAATAGTCCACTAAAGAATATACATAGATATATAAACTATAGTTTTTTTGTGGTATCTTAAATGGATAAAAAAAAAGATGACGAGATCTATCATTTGGGGAATTATTCATACATTTATTTAATTTGTTTCTAACTAATTGCTTGAATATGGGAAGAGACGAAGAAATATAGTTAAAAAATTGGAGTATCCTTTTCGGTTTTTACTTTACCATATGCATGAAAAATTTATACAATCATTCTTCTTTTTGTCCTCTTTTCTCTTTGGAATATTTCTTTTCACATTCAATCTTCCATGACTTACAGACAGACATACTTACATACATACATATACATATACATATACATGATATGATAGGAACTTTTTAAAACCAAAAAAGAGAGACCCATATGAGATGATGATGACGATTGTGACAAATAATTATTTTGACAATTTAAGAAAAATATTAGATGCTTTGTGGATTAACTTTTGAAAATTCAAGAAATCTGTCCCTATATATATTAAAACATTTTTTAAAATAAAATTTTATGAGATTTAATTAGTTTATAGTTTTAAATTTCGTATTTCTGTATTATTTTTTATTTTTTTTTGGAAACACAAAGGAGACTTTTTTTAGAAGTTAGTAAAATTTTAGTATTATATGAAAACATAGTCGTCGCTTAGTTTTATAACCGCTAATTTATTTCAAACTCAAAATAATATTTTTTTACCTTATTTGGATATTTCTCTTATGACATATTATATGGTCGAACGTTTTAAATTAGTTAAATCTTACATACGCACAAAGTCCATCATTTTCATTTCTTTTAAAACAAAAAAAACATGTAATTTCTTTAAGATGTATTAAACCATAAACTTATTTTTATATTCGTGATGCTAAACTTTTCTTACAAGAGCAATCTCGTATAGATATTTTATGTAAGTGTCAAATATCTTCTTCTACGTTATTTTAAAGTCATATTACAATATGGTAATTGTTTTCTAAAACCTTTTAGATCCAAAAAAAAACAAAAGAAAAAAAAATAGAAATTTATTATTCACATATGTTAGCGAGAGAGAGGAGCTGTTGAGGGTTGTCTCACGCACCATCCACTGTCGTTTTGTGGCAAATGGATTGGGTCCACCGACCTCTGTAGCTCTCATAGTTTCTTTTTCTAAAATTAATTACATATTTAGAAAAAATGATATCGAAAATAATTAATTGCTCTGTGTATATGTGTTAGTGTCTACAGGCGACACCCAAATTAGAGAAAATATTCTTATTTAAGTGCGTAACAAACAAAACAAAAATTATATAAAATTTACAAAATAAGAATATAGTTTTTAGTATCCTATGTATCATATAGAATTATCATACATATAAAAATTAGAACTATACCAAATTAACCAAGCTAGATTTAAATTCAGTTTGATTATCTTACCCTATTTTTTAACCGAATATGAACTTTTAACACTCTATGCTATAAAATTGGGTGAGTTTTTTCTTTTTTTCTTTTTACTAGCCTACACTCTTTTTCACCTGTCACTTTCAACTTCTCTCTTCTATTACCTCACAAGAATTTCTATGTTTTTTTAATTATTTTATATCTATTAAAAAAAGTATTAACAATTATTAAAAAATCTGGAATATCCCAATTTTAGGGCTTTATTGAGATAAGATATCAGTGGAAGTCAAAAAAGAATTTAATGTTAAAGAGTTTCTTCTCTCTAATTTCATTTCATTTCTCTTTTTTTTTTCTTTTTCTTCTTTCTCTCTCTCACCATCACATAGAACACAGAAGAATCCATGGCTGCTTCTTCATCCTCCGCTGCTTCCTTCTTTGGAGTCCGACAAGATGATCAATCTCACCTCCTCCCTCCTAATTCCTCCGCCGCTGCTCCTCCTCCTCCACCTCCTCACCACCAGACACCGCTGCCACCGCTTGAAGCTCCACCGCAGAAAAAGAAGAGAAACCAACCAAGAACTCCAAGTAAGTTAATTAATTAACCTCTTAATTCAAATCTTGATTTTATCAATCATGTGATCATTTTTAAAAAAGAACTTCTTAATTGGTGAAAAAGATAAATCCCTTTTTCATGTCCTTTTTTCTTCTCCCTTTTCCTATTCTTCAAATCTTGAAATAAGCAAATTAGCAAACCCTAGTACTTGATTTTTCAAAATTCAGATTTCATTCAATTTATCTTCCATGCAATATAAAACTTTAAAAATTTAATTAATAATTTTTCTCTTGATTAGATTCCGATGCAGAAGTGATAGCTTTATCTCCAAAGACACTAATGGCTACAAACAGATTCATATGTGAAGTATGCAACAAAGGGTTTCAAAGAGAACAGAATCTACAACTTCACCGAAGAGGACACAATCTTCCATGGAAGCTTAAACAGAAATCGACCAAAGAAGTGAAGAGGAAAGTGTATCTTTGTCCGGAGCCCTCGTGCGTCCACCATGACCCCTCACGTGCTCTCGGAGACCTCACCGGAATCAAGAAACATTATTACCGTAAACACGGTGAAAAGAAGTGGAAATGCGATAAATGCTCTAAGCGTTACGCTGTTCAATCAGATTGGAAAGCTCACTCCAAGACTTGTGGTACCAAAGAGTATCGTTGTGACTGTGGTACACTCTTCTCTCGGTAAGTATTCCAAATCTTTTAAACTCTTTTAATTATAATTTAATCTAGTAAGCTATTGATATGTGTGTGAATATGTGTCTGTGAGTCATTCTTCATGAATTAGGGTTTTTTTTAGGTTCACTTTCTGTTTCGCCTCGAAGTCTTCGATGCTCTTATCGCTTTCTTTCGTGCAGTAAATGCAACTTTAGTTTTCCTTTTTTTATTTAAAAATATTTTAGAAAAAAAACTAAAAATGATACAAGAACACACGTGAATTTGTGTGTATATAACTATATCTATATATGACACTGAAACTGCCATATTTCAATAGATGCTTTCTAGCAGAAACTCAAAACCAAAGAGGACCAATTTCAATTTCAGTTTTTTTTTTTTAATATTCTTTTGCCTTGGAAACACCGCCCTATTTTCTGTCATAAAAATAAATTAATATATTTTCAGGATTTTTTTTTCTTAGATATGAAATTATACTTATACTATATGGGCAATTCACGTGCTGCTAAACTATATAATATCTAGGGAGGTTGTTGTTACAGTGTTTGTTCTCTTATGTGTAAAATTTTACGAAAATATAATTATTTCATATGATTCGTGTGTACTATGCACCATAGCCTTACACACCACATATTATTTTGGTTCACTACCTACACATTTTGCATAAAATGGCATACATTTGCATAGAAGTGATAACTAATATACTAAATAATTATTTCGAATATAGAGTTTTTTCCTTCTCAGTATTGGCTGGCATTGCTGTCTTTGTGTGTGTGCGTGCATTTAGAGGAGTTCTATAAATAGAATGAAGTGAATAAATATGTGGTGGTGCAAAATATATATAAGTAGCTAGTTTTTTAAATATATATATAAAAATATAAGTAGTTCATTGAATACATGCTCAACTTGCATTTATTGAACTTACAGGATCTTGAATTAGACAAATTCAGATATTCATTTGACAATCATTCTCTATACATCAGTGTGAAAACTTAACTTTTTCCACCTACCTTTAGAATTCGTTGAATACCCATTTATTTATATATATTATGCATAATTGTTTTCCGGAGTTGATTAATAATATTTATGTTTATTATTACTGCATAAACTGATAATATTGATAGAGTTAGATTTGTTCGTACACATAGTCATATATAGACAAATGCATCATCATACTTGAAATGTGACACAACATTGTACTCCTATTTATGTATATGCGTGCAATTTTGTTATATGCATCATACATGTGAGTGTGTAAGCTTGTTAGGAGTTTACATAGGTGTATAATAGAGTAGTAGAGTGACTTTCTAGCCCTCTATCTACTTTTCAAGATCCCATAATTACACGCGAATCTATTTGTAGCTACGTGACATGATGAGTCTCTCTCTCTACTTACATTTATATTTTTTCTTTCACTTTTCGAAATATGTCTTTTATTTCATCATTTTATATGTAAAGTATAGAGATATATATCTGACGATCCAATAGATTCCATTGTGAATTGATTTTTATTTATTTTATTTTGTGTCACAGGCGAGACAGTTTCATCACACATAGAGCTTTCTGTGACGCGTTGGCTCAAGAGAGTGCGAGACACCCAACTTCATTGACTTCTTTGCCAAGTCATCACTTCCCGTACGGACAAAACACCAACAACTCCAACAACAACACTTCAAGCATGATCCTTGGTCTGTCCCACATGGGGGCCCCACAGAATCATGATCACCAGTCCGGTGACGTTCTCCGTCTTGGAAGCGGAGGAGGAGGAGCCGCTTCACGGTCTTCCTCTGATCTCATTGCTGCGAATGCTTCAGGCTACTTCATGCAAGAGCAAAACCCTAGCTTTCATGATCAACAAGACCATCATCATCATCATCAACAAGGGTTTTTGGCTGGGAACAATAACATCAAGCCATCACCGATGAGTTTTCAACAGAATCTGATGCAGTTCTCACATGATAACCATAACTCTGCTTCCTCCAATCTCTTCAATCTCAGCTTCCTCTCAGGAAACAACGGAGTTACTTCTGCGACAAGCAACCCTAATGCTGCCAATGCTGCTGCTGTTTCTTCGGGTAATCTTATGATTTCGAACCATTTTGATGGTGAAAATGCTGTTGGAGGAGGAGGAGGAGGAGGAGGAGAAGGAAGCACTGGTCTCTTCCCTAACAATCTGATGAGCTCGGCCGATAGAATCAGCTCAGGATCAGTCCCTTCACTCTTTAGCTCATCAATGCAAAATCCAAATTCAGCACCTCACATGTCAGCCACTGCCCTTCTTCAGAAAGCTGCTCAAATGGGTTCAACCTCAAGCAACAACAACAATGGAAGTAACAACAACAACAACAATAACAATGCCTCATCGATCCTAAGAAGCTTTGGGAGTGGAATCTACGGAGAAAACGAGAGTAATCTTCAGGATTTGATGAATTCTTTCTCTAACCCCGGCGCAACGGGAAACGTTAACGGAGTTGATTCTCCTTTTGGTTCGTACGGAGGAGTCAACAAAGGATTAAGCGCTGATAAACAGAGCATGACTAGAGACTTTCTTGGAGTTGGACAGATCGTAAGAAGCATGAGTGGAAGCGGAGGGTTTCAACAACAGCAACAGCAGCAACAGCAACAACAACAACATGGAAATAGTAGAGAAAGAGTTGGCTCGTCGTCGGATTCCGCCGATAGAAGCAGCATGAATGTGAATACCGGTGGTGGTCCGGCAAGTACTTCACCACCTTATGGAATCCATCATGCGAGTTTCTAAGAAGATAAAAAAAGTTTCTAAGGAGAAATTTTAAAAGGTTTTTAGTTCATCAAAGTACATGCTATATCTTTCAGGTATGCATGTCGTCATCAAAACCCCCATTTGAAGTAATTAAAATTTTAGTTTCAATTTATCTAAACTCAGTTCTTTTTTTTTTTTTCTTTTGTAAAAGATTTTGCCTTTCATAGTTTATATAAATGGATTCCCTCCTGAAACAAATTCAGAGTTATAGTTTATAATTTCAGAATGAAGAAATTTTCATTTTATTATCCATGGAATTCATAATATTTGGGGGGTTTTTTTCTTGCCTTGCCACTTGAAAAAAATCAATCTATTTTCTGGATTATAGTTTTAGAGTAAATAAGTAATTTATTTATTTACTTGATGCCTTGACGAAGAATTCAGATTTATAGTTTATGGTTTCAGAATGAAGAAATTTTCATATTATTATCCGTGGAGTTCTTATATATATATATTTCTTGCCTGGTGACATATTAGATACTTTAAGAAATTCAATATATTTTTTGTTATAGTTTTAGAGTAAATAAGTAATTTATATATTTACTTGTGGAGTCAATGCTAAGTCTTCTTTGTTCTGTATGAATAATAGGGTCAAAGACTATACTAACGGGTTTAACTATAAAAAATTGGGTGTGAATAATTGTTTTTGGCAGGAAAAAAATGTATTAATTTTTGTTTTTGGCTGACACATTTATCGTCTTATCATTGCATGGGGCAGTCAATGAGTTGGAGAGTACAAGCAGCCTTTGCTAAGTTTTTCTTCGTCTTTTTGTTTTTATTTTCTTTTATTTGCCTTTTTATTCTTTAATTTCTTTTCATTTGTCATCTTCACTAGCTGGCAATGTCACGAGTGTTTGTCCTGTGATCTCCTTTCTAAATATCTCGATACATGTATATGTATACATGTCACATGTGCATATATTTATGCACTTGTATAGTTCTGTATGTAACATGTTCCTACCATATCCTCAAAGGATTGTCCCCATCATATTTTTAAATTTGACGGTCCAAAATAAACAATTCTATCTCAACATTCACGCGTCTTCTTCATTATTGATGCTAATTTGCGGTTAAAAAAAAATAGCATCAATTGAAACTACTACATCTAAATACAATTTCGATTTTTTTTGGAACATATTTTGATTAAAATATATCTTTAATGTTTTTAAAGAATTAAAGTTTTAGTTTTTAATAGTTCTGTTACTATTTTCTTTTAGACTGGATTTTTTGTTGGCTTTTTCAAATATCTAAAAATTTGATTCTAATGGAACTTGAAACTCATTCAAGTATGTTGATTTTTCGGTTCGGTGTATGTTGCTTGATATTTTCATGAATTTTGAGCTAGTTTTAGATATTTTTGTTAACGTATGAACATAACATTACATTATTGTGACAACATCTACAATTGTTGAAATAACGATATTAATAATAGTAATATGATGTCTTTGTCGTAATAATTTATATGTGGAATAACAATAATAGTTAAATTTCATATATATAATGTAGGGACATACATGCAAGTGATGGAAGTAAGGAGGCCCATCGACATGAAACGAGAGGGAGAGATGATATCGTTGTCTCACCAAAAACAGACAGCTCTTCTCTCATCTTCTTATTTTTCCCTGTTTCTTTTTCTGTTCTAAAAATGTTTTGCTTTTAACCTTTTTTTTTGAATCATAGAATAATTAATTCTTGGTTAAATAATCCATGTAAAAAACTCTCTTGTTTTCAGTTACATGTCATAAATCATATCCCCAACCCAAGTTGAATACAGTTAGAGAATAATGTAGATTTTAACCATCAACGACAAAGAGAATTGGCGAGTTGTGGCACAGTAGTCCCCGGCTTTAAAATTAAAAACGTAAATTTGTTATAGTTTATAGTTCAATTCTATTCTGAGGAAACTATGTGCGTTTACCACTTGCTTAATATAATGACCATTTAAGACATATGTCCTTTTAAACCAATCAAAATCATTTTTATATTGAAAAAGTGTTGTTTCGAACGAATAATAATCAAAGTTTGAACATATCATCCTTCATTCGTTTAAGAAATTTTCTATTCATTATTTTTATTTAATATCTTAAGGTGAATTACTTATTTGATAGATGTTATAGTTATACTTATACCAATGGATCCAAATTTGTGATTTGATCAATTAGAATATATAAGCATATTATCAATGCATCTATTAATTAATTGTTGTTGTATGGCCCAATTAAAGATTTCCCATAATGAAGTGGACCAAGAACAAGCAGAAGAAATCTCAAGAATTTTTGTAGTATTCATAAACTTTTCTCGACAATCTCTTCACGGGCCATTTTTTTTTTCTATCTTTCACATGAACGACAACTCTGTCATTCACATGCTTTACCCTTTTATTTTTTCTTATCCATTTCAATTAATATAAATCCACATATCAACTTTATATATATAATCTCTCCGATTCAGAAACTTGATTTTTCTTCTCTTTATACTATTGAAGAATTTCCCTGAGAAACATAATCGCTGTATTTTTTTAATGGTTGTAACTCTCCATACGGAGCATAACCCACTAGAGACAAAAGACAAAAAAAAAAAAAAAAAAAGAATTTCAAGATTCTATCATATCGATTTGGACTTTTTTTATTTTTTCCTTCTGGTATGACTAGTATGAAACCAGAAAAGTAAAGTGAGATCAATTTTTTATAATGCTACTAGAAATTTTAATTAATTGAGACTTTTGTAATAATAATCCAAATTCGCATTAAAAATTTCCACACATTTTTTATTTGTAAAATTTGTGATTCATACGGGTTTATTTACATGTGCGTTAAATCAAATTTGGAGGTCAGTAAGGTTTTTTTGTTTCATTCTATCACAGTATTTTTTTGTCATTATATAATATAGTATTATATTTATCAAAATGTTAGAAATATTAAATTCGTTGAATTATTTTTGTAAAACAATGTGATTATATTTTTTAATCATAGTTAAACATGAAGACTACAAGTATGGATATAAATAAGAAGGTCCAGAGTCTGTGGACAGCTTTGGAGGGCGGGAAGGGATATGCCCATATCTTAAGCTTGAATCCTACATATACTCTTAATAAGAAACTATGAGTCAACAACAGTAAAAGAAAGTATACCAATTTTTTCGTTGTTGACATAATATTTTTAAAATAACATGATGTCTAAAAGAAAAAAATCATTTCAGTAAAGAATATATTTAGATTCATATTTTATATTTTAAAACATAGTCTTTAAAACTAATTTTGCATCATCCTCTTCTCGGTGCTTACCACTTCGTGAACTGGATTCAATTGGTTTCTTAATATATATTGTATTTTTGTGCATGTAAAATGTAAATGAAGGAAACAAAAAAAATGTAAACAAATTTTGATCGAAACACATTGTATTTAATTATTTTTAATTTATATTTAAAAAAAGCGTTTAACAATTTCTTATGGTTCCGTTACATGTCATCTTTATGTGTTTCTGTATTTATTTATTTTCTTGGATAAAATTATGTGTTAATGTATTACTGTTTTATATTGTTACTTAAGAAAAAGAACCCTTAGAATAGACCATGATCAAGAAATGGTGATGTAGTGGTAGATTTCGGCCAGAATTATTTTTTCTGTGTATGGATAATTTGTCAAATCCTCCTATCTAATGAGCCACACTATTAATATTTTCGTTGTTACTCTAAAAATATAAAAACATGATATGGTAATCTAACGTCATGTTATATACATTTTGGGTCGGGACATGTGAAATTGAGTAGGTATAGAGATAGTCAAAGTTGGGAAAGTAACGATAAAGACGAAAAGAAACGAGTTAAGGTATGTCTTTGAAGTGTCAGCAGCATTTTGCCTTAACTTTAGTGTTAAGTTAATTATCAAAAAAAAAAAAAAAACAAAACTCTAGTGTTAAGTTCTTTGAAGAAAAAAAACACATTATGAAACCCTAAAATAAATAACTTGGACTTGATTTATCAAATGATTAGGTACTATTTACTTATTTTTATATTTCCCCCATATATTGAATTAGGTGGCCGACTTCCTTTTTATTGTCTACTACTATCATTTACAGTAGTAGACAATAAAAATGTATGAATTTCGGCTCAGTTATGTACTTAAATATGTGTACACATTTCCACGAAAACTGCTAACTCAAACCATAAAGAGATGGAGAACGCGACAACTCAACTGATAAGATGGATAGACAAACATGTTAGAAATCAACTCACCACCATTCAACAGATGTGTGATCAACGGTATGACACAGGTTTTGAAGTCTGGTTCCAAGCGTACGAGCATGAATCTTTCATCAATATTTCTATAGGACGATCAGATGTACATCTATTTTGTGAAAATACTTTGCCAGTATCCAAAATTTGAGAAATTAGTAGATGACTTACACCAAATTGTCTAGAAATCGGAAGTGTCCTCTAAAATACGTGGGTCGGGGGAGATATAACCATGAGAAAGTTTCTTTCAAAATCTCTAACACTATCACAACGTTGTTTGTTCACTCAATCGATCTGTACAAAAATAAAACAGACTAAATGGATCCTAGAAAAACATGGTGAAGGCTCTAAGATATATATGGTTTTACATCAAAGTGGTAAGTAAATATCAGCCAAGCAGCAAGCGTTGAAACATCACAAATCAAACATAAAAAGTAGAAAAATGTTTCAACCTAAAGAAAATATTCCACGAGAATCCCAAGCGATTTGCAAACCTAAAACCAAACTCATAACAAACAGAATTAAAGATCATACCAAGAACCTCAACTCGTATACATGGGTTTGAAAAAAGGGGCTAAGCTTTTTCAATAGTGGATACTTCAATGAGCTCCCACAAAATCTTGAACATTGAGTTTTCAAAAGAGCATATAGCACCATCCTAATATTTCAAATATATAGTTTCATGGAAGATATTCTCAAATCATTTTGAGATCGACCTCTAACTTTAGTGAATAAATGTAACCGGTATACACCACATCCTAGCTAGGTATTATCACGGTTTTAACTACGCTCATGTTTATCTACTTTCCAAAGTAACCTATCCTCAAAACACGAGTTCAAAACTTCAAAAAACATCTTAAATTTTTGAGCAATAAAAATTCTTAAATTCACATATATATATATATATATATATCATCAAAAGATATTTGGAGTATAAAATTTGATATAATACAAAAAGATTAGCACACAAAAAACTTTTTTTTTTTTTTTGAATAACCGCGGGTCTCCCAAAGGCTTCCTAGGCCCAAGGACTAATTCCACGAGACTGGCAATTCCCCTATGTAAACCTGCCAGTGGCCGTGCTTCGAACCCTGGTGGCGGAAGTCACAGCTGTGACCCCTTTACCACTAGGCCACAAGGCCCGGTTTCAAAAAAAAAAAAAAAAAAAAAAAACCTTTCATTAAAGATAGAACAAATGTTAATTACTTTTATTTTGAACACTTAAAGATTTTTATATCATATGATCAATCCAAATATATCGAAGTAAACCATGTACTACTTTTGAAATTTTGTTTCTTCTATATATACTTCAAAAATTGAATTGTGATATATTATCGAGTTAACTGTTAAATCAATTGGGGTTCTATCTACTAACTGATATGCAATATAAGCCAGAATATTGTGCAAGATCAGTAGAGGTAGTGACTCAACATATTAATATATTAATACGGAAAAATCAATTCCCTTCTCTTTGCTTCACCTGGTTATTATACATTATACAACATAATATTTCTTTGATTTTGACATTTTCCTATATAGCTTCACTCACAATCAATATTTATAGATCAAATATATAATATATAATTATTTCGTTATTATATATAATGTGAATTTTCAATTACAACATGATATTTAATAAAATGAAGATGTTGGATGCTTCTGTTTGGACTGTCCTTTGTATTGGAATATATCCGATACGATTGGAGTATTATTGTCTTTAAATATGCTCATATGTATATTTGCATGTGCAATGTGGGATGTGTAATCTAGTTTAATGAATTAAATTTAGTATCTATAACATGGTACGTATGCATTTATAATTATACATATAGTCATAAACTATTCAATTAAAGAAAAAAAATTCCCCGAATAAATCTGTAGGATATATTCAAGTGGATGTTTTATTTTCCTTTATATATATGCAGCCAGAAAAAAATACGATTTTTATTTTTAAATACCGGACATGACATCACATACGGTACAACTTGAACAGAGACCCACCTAATCATAGTTATATTTTAGTCTTTAATTATATAAACTTTGTTAATCATATATATGACCAAAAAAAACAGTTCCAAAAATAATTGCGTTTGTTTATAACAAATATGCAATAACAAGTTTGAGTATGGATAGTAACAATACTCTGATCCGATAGATAAGTTGTACAAAATTTTTAGCTGTAAATTGGAGCGGTAAATTTTTACGTAATAGTTCGAACCTGTAAAAAAAAAAAAGTGATACATGAAAGCTATACAAAAAACTGAGAATAACGATTTTGGTAACATTTTTAGTAACGTTTTGGTGATTGGTAACTGTTAAAACAGTATATCCTGTACTACAGCGGTAGGAAGTCACCAATCAAAGCCATATAACACGAACCATATATTATGTTATAAATTTTTTGTTCCAAATGCAAAAATAGTCTTACATATACTTTTAATTATATTAAATTTATGTACACGTATAAACTATTAACAACTCAAATATAAAATATCTCATTAGTTTAGACATAGATCACTTTGTTCAAAAAAAAAAAAAATTTAGACATAGATCCATAAATTTAAATATACAACTTTTAAAAGTAAAAAACCTATAATATAATTATAAAGTTTGAAGAAGACATGCATGTAGCCTAATGATTCATGAAAACACCGTCATTGCGTATAAACATTATTTAAAATATCGTAAAATCAGGATATCTGTATTTCTATTTTTTGAAATGGATATCTGTGAACATGTCTCGGTGGACAGCTAAATTTGATTTATCTGAAAATTCAACATGAAAAATTAGAGAGCTAGCTTTCGAAAGTTAAACACTTTATTTGGAACATCATTTTAGGTTATGTGGTAGTAAATTATAGATTAAGATAGATCGTGAGATGTATTCTGATATCTTTTGTCCCGTTATGGGGCAGCGCGAGAGACGATTTATCTCCTATACCTTCGATCTTGAAAGTGTTCCCATGTCGGTTTATGAGAACATGAAATTCATATTATGGTGTCGACCGAAGCATGACGGATCAGAACAAGAGGCTGAGACATTCCTTTAGATTTTTATACAGCATAAATGCAAGTAGGTCTTTTTTGATGTTTAGTGAAGATTTTGTATACACTAAATGGTGGGTGATGTCTAGCTATGGTTAGATTGGTGTTTTTTTTTTCCCCCAAAGTTTCTACCATTTTTAACCATTCAACCGCATTTCATTCTTTAGCCATTTCGTTTAATCCGCCTTCTTCATTCGAAACCATAAGTCAACAAAATAGCAAACTTACATTCTTTTATTATATAAAAGACAAACTCTAACCAAATCCAAACTTAAAAAGCTCACTAAAGATATATTATATATTGATTATGAAAACAACAAGCGAAGATAACAAAATTATTACCTAATTAAGTTATACAATAATAAGATATTATCAACCTCTTCCAAATGGATGATTTTGCTCAGGAAACTTCACTTCACCATCCAAAGAAACTCCTCCACGACCACTGCCGCGACCACCACCACCACCGCGATTTACATTTCTCACCATTCCTCCAACTCCAAGAAAATCTAACGTTAACTTATCCGAGCCGCTCATATTTCCATTGTCTCCAAATTGAACGTCGAAGATACTGCCACCGGATCCTCCACCGCCATTAACGGCCGCTAATGAGTTCATTAGACCTTGAAGGTTTCCATTATTATCATTCTCCATAATTCGTCCTCCACCAAAGTGATTAGCGATAGCACTTGATGAATTAGACGAAGAAGCTAAGCCTCTGAACAAAGCAGAAGGATCGTTGCTTGTGACTGAACCCATTTGTGTAGCTTTCTGAAGCAGTGCCGTGGCTGACACGTTAGAACTCGCGTTCAAGTTTTCTTCACGGTGATGAACAAGGACGTCGGTGCTATATAGAGAAGGAAGAGTCGTCTCCGAGTTCTTGGTGTTTTCTTGAAAGAATCCGAGGTTGAAGAAGCTGTTGTTGGTGCTGCTATTCTTGAGGTTGATGTTGTCGACTGGATCAAACTGTATCAGACCATGCTGGTTCATGAAACTCTGATCATTGTTGTTTGGCGTTGTAGTCAACATTCCTTGGCTCGAAGCGCATTGGATTAGGAAGTTAGGGTTTGACGATTGCGGAAGAAAGTCTCTCCTATTTTCAGAAGTTGCAATGTTCAGATTGTAACCCCCCAGAGAGGAAAATCCAGAATTCGGATGGTCACTTAAATGGTGGTGTGAGAGAGCGCTGCCACCGCCAAGTCTACCGTAGATTCCGCCAGAGCCGACACCGCTACTAGCAGCTGCCATTGACGTAAAGCTCACGGTAGGGTTTCTTGCAGTCTCTTGTATCAATGCATCGCAGAAAGCCCTATGTGTGATGTAACTATCACGTCTATAAAGCAAAAAAAAAATGTAAATAAGACAACGGTCGATAATAAAGCTATTAATTCAATATATATATATATATATGAAAACTTATATTATATAATAATTCCGTGAGTCATAATCAATAAATGCTATAGTTATTGTGGCTACCATATATAGGAGAGAATGATAGAAGAATATAGAGGTCGAGTCAATTGCTAATTTAGTGAAAGACCTTCTTCATTTAATGCAAAACCCATGAATGTTAATATAAGTCAGTCACATTCTGCAACAACGTATATTACTCAAACAATGAAAATATAGAAAGAAACCCTAGAAGAGCATTAAAGTGTTCACCAGAACACTGTAATAAATATAAGGAACGCACTCTTACCAAATATGTATGTATATATTATTACATACATAGAGAGAGAAAGAGATAAGAAGAGGGTCCACAAATGAAGAGGAGTTTCGTAAAAAGGGGAACCTGCAAAGTGAAGAAGAAGAAAACAAAAGTGGAAAATAGAAAAACAAAATCCAACTCATACATGTGACCAAATTTAGCATCTTTTAAATTTTCTTACTCTCTATTCACTGTCTTTCTCTATTCACTACTCATCAACAACCAAACAAATACATTGATAGATCCTATGTACATAATGACTATATACATTTTATAGGCGGTGTACTCGAGGTTCAAATTCCGTGGCCAAATATACAATATTTCAATCACAGATGATTAAATATATTTGGTATTTTCCATGTAAATTAGTAAATAAGCTAAGTTTTACATGCAGTGTTGAATGCAGCTTTTACTTAGAATAGTTTTTCAATATAATACAAAATAAAGGTGGTCCATTGTTATACTTACCAAGATAAGAAGGTATATCTAGATACCACACACACTGACACATATATTATACGTTTCATCACTTAAACCAAATACGAACAAATTATTTAAATGAAATGGATAGAGATTAGTTACCTAGAGAAGATGGTACCACAGTCACATCGATATTCTTTAGTACCACAAGTCTTAGAGTGAGCCTTCCAATCTGACTGAACAGCGTAACGCTTAGAACATTTTTCACATTTCCACTTCTTTTCGCCATGTTTACGGTAATAATGCTTCTTGATTCCGGTGAGGTCTCCGAGAGCACGTGACGGGTCATGGTGAACGCACGTGGGCTCCGGACAAAGATATACTTTCCTCTTCACTTCTTTGGTTGACTTCTGTTTCAGCTTCCATGGGAGATTGTGTCCTCTCCGGTGAAGCTGTAAATTTTGTTCTCTTTGAAATCCTTTGTTACATACATCGCATATGAATCTGTTTGTAGCCATTAGTGTCTTTGGAGATAATGCTACCACTTCCGCATCAGGATCTGTTTCAATTAATAAAAGACTTTAATCAATTAATCTTAGTCACCAATCGGATCCGAAATGTCAATCTATGTAGACTATATCGAGAAAAAGTTACACACAATTACAAACATGTACATAGTCTGTCAATATAAATGAAATCTTGATACTATATTTACAAAAAAAAAAAAAAGAACAATAGATTAGGGTTCTTCTATTTGTTTTCTTGGATTTATCTTAAAGCTTGTAGTAATTCTTATAGAAATTTTATTAGTTATAAATCCCATAAATATATATAAAAGAGAGAGATTTATATGTAAGAGGTACTTGCTTGGGTTTCCGGGTTGGTTTCTTCGTTTCTTGGGTGGTGGAGCTGAGGAGTTAGGTTGTTGAATCATTGACATAAAAGTATCTTTCCGGTTAAAGTCGTTATCTCCGGCGCCGGAGCTGGTGATGAAGAAAGGCTGAGCAGAGGATGATGATGAAGGAATAACGCTTGTGTTATATGATGATGACGACATCTTTAGATCTTCTTCTTTGCGTGGAAGAGAATAATCTACAAATAATTCATAAGACAAAAAAAGTTAGAAAAAAAAAAGATAGTGAAAGAAATCAACTAATCGTTTTAGAAGAAAACGAAGTGAGGAATTATAAGAACAGGAAAAATCCATAGAGATTGACGACATGAAGAATTTTTATAAAAACAATTCACTAGAAGACATAAACAAAGAAAAACAAATTAAGAGTTTATACTTTTGTTTTTTGTTCCTAAACTTTTGAAAGAATTAAGAGGAAAGATTTCTAAGTTGTTTTTTTCTTTGTACCTGAGATCAAGAGAAAGAAACCAAGAAGAAGAAGGAAGAAAAAATAGTCAAAATTAAAAGCTATAAATCGGAGCTAAAGAAAGAACCAAGAAGAAGATGATGCATGATGATGATGATATAGAAGGTGATGAAGAAGAAGACACTATTCCTATATATTATGTTTTATAATACAAATACAAACCTCAAAGCCCTATCTCTCTCTATATCTCTTTCTCTCTCTCTACTGTTTTGTGTTCTTCTTCTTTTAAAAATAAGCCATATATGAAATGATCTTGAAAAGTATGTCTAAGGTCCCCTCTCTGTCTCTATCATTTTATTTTATTTCATTTATAAAAAATAAAGCTACTTTTTTTTCTTATAATTTAATTTGACAGAATTAAGAAGGATGGTTACGGTTTGGGTGTCACTGTTAAAACGGTGAAATGTGTCCACATGCGGGGGTGTGTTGTGGGTACCACATTTTTCTCATTCGTATCTTTCTGGTGAGCTTTAAGACAAAACCCTCGTTTTCTCTTCATTTAACTTGATTAGGTTTTGTTGTACTAACTTTTTATTGTTTTTATCTAACAAAATCGTTAATAATATAACATATAGTATATTAATACACATGATACACCAACCATATAGACAATTTTTTAATTTTGTTAGATTCTTGTATGAAAATTAATATATTGCTTTTTTATTTTGGTTCAATATGTTCAATTGTTCAACCTCAATTAAGAAAAATCCAATGCAAAAGAATTGAACCAATTGGTTTGAACTTTGAACTAAACCTTAATCCTGAACGAGTAACCCTCAACCGATCTGAATAGATTTTAAACGATAAATCACAAAATTTCCATCATCAATGCGCTTATAGAACGGAATGGACTTCTTCAATGCGCTTCAGTCTATGAACTTTTATATAGCCAGAGAATTACTCGCATATTATTTGATTGAATTTGATACCCTTTTTAATAGTTACTGCTTGCGATATACCAAGTAGATTTGAACATTTTAATTCCAATATCACTTTAAGAGATTTGAGAAAATAATATTGATATATATATATATATATATTACTATTCGACCGTATAGTTTGATTTTCCCTTTTCCACCTAGTCTTTTTATCTTATATAATTTAATTGTTTTAAAGTTTAATTACAAAGTACCACAACATATTCAGTATTAGGCAACTTCTCAACTTGATCGTCTCTTCATTCCATCGATGCTTATAATGAGATCTTACCAACTGCAATAAGTCTTTGGACAGGGCCATATTCAACTAAGCTGAAATAGCTAAGCCTCCCTGATTGGGTTGTAATATGAAATAACACACACAAAAGAGCCTATATAAGGGAACAAAATGAGAGATATGCCACAAACAGCCCAAGACCCAGTTTTTTTGCCTTTTTGGGCCAGCCCACTAGAAAATTAAGCCAATAAGAAACTTAGATGAACTGACTCAATAACAACTCTGTTTCTGCCATTCCTAGAGTTTATAATAAACACTTCAAAGTTATTGGATTAGCTAGCCAACATATAAAGAGCTAGGTCTCTTTTTCACTAGCTCTTTTTCATCAATAGAATGAAAGAATTTTCATCAATAGAACGAAAGAGATAAACTTGGAAAATAAGGAACAGCTAAGCGTTTGTAACAAGAATGATACAAATGATAATAACCTGTAGAATGAGGATTAAGATCGAGAGCGACGAGGTTATCTTCATCGCGAAGCACGAGGATAACCTTATTGGTGTCCCTACAAATGGCCAAAGGTGTGAGAGGAGGGTGCGGAATGTCATGAGTAGTACCAAACAAAGTGGAGTAACTGGAAGTGGAAGGCAAGTGAACGGAGAAGATCTTTTCCCATGTGTTGTCTTTAACCCTCCACCAACTTTCTTGCTTATCTCCAGTCCACTCAGAGATGCAGAGACGGCCATGGAGATTGCATAGAACAATGCGATCACCATAACAATCGGAGGTAATAAAAGGTGGGGTTTGAATGACTTGAAACATCTCTGTGTGAATATCAAAAACTATGAGTTTGGTATCTGATGATTTTGGATCTCCATCTTCATCTCCCGTGAGCCAGTAGATTGATCCGTCTGCAAACACTGGCCCCTGATCGATCCACATATTATGATTCAAGATATTATGATGATCAAGAGAAATAGTATTCACGAACCTCCATGTTTTTTCTTCTAAATCCAAAACCTCACACGTAGTAGTAAAAAAAGGATAAGTATTATATAGCCATACTAGTTTATATCTCCCCGTAACGCTATCTTTCCCAAATCCAAACTGAGAAAATGACAGTCCTCGATACTTAACAGGATTTGGATCTTGAACTGAATCAGGATCGACCTGTTTGTTCATACAAATCTGTTGAATTCTCGATAGGGGGAGTTCTATGTACGTTTTTGTAGCCGGATTTACCACTTTTACTGCTATGTCAACGGCATATAAGCAGACAAGGCCATCGCAGCTCTCTGAAATATAGAGATTCCATTCAGTTATTTCAAATTTTAAAGCCTTCTCATCTACCACAGAAGCTGACGTCGGCTCCAAGGCAACTGTTTTTAAAGAGAAATTGGTTTCCTTTGCCACTCTATCTACAAAATAGTTAGAGACAAGAAGAAGTTTGCACTCTTTGCTTTGCTCAAGAGCCATGTATCTTTCTCCGAAATCCTTCGACATGATAAGATATCTCCAGTGTTTTGACACAGTTTGAAATCTGATGAGCGTTTTCACCGGAAGCATCACCAGGATTTCTTCGACGATATCGTTAGGTATATGAATCTTCTCAAACTCTGTTTTTCTTCGTTTGATTTCTTTTCTTGCGGACGAAGCAACTTGTTTGCTTGTTAGTAGTTTATGAGTCTTCTCCATTGATTTCATGTTACTTCTTCTTACTCTCGTGAATTGAATGTCCGCCGAATTCATAAACTATGTCTAGCAAGGAATTAGGTCAACGAACAAGCATAACCTAATTAACACTTTGTTACGTTTAGTTTTGTAATTTTGTTTTAAGTTACGCATCAATTGGGCCTAAACGAGCCAATGTAAAATACAAACCCATTGATCTAACATATATAACCCATTGAATTTTGTGTATATCAAACATGTGTTTTCTTTTTCTTGCTCAAGGAATCAAATTTAACTTGGCAAGAAAAGCTCACTGTTGATATCAAAAGAAAATAAAAATAAAAAAAAGCTCACTGGTTGTTACAAGCCCTCTTGAAAAAATCAAACAAAAAGGCCCATAATATAAACTCATTTGAACACATAATGGAAAAGCATCAAAATCCGAAATGGCCCAAAATGTTACGCAAGTCAATCAAATTACTAGAACAATGGTGTTCATCGGTTGTTGAACTTGCCTATGTCCTTCGCTCGTTGCTCTCATGCCAGAGGTTATAGACCGTTGACTGAAACGCCATATAAATAAGGATGAAAGTTAATTTCTCATAAGGTTTATCCATTAGCCTATGAAGTGTAATGGTCCAGTCCGGGTTCGGCGCTGCACCAAGAATATCTTCTACTACACTGTCCATACCGTAAACGTGTAGCTAGGGACAAGCAAAGAACAATAGATCCCTCGTTTCATCTGTCTTTCCCAAAAGAACAAACAAGTTTGGACACAAGGCCGATCAAATAATCTTACTCCATCATTACCGTCCAGAGCTTGCTAACAGTGATGATGTGTTTCTAATCAATTGAAAATTTCAATTTACAAATCACAACATTTTTTACAGAGATGTCGATGGAGACCATCCTTTGCGACACATTTTTTTTTTGAGACTATTTTTAAGAAAAAAAATGAATCCTTCAAAGTTCCACCTCAATAGGTGGTATTTTCCCAGTCCTCTTTTTCAACTAAAAAAGTAAAACAAATCTCCTAAAATCACTTCTACTAATTTTTTTAAAAAGAATTGTTATGTTTTGAATAACAGTGGATTTGGTATGATATTTACAAATTGTTGATTGAATAATAAGAGATTGTGAATTATTTTAAGTGCTTTTACATAAATTCCAACTTCAATAACATAGGATTTGAGAACAAATTTAAAGATCAACAGTTGAATAACATGGATTTTAATAAAAAAAAACCAAAATCATCTAAAATTCTTCATCCAATACACCCCCTTATTAGGTGTATTTTTTTATTTTACTTCATTTAGATCGACAAGACCTGACTCCTAACCCATTAATTCCTACTACGCGCAATAACAAGATTTGATGGAGTCAAATTCTGGTAAGGAAAGTTGCAATTAGACCTTTAGCCACTTGACTAAAGGCACTTCTCCAGTTTTTTTTTTTTTAAATTAAATTCGATATTTGTGTATGAAAAGAGCTCTATGAGGAATCTCTTAGAATTATTTTAGGGGGTGTTATTGGTTTATTAATTTGTAAATCCATATAGAATTTAAAAATTTCTATTAATTATGAAATCAAGATATATGGATTTTGAAATAACATGTGTTTACCCATGGATTTGAATTCTTTTATTTTTTTCTTTCAATTCCATTTAAAACATAATTTGGATTCTCAGATCCAAAAACAAATGACTAAACGAATAACATAGGATTTTAACTAGTATTTATAAATGATAGAACCAATAACACATGATTTTAATTAGATTTTAAAATCAATGATTGAATAACAAATGATTTTTGTCTGGATTTCTAATTCCTTAAAAATCCATGAACCAATAACCCCTGCTTAGTTTCTTGGTTAAACGTAAATTACAATGCAAAACAGAACGAAAGAGAGTGTGATACAACAAGCAGCCCAACGGTTAACACCAATATGTTTTTAGAACAGCCCACTCGAAAATTAAACTAACATGAAACCTAAATGAACCAAGATTGTAAGGAATAACTAAAATTTAAAACCGTCACCAAGATCAAAGAGACACAATATATATCAACTGTACGTATGCATGTGTCTACCATTCGGAGAGTTAGATATTCTGGAAACTACGAATGAAACTCACACACACTTATTGCCAATTTGTATCATGATACACATCAAAGTTATTGGATCAGTCAACATATATGACAAGCTAGGTCTCTTTTTCAATAGAATAAAAGAGTGATAAACTTGGAACATAAGGAACAGCTAAGCCGTTGTAACAAGAGAGATACAAATGATAACCTGAAGAGTGAGGATTAAGATCGAGAGCGACGAGGTTATCGTTACCGCGAAGTGCGAGGATAACCTTATTGGTGTCCCTACAAATGGCCAAAGGTGTGAGAGGGTGCGGGAAGTCAATACCAAACAAAGTATAAGTGGAAGGCAAGTGAACGGAGAAGATCTTTTCCCATGTGTTGTCTTTAACCCTCCACCAAAACTCTTGCGTATCTAAGTAATTATCTACCATCAATTCAGATATACAGAGATGGCCATGGAGATTGCATAAACCAATGCTTTCACCATAACAATCAGAGGTAATAAAAGTTGGGGTTTCAACGACTTGAAACATCTCTGTGTGAATATCAAAAACTATGAGTTTGGTATCTGATTTTGGATATCCATCTTCATCTCCAGTGAGCCAGTAGATTGATCCGTCTGCAAACACTGGCCCCTGATCGCTGTACAGATTATGATTCAAGATATTATGACGATCAAGAGTATCAGTATTGACGAACCTCCATGTTTTTTCTTCTAAATCCAAAACCTCACACGTAGTAGTAAAAAAAGGATAAGTATTATATAGCCATACTAGTTTATATCTTCCCGTAACGCTATCTTTCCCAAATCCAAACTGAGAAAATGAGTTTCTTGGATACTTAACATGATTTGGATCTTGAACTGAATCGGGATCGACCTGTTTGTTCATACAAATCTGTTGAATTCTCGATAGGGGGAGTTCTATGTACATTTTTGTGGCCGGATTTACCACTTTTACTGCTATGTTTATGGCGTATAAGCAGACAAGGCCATCGCAGCTCTCTGAAATATAGAGTTTCCATTCAGTTTTTTCGAATTTCAAAGCCTTTTCATCTACCACAGAAGCTGACGTCGGCTCCAAGGCAACTGTTTTTAAAGAGAAATTGGTTTCCTGTGCCACTTTATCTTTAAAATAATTAGAAACAAGAAGAAGTTTGCACTCTTTGCTTTGCTCAAGAGCCATGTATCTTTCTTCGAAATCCTTCGACATGATAAAAGATCTCCAGTGTTTTGACACAGCTAGAAATCTCATGAGCGATTTCACTGGAAGCATCACCATGATTTCTTCGACGATATCGTTAGGTATATGAATCTTCTCAAACTCGCTTCTTCTTCGTTTGATTTCTTTTCTTGCGGACAAAGCAACATGTTTGTTTGTAAGTAGTTTCTGAGTCTTCTCCATTGATTTCATGTTTACTTCTTCTTACTCTCGTGGATTTAGAGTGTGCGCAGAATTTATAAACTGTGTTTTGCCTTCTTCTACCAAAACTCGATTTCCTTATTTCAGTAATTAGGTTAAACTAACCGACATAATGTGGTGGGCTTTAAGACAAAACCAAAACTCTACAAATGTGTTTAGGTTTTACTTTTGAAGTCATCAGTTGGGCCTAAGTGAGGCCAAAGGCTAGAACTATATAATTCTACAACTAATTTTTTTTTTACGGCAAAAATTCTACACTTAATTAAAAAACATATTGATGGTTTTTTTCAATGGTAATCTATATATAGAATGGGAGAGTTTTCTCTCCATCTAGGATGTCCACATCAGCATTTATTTCATCATATTTCATTATTTTTGTGGGCTCCACATATCTTATTTATTAAAACAAAAATCATTAAAACTAAATTAACTCACACACTTTATATTATTAAATTTCATTAAAAAACAATAATTTACAAAAGATAAATTAAATATACAACATAAAATATGAAACTTTTGAATTGAGATTGGTGATATATAAAATTAGATAATTATATTTTAACATATAATGAGTAAATATTTTTAAACGGTTATAGATAGGAAATTTTTTTATCATATATTTTAATGGTAAAACAATCATTTTTAAGAGTTACAATTATTTAGTAGAATAAAGAAAATAATATTTCAAAAAATACCAAATTTCAAAGTTCTTACTATAAAAATGTTAATAAAATAAATAAAAACTATCCTAAACATTACAAATAAAAATAAAATAATCTAATCGAATAATAAAATTGTGTAATAATATTATTTGAGAATGTTATTTGGAAATAGAATAGTAATGGTAGATTGAAGAGTTTTTTAATCAGAAATAAGAATGATTTTGTTTTTAAAAAATAAATGTGTTTTAAAATTAGAGTTATTTTTATGATTTTGTAATTTACATATTTTAGAAAAATCAACAAAAAGAATACTATATAGAATCATAATATACGTCAAATTATATATGTGAAAAGAGATATATTTTTCAAACAGTCAAGATAAAGTGAAAATTTTGCGTTAAATCCGATCTTTGTGAATATGAATGAGTTTATATGAGATTTGTTGTCTATAAAACAATTTTACATGCACCAAACATGGTCAGAGAAATCTTATGACAAAACATTTCCGTAGATTTTCTGATGTTTACTTTAATAAAATTAGATCATACAACTAATTCATAAAAGATATCAAGTGAATTATAGAAGATAACGAGAAATATTGTAGTGAAAAATGTGAATTTGTTTTTACTACTTTGAAAAAATAATGCACATGATTAGATTTATATTCAAAAATTTGTATTGATAAATATTTTAAATTAAAATTCTGCGCAACGCGCGGGTACATAATCTAGTAAATAATAATAACTGACTATGATTACAATATATAAATGTTATTTTATTTTATTTTCTCAACCACAGCTATCAAGTATTTTAAAATTCTTTTTTTTTTCCCCGCAATCAATATCATATCTTATTATATAAATTTGAAAACTGTACTTTATATAATAAAGTGTGAGATAGTCTCTAACTCATCGCAATTGTGTTAGTCCGTTACTCATTCGATTTTGGCATTATTTGATAAAAAAAATTACACAGAAAAAGGCTTTTTTTTTCTAGGAGACCCAAGATTTTTTATGTACATAAAATTTGGTTTACCAAAATGTTTGCCAAAATTCCTGAATAAAAAATTAAAACTTTTTCTTTTTACTTTAAATTCTTTTTTCACTAAAAACAATTGAAATTCCTTCTATTCAACTACATAGAAGTAGTATTTTGATCATTAATTAAACATCATCATCTTTATTCTTGTTATTCTATCATTTTTTTCAAATTTTTTTCTTAAAAATTTGAAATCAACTGATACTTAATCCATGGCATGGACGCACATCATGGATTTCTTCTTTTGGAAGACGTCAAAAAATACGGAACACTCAAGTGGAAACAAGTAGATGCGTCGATGTTATCGCACCAACATTCTCATGTTGCGTGCAAAGAAAAATTACTCAAATTGATCGAATCAAAGGTAGCTTTCTCTTTCATTCGCAGTTCCGATTAAAAAAGATGATCGTGATTTATATATGATAGTATTTGTTTAAGTATTTCTATAATTTTGATGGTGATGATGTCGATGTAGTAGACTTTTTCGATGTATTTTATAAACTCTTTTAGGTTGTGTACACTATTTTAGGTTATGATTGATGAAGTCATAAGTTTTATGATGACGATGACCAAACTTTAATTAGTTTTTCTATGCATTTTATCTGAACCTCCCCAAATTTCAAAAATTGTTTATCGCACTTTTGAAAATTTTAAAATACGGAGGGTCATGTGACCTCCCCAAATTGCAAAATTTTATTTATTGTTGTGAGAAAAAAAATCATTTGGCCCATCAAAATTTTTTTTAGTTAATGTTAGACTTGAGTAAAATAAATTTTTTGTCCGCTCTTAGTTGTGAATCCCATGAAAGCTTCCAAGCAACCAAAAGTTGTTAGCCAAAACAAAATGAGAAAAGGTTTTTAATTACTCTTAGATAAGTTTTCATATTTATATTTTTATGTTCTTTATTATTGAAATCAATCTCTTTTTTTTTTAGTAACTATAAAGCCTGTGGAAGAGAGCAAAATAATACCTCTTAAATTCGTCCCGAAAGCAAAGAAAAAACCAAGATATGAGGTGTGTGAATTCGTTAATAACTTTAACACTTCTTATACATCACTACAAAAAAATTGAGTTATTAGGAAGAACTTTGAGACAAAAAAAATATTTATTTATTACGATTTTGTTATCATTTGTATATGTCACAAATTCGTAGTTGGTTTATCGCAATGTTGTGACAAAATAAACCATGACCGAATATTGTCATAATTAGTGACAAAATTATAACCACAATTGTAAACGTAGCAATTGTGACAATATTATGACTAATATAGTCACAAATTTGGTACAGTTTTTTTACTACTCTGACAGTTTGTGACATTGTAGTGACTATTTGTTAGTAACTATAATTGGTATTAATCATTGACAAAATTTTCGTTTCAAAAAGCTATAGAATGGTATTAACTTTTTTGTTAATGTGTAAATTTTATAGAGTAAATTAATTCAACTCATTAAGGATAAACAAGTCAAATACTATTTTATGCAATTTAATTAATTTAATTTAATTATAAAAACGAAAATCTATTATTAATTTCTTTAAAAAGAATGACCAATCAAAATGAACATATAAGATTTGATATCTAACTTACCATATTAATTTGTTATTAATCATTATACTTCACCTCTCATCTTTATATGATTCTATTTCTATAAATAAATAAATCATTATATCATCTATATAATAAAAAAAGTAAATTTTTTTCCGCATATACCAAGATTTGAATTTTTAAAAACGAATATAAATTATTCAATGTATGAAAGAACAAATTTAACGGGTCAAAAATTCATATTTGAGTAATATATTCTTTTTTTTAATATCATCAATACTTAATAGATCAAAAATTTATGAAGTATAAATACTCTAATTTGATTTTTTGAAACAAATATTTATAATAGGCGGCGGGTTGAATATAATATATTATATGATGAAATGAGTTATGATCCTTATAACTATTTGAATATTTATATTTAATTTCATATCATTTTTTTTTATTTCATAATTTTACATAATACAATAAAAAATTTTAAAATTTTTAATTTGGAACATTTTAAAATAGTTTAATTTAATATATTAAAGAATATCATAAATATTTAATAGATAAAAAAAGATAAAAAAAATTATAAATACATTAATTTGATTTTCTAAAAAGATATGTTTAAAATATTTATAGTAGGCGGCGGGTTAAATGTAATGTATTATATGGTAGAAAGTTATGATCCTTATAACAGACGGCATTTTAAGATTTTATGATGAGATGAGTTAAATAAAGTTTAACACTTCTAAATATTTGAAAATTTGATTCTGCATGCAATTTTGAAAATAATAAATAATAGATTGTGCCGCAATATTTTCATACGAATTGTAAAATGAAAATATAGAATCCACACACGGATTGAATTTGGTATTATTATATACCAAATATATGTTCATAACATATTTGATTATGTGAATAATTGGTAATTTCCGTAATTAGCTCAAACAAATCTCTATTTCAACAACCAATGAATCAGAATTTGAAAAATAATTTTCTAAATTAATTCAAAATAATAGCTAATTTTCTTAAGTAATTCAAAATAATCTACGTTTTAGATGCGATTCATTTATGATATTTTGATTTTTGATCTAACTAAATTATATGCACTCTCATTTTGTGGTTGTTAACATAAATTAACTCATTGTTCAAACAATATTAATTTTTTTAAAAAATAATCTTATTTTCCGTTTTCATATCTTAAAAAAAATATCCATAATTGAATACTATAGAAAAAGGAAAATATATTCATTCTAATATTATATATATGGACTGACAAAAAAATATTATTTTTTTCACTTACTATTATAATATATCACAACTTTATTCTAAAACATAAAATTTATAAATTTTGTAATAAATGAAATTCAACCCGTACTACCGTACGGGTGATGATCTAGTATAACTTTAAAAACCGTACTTTATATAATAAATGTCCGGTACTCATTCGATTTTGATATTATTTGATAAAAACAATTACACACAAAAATGCTCTTTTTTTCTAGGAGACTCAAGATCTTATACGTACATAAAATTTGGTTTACCAAATGATTGTCAAAATTCCTGAGATAAAAAATTAAAGCTTTTTTTTTTACTGTAAATTCATTTTTCAGTAAAAAAACATAATTTAAATTCCCTCTATGCAACTACAAAGTAGTATTTTGATCATTAATTAGTCATCATCATCTTTATTCTTGTTATTCTCTCATTTTTTTCAATCTTTTTCTTGAAAATTAAAATCACCTGATACTTAATCCATGGCATGGACGCACATCGAAGATTCTCTTCTTTTGGAAGACGTCAAGAAATACAGAACACTCAAGTGGAAACAAGTAGATGCGTCGATGTTATTGCACCAGCATTCTCATGTTGCGTACAAAGCAAGATTACTCGAATTGATCGAATCAAAGTTAGCTTTCTCTTTCATTCGCAGTTCCCGATTAAAAAGATGATCGTGATTTATGTATAATAGTATTTGTTTTAAGTGTTCTTTTAATTTTGATGGTGATGATGTCGATGTAGTAGACTTTTTACGATGTATTTTGTAGACTCTTTTTTGTTATGTATACTATTTACATATTATTTTAGGTTACGATTGTTGAAGTCATAGGTTTCATGATGACGATGACCAAACTTTAATAACTTTTTACGTTTTTTATATGAACCATTTTGGTTGCGAATCCCGTAGAAGCTTCCCATCAACCAAAAGTTGTTAGCCAAAACAAAAGAGAAAGGGTTTTAATTACTCTTAAATAAGTTTTCATATTTATGTTTTTTTTTATTATTGAAATCATTTTTTTAATAACTATAAAGCCTGCGGAAGAGAGCAAAATAATACCTCTTGGATTCGTCCAGAAAGCAAAGAAAAAACCAAGATATGAGGTGTGTGAATTCGTTAATAACTTTAAAATTTCTTATATATCACTACAAAAAAATTGAGTTATTAGGAAGAATTTTGAGACGAAAAACGATTTTGTTATCATTTGTATATGTCACAAATTCGTAGTTGGTTTATCGCAATGTTGTGACAAAATAAACCATGACCGAATATTGTCATAATTAGTGACAAAATTATAACAATTGTAAACTTAGCAATTGTGACAATATTATGACTAATATAGTCACAAATTTGGTACAGTTTTTTTTTTACTATTCTACGAGTGACAGTTTGTGACATTGTAGGGACTATTTGCTAGTAACTATAATTGGTATTAATCATTGACAAAATTCTCGTCTTAAATAGCTATAGAATGGTATTAACTTTTTTTTGTTAATGTGTTTGAGTAAGTTAAAATAAATGGGCCCATTAAATAAATGTTTTGTTTCTATGAATAGTTTAGGCCCATTAAATAAATGGGCCTGACCAATGAATTCGGCCCATTAAAATATTCCGTCCGCGCGCATAGCTTTTGGAGGATGCCGCTCTTTTGTAAGAAGCAACACGTTGTTGAGTCTCTAACCTTTCTTTGAAATCTTTGACCTTTCCCTTCTCCTCCGCGAAATTCGAACAAATGTCGTAATTTTTTATTTCTTCTTCGTCTTCTTCAATTCGATGCAATTATAATAGTCACACTTCAATATCATCAATCTAGGGTTTTCAATTTCTTCATGTGATTTTTTTTTCTTCTTCTCAATTTCAATTCAATCTGGGATTCGGAGAAGATGAAACGCGATTTCGACGAAATCTCCGAGGAAGAGTGGTCTCAACACTCTTTTAACGCTTCGCGAGTTCTTAAACGACCACGGACTCCGAAGAAGACTCGTCCGGTGAATCCATCGCCTCCGATTGAGTCTTTTGCGTTTAGGAGACCTTCGACGGCGATGACGATTGAGAGTAATAATAGTAGCGATGGTGATTGTGTTGAGATTGAGGATTTAGGAGATTCGGATTCGGATGTGAAGATTGTGAATGGTGAGGATTTGTTGTTGGAGGATGAGGAAGAAGTTGAGGAGACCAAGGTTGTGATGCGAGCTGCGAGAGTTGGTAGGAGATTTGTGATTGAAGATGAAGAAGCGAGTGATGATGATGAGGCTGAGAGTAGTGCTAGTGAGGACGAATTTGGAAGAGGAGCAGGAGGTGGTGGAGGAAGGAGAGGAGAAGATGAAGATGTTGTTGGGAAGGCATTGCAAAAGTGTGCTAAAATCTCAGCTGATCTTCGAAAGGAGCTTTATGGTACATCTTCTGGGGTTACTACTTGTGACAGATACTCTGAAGTTGAAACTTCTACTGTGAGGATTGTCACACAGGTACTGGAATTATCACTGGTCACTCGAATTTGGTGAATTAGACAACTTCTGTTAACTGGGTTTTGGAGGTTTCTGCTGTTCTATTCATGAATTCAACTTTGCTGTGTGATTTAGCTAGAAAGTAGTTGCTTTGAAACAATCTAGAGTGTCTTCCTTAGACAATTGTGAAATGGGTTTTGATTAGATAACATATATTGTGGTAAGATTTGACTTAACTCTATACTTTTGGGGTTGTTTCTGTGATGATCGCAGAATGATATAGATGATGCCTGTAAAGGAGAGGATTCTGATTTTCAGCCTATACTCAAGCCGTACCAGTTAGTTGGTGTTAACTTTCTTCTTCTGTTGTATAAGAAAGGAATTGAAGGAGGTATGCATTTTACTAGTTTTGATCTGTAAAATTTTTTAGCGTGAATGTCACTGTGTAACTGACATTTTTATTGTGTGTAGCCATTCTAGCCGATGAGATGGGTCTTGGAAAGACCATTCAGGTGCAGTTTGCTCTGTTATTACTGGATAAGTTGTCTTTGTTTCTTTTATTTGATCAAGACTAATTTTGCTCTTATTTACCTTAGGCAATCACATATTTAACCCTCCTAAATCGCTTAAACAATGACCCTGGTCCTCATTTGGTTGTATGCCCTGCCTCTGTCTTGGAAAACTGGGAGAGAGAGCTCAGAAAATGGTGTCCATCGTTTACTGTACTTCAATACCACGGGGCTGCAAGAGCAGCCTACTCAAGAGAATTGAATTCTTTGTCCAAAGCTGGGAAGCCACCGCCATTCAATGTGCTTCTTGTGTGTTACTCTCTGTTTGAACGGCATAGGTGCAACTTTGAAGTACTCTTGATGCTTTATTTGCTTTTTGGCTTTTCTCGTCACTCATAGATGTTGGAATTTTACAGTGAACAACAGAAAGATGACCGAAAAGTACTAAAACGATGGCGCTGGAGCTGTGTTTTGATGGATGAAGCCCATGCTTTAAAAGATAAGAACAGTTACAGGTGGAAAAATTTGATGTCTGTGGCCAGAAACGCAAACCAGCGTCTTATGCTTACAGGAACACCTCTACAAAATGATTTACATGTACAGTTGGTTTCTATTCATCTGTTCAAGATCTAGTTACCTAAGATTGGAGATATATCTTCATGAGGTCATACAATGTTTATTCCTTGCATGTGTTAATCTATGCAGGAATTATGGTCGCTGTTGGAGTTCATGTTGCCTGATATATTTACTACAGAGAATGTTGACTTGAAGAAGTTGTTGAATGCAGAAGATACTGAGTTGATTACTCGAATGAAATCTATTTTAGGTCCTTTCATCTTGAGGCGTTTAAAATCTGATGTCATGCAGCAACTTGTTCCGAAGATACAGCGGGTATGGATATATCTATGCTCGAATAAATACACGATATTCATCTTCTAGCTGCAAATCTCATTAATTTCTCATCAATCCAATGCAGGTTGAATATGTATTAATGGAGAAAAAGCAGGAAGATGCATATAAAGAAGCCATAGAGGAGTATCGTGCTGCTTCTCAAGCACGGCTTGTGAAGCTTTCATCAAAATCCTTGAATTCTTTAGCCAAGGCACTTCCAAAGCGTCAAATTTCAAACTATTTTACTCAATTTCGGAAGGTAATTCTCAGCTACTATGTACAAATCCCCTTTGTGCCAAATGAGTGTATTTTTCATGTGTCACTAAACTTTGGTTGTACAGATCGCAAATCATCCATTGTTAATTAGGCGGATATACAGCGATGAGGATGTCATTCGCATCGCCAGGAAATTGCACCCAATTGGTGCATTTGGATTTGAATGTTCCTTGGAGAGAGTTATAGAGGAAGTTAAGGGTTACAACGATTTCCGTATCCACCAGGTAAATGTCTCTCTTTCCAAAAGCAATTTAAAATCCATAAACAAACATGTTATGCAAATGAACAAGCTAACTTGTTTCTTTGAATAGCTTTTGTTCCAATTTGGAGTTAATGATACCAAAGGAACTCTCTCTGACAAACATGTCATGCTCTCAGCAAAATGTCGGGTACGTGATATTCTTCTTCCTCTTTGTAAAACCGAATTAAGTATAACTAACATTGTGAGCGATCTAACTGTCCTTTTATGTATCAGACATTAGCTGAGCTTCTCCCGTCAATGAAGAAATCCGGCCATCGTGTTCTAATATTTAGTCAATGGACATCGATGCTCGATATCTTAGAATGGACACTCGATGTAATTGGTGTTACATACCGAAGACTTGACGGCAGGTAAAAGAAAGAAGAGTTAAATGTCACCTTTTTGACGATTCTGCGAAAAGGAAGAAGCTAAAGTCATTTTCCTTTTGTTTCCGACAGTACTCAAGTCACAGATAGACAAACCATAGTCGACACATTCAACAACGATAAGTCGATATTCGCATGTCTCTTGTCAACTCGAGCAGGTGGACAAGGTCTGAATTTAACCGGAGCAGATACAGTCATTATTCACGATATGGATTTTAATCCACAGATCGATCGGCAAGCTGAAGATCGATGCCATCGTATTGGTCAAACAAAACCAGTCACTATCTTCAGGTTTGAGCTTTAAATCTTTGAGAATCAGTGAAACAATTTTAGATAACTTTCTGAACAATATTTTGGTTTGGTTTATATGTGCAATGGTCTGTTTTCACATTTATTAACTCTGGAAATGTTGGTACAGACTGGTGACGAAATCGACGGTTGATGAGAACATCTACGAGATAGCAAAGCGGAAACTTGTTCTTGATGCGGCGGTTCTAGAGTCTGGAGTTCACGTAGATGACAACGGAGACACGCCCGAGAAAACCATGGGAGAGATTCTTGCTTCTCTTCTCATGGGATAACATTATTGTTACCTTTTTTGTTTTGAGGTAAAAGTAGTCAAGAAACGAAGTTAAATGTGTTATTCGAAACATGTGTAACACTAGCTATTAGACTTAAATTTAATAGATCACGATAGTTATATTTTCTTCTACGCATGTAAATTATAACCCAAAATTTCCTTCTTCAGACCTAAAAGTCTCAATTGTTCCAAACACTAAAATGTGAATCTGATTGTTGCATGCCACAGTGATCAAATGAAGTGAACCATCAGGATAGGTTGGTCTTTGATCATTAAAGATTGTATAAAAGAGTGACCTAGCTTTAAGTGTTGGTGTCAAAATTGAACACCTCTCGCAATGATTAAAGCTCTCAAGTGTCTTAATTCGTCAGAGTTGTATAAAACACAAATCAAACTAGATTGTTTTCCCATTGTCTTTGCTGAAACCTAACAAGGAACTAGTTCTATTGTGATTGGTTCAAGAATGTCACATAGTTATAAGTTTTTCTTAGCTTAAAAATTACTCATGGTTATACAGCTAAACTGAAATAACTTGAATAAAATCTAGGTAGTCTTGTTTTTGCTACATTTGAAGATAAATATCTATGAAATTTTTTCAAATTCATGATTATATTGGGATTAAATAATTGAAACCATACTAAAGTAGTTTAGGATTATTTGTTGCAACTGGCCAAGGCACGTTTTGAAGATGTTCACTAGTCCTTTTTTTGTTTTTTTGATCAAACTGATTCACTGGTCCATTTAAACTTGAAATTTGAACCTGAAAACTAAGGCCAACCGGAAACTTGTTGAATTATGTAAAGTGAGAAAATGAAAATCGTGTATAACTTATAAAGTCACATGATAAAGAGAAAGCAACCAGCTTTTTGTCTGCCATAACAATTCTTCAAAATATACATTTCTACTTCCTTTTTTTTATATAAAAAATGCGTTACTATTGTAGCCACAATTATACTATTTAATTTAGAGTAACTAATCCCAAATATTACTTAGATAAGTAATAATTAGAAATGTATTCGATAGTAATTATCAATTGGGTTTTTAACTTGATGTTTTGCTCTATAAATACCAAAGTTTTTTCTTATATAACCCACTAACTTTTCATTTTGGTACGATAAAAAAAAAACTCTATCCCGTGACTATTCCACTTGTTGTTACTTTTTACATAGCCATTATCATTGTAGACTCCAAAAATCTGACAAACTCAATTATTTACTTTTTTATACGTTTATTTGTTTTTTTTCTAAAACAAAATTTGTTTTATTGATCAATTTGGTGAATGAATGAATTGTCAGAAACGGTAGATGGACTCCACAACATCTGCGTGTCTCGTCACCTTACGTTATGGACCACAATTTACACCTATGAATGTGTCGGTAAAGCAAATAAATCGAAAAACTCACACCACTCTTATTAAAATCAAAAGTGAATACTCCAAAAATAAAGTAAATGATATTTATCCAAAAATATCTAACAAATACGTAAAAATTGAATTATCTTGAACGTTTCTATACCTCTTTACTCTCTATATATTAGTTCTATTTTCCTCACTAGCAACAACACACTTGAACACTTCTTTCGAAATCTTTCTCTATCTCTAAATATGAAGCTCTCTATGCGTTTGATCTCGGCTGTTCTCATCATGTTCATGGTATTCGTCGCCACTGGTTCGTTTCTCATAACCTAATATCTAATTTGCACACATATGTCTTATTTATTCGTCATTTTGTTATAATAACATACTAGGGCAGTTACCCGCGCCTTGCACGGTAAGTTGATTTTTAAAAAAAAAAAATTCAAATTATGAAGATTAAAAATGGCTTACCGACTTTAATATACGATCGACTTATTACATATTTCTAACATAACGTGTATGGTATAAATGATATATCCATCAATTATGGCTTATAAGAACACCAAACAAAGCAAACATTTTTTAAAACTTCTCCATGACCCATTCAATCATCCGACTCTGAATATATTGCATTCTTTGTAGCCCAAGTAAAAGCCATCGAGAGTGTAATATGTATAGAAAACTTGCTAGGTTATTATCCAAAACAAATGCGAACATCCAATCTTAAATATAATGATAAACTCTGCATATTACCGTTCCTTGATATCTTCAAGATCGTAAAACAACGGGAAAGTAAAACATTCAGCCAAGACATGCACTCAATTATTAAACATAGTTTTCTATACATGATTGATATAAAAAAAACTTTGAACACCCATCTCCGGACATTAAACATAGTTTTCCTAATGAAAATATGTGAATATTTCTGTCACAATACAAACAATAAAAATACGGGAAAATCACAATACAAACAATAAAACATAAATCAAAATACAAATCATCTTCCTCGTCATCCTCCTCTTCTTCATCTTTCCTGTCATCCTCATACTCGTCATCTTTTACTTCATAGAAATTCGCATCTTCTTCATCCTCTTCTTCTTATTCATCGTCTTCGTCTTCCTCTCCTTCATCACATTGTTCCTCAAAATCGTATTACTCACACTTTGATGCAGAGTCATCATTTTCACCACTTCCATCACATTCGTCTTTGTTTTCTCCCCTCGTCCTCATCAACTTCATAGGCACTATCATCTTCCACACATGCACTTTCGTCTTTGCCTGATTCTTTTCCACTTTCTTCTCCACCAACCAAATCCTCATCATTATCACTGTCATAATCATCCAACAGCTCACTATCTTCATTTTTGTTAGTATCCAAATTGGGTTTTAGATACCTCGTGAGTAAAATCCAGAGATAATAATGATTTTGTACGAATTCATCTTCGTATTTTTTTTATGTGCGTTTCACAATCCTTTGGAGCCTCCTCACAAGTCTCAATATTAATAACCTTACCGATCACATCTAATAAACCATTCAGAAAATTATACAATTAATTTTCACGTAAAACAAAAACTGAAATTTATTTTGAGAACAAAGAACTAAAACATATATATCAAAAATAATTTATAGAGAAAAGAAAACTTACCAACCAAGTAATATCATCGCAATTAACACCATCCCATAGACGTGTAAAATCAACAAAATTGAAGTAGTTGCTATCTCCAACAATGTCCATTTTAGTAATCTTAGTTGCATGTATCGATGATTAGTAGCTTTGGATGAGCCAAACTGATCCACAACCTTAAAATAATCAAACTGAAACCAATCACCAATAGAAATCTTAGAAACAAAGCGATTATAAACACCACCTCTCAAAGAAGTTTCAACCTTTGAACCATTTACAAAAAAAAAACAAAAACTTTGTGAACACTACTTTTAATAATTGAGTGAAGGAAATTTTTTTTAGAAAATCGCAAACCTTCCTATCGGATAGAAATCATCACTAAACTCATACCAAACCCACTGAAATTCTGTCTCCATAAACACAAGACCTTGTCTCGAATTCTCCATTCATATTTTGTAGAATTTAAACGTGACATGTCATCAAGAGGTCCCCTAGGTTTCAACAAATTAACATAAACATACGGTGAATACTTTAAAGTAGAACACATATTATCATATTCATTTATAAGGTAAACAATATACCTGGAGTCACGAAGGTCAAAGATATTTTATGGTACATGGAATACTCATCTACTTTGTCAGGGCATTGTTTTTCGACAGTCTCACAATCACAATCGTCGAGACTCTCTTCCTTCGACTCGGTCATCTCACTATATCCCTCATCACCATCGTCTTCATCATCTTCATCACCATCCTCATATTCGTCGTCTTCTACTTCACATAAATCCTCATGTTCCTCATCTTCATAGTCACTTTCATCGCAACAGTCACATTCATCACAATCCTCTACTAAATCATATTCGTCTTCTCCTAGCTCTAAACCATTAGCCTCGATACTCACAATGCACTCGTCGTCGTTATCTGTGTCCTCAACTTTATCATCATCATCAATCTGATAAGCAGGATCATCTTCTACATGAACCACGTCTTCAGCACACGATTCTTTGCCACATTCGCCGTCACCATCCAACTCGTCGATATAATCACTGTTATAATCATCTAACAACACAGCACTTGCATCTTTGTTAATATCGCTTGGGGTTTTAGACACATCTTAATCAACCTTCGAAGATAGAAATTTTTTCTGGTAGAGAATCACCCTTGTCCGAATCATTGCCTTTTCTACAGACATTCAAACCATCCCAAGTTGGAAATTCCCCAACATGAACGACTTGCCTAATAACATCTAAAAAATGTAAAAATACTTACGTGAGTATCTCGATTGTTTTTTTAAAGAATATATTTAAGCGTATTAATAAAAAAACCTACCAACCAAGCAATCATCACAATGAACACCATCCGTTATCTTGCTAAAATCAACGAAATGAATGTAATTCTCATCTCCCATAACATCCGCTATAACAATTTCAGTTAAATACAAAACAATTATTCTGTATCGGTGATCAGTAGCCTTACACGAACCATATTGTTCCAAAACTTTAAAATCATTCAAATCAAACCAATCACCAAAAGTAATCTTAGCACCTGAACGATGGTAAGCACAACCTCTAAAAGAAGCCTGCACTTTCGACCCCTTCCAAAAAAAAAAATCAATAAGAGCTTTTTTTTTTTTGTCTAAATCAATAAGAGCTAAAATCCAATAAGTATTATATTTATAAAGTATAGGTTATACGAATAACACATAAAATCACAAACCTTGCTATCAGATAAGATTACTTCTAAAACTTGTACCAAGACCACGTAAGTTTTGTTGCCATAGACACAGAACCTTAACTCGGATAACCCAATCATCCTTGGAAGAATTCAATCGTAACACGTCATCAAACATCTTGTATCTCATCGTCTGACAAAATAATTTGAACAAAGTAAGAGAGATCAGCACACATTAAATTGTTATGAACAATACGAATCTCAAGAGATTTTTAATTATTCTCGAATAAGAATTCTTACACCGTCAACTAAAACTCGATTATGCCAAGTCGGTAATACGGGTTGTGGATGGTAAATCGATATATATATATATAACTAAATCAAACGATATTTTTATGGAAAATAACATTTTAAATTACCGTAATATACATATAAACAACCGAAACGGAAAAGAATATTACGAATATATAATATTTATATTTATCTCCAATATTTATATTTATCTCCAATATTCATATTTACCAATATTATTGAGATTTTTCAATAGAAATTATTAAATGATTTTAAAAAGGAGAATATCCTATTACTCTTTAGCATAACATACAGGAAACAAAACCCTAAAATAATAAAAGTGTAAGAAGAATTTATAAAAAATATATTTTTTTAAATGTCAATATCAATATTTATATCGAGTCATTTAATTTTATAAATATCCTAAAGAGAAACATTCTATTGTTTTTAGACTAATATATACATCTATATAATAATAACACGAAAGTTGCTGAAAAAGTAAAATCATAAATGTAAATTTATAGCTCTATCTTATTTTATTCGAAAGATAAAACAGAAAATTGCTTAATAGTATCCAATATTTGTATATATCAATATTAAGATCAATCTAAATAGATTTGTTAATAAACCATAAAAAGAAATTAGCATGATACTCTTTATTCTATTTTTTTCTAATATATATAGGATAACGTCAAATAATGTAAAATAATAATACGAAATTATAGAAACGATTCAAATCAAAATGTAGATATTTAACTCTATCTCATTTTTTTAAAAGATTAGATATAGAATTGTTTAACAATAATATAAATATACCAATAATTTAATAATTTGATATTGCAACTAATAATTGATTAAAAATAAACAAACAATACGGTGGATAATATCAAACCAATAAAATTAGCATATCCCTCTCAGTTAGGCAGTTTCACATATACAACTGGTAAGGAAATATAAATCTATAAATATACGTAATACAAATTATATATCAACGATATAGATACATTCCAGATTTAGATAATTTATTATCTATATATGTATTTCGAATTGTTATTAGTATATAAGCTTTACAGATGTAATAATTTATTAATAATCGCGACCTCTGTTTAAGAATATTTGTGAATTAATCCTCTCATAAACGATCATTAGATAACTCCAAACGGATAAGATATTTATAAGATAATAAACTGTTGGTAGATCTATAACAGTTTGCTTTGTTTAATATTAACATGATAATATATATACTTTTATTAGTTGCCTAAATCATTAAGGTTTTCGATAAAACCTTCTCACAGCTTTTCTAGAACTCCAAAACTCTTTTTGAGTTAACTTAGATTAAGATCAAAATCGGTTATTAAACCCCTCAAATGATTTATTTAAACCCATCTTCAATCCAAGCTCTCTTGAATTCCCGGAGATACAAAGTTTTCAGTGTTTTGTTGATTCTTAATTAGAGAAACAAATATAATATTAATATAAAGAAACTTTTAGATTAACACATGTGGTTAATCGATAAGTTTACCTCTCTCTATTTTGAGTTTGAGATGAATATTCAAATTAAAAAAAAAAAAAAATCAGATCTAACGTGTACCATTAATTTACACTTTCCCAAGAAATTCCAAACACTAACATCATATTATCTCTTGTATATTTAAGAGAGATCTATATTAAAGTGTTTAGAGGGTTTACGTAGAGAAATTCACCCTAGGGTACCAACATGATTCTCACACCCAGATTGTCATGCAAGAATTTAGCCAAGAACATTATCTTCTTCTTCTCTCTTCTGTTCTCTGATCTGCATGCATACTCCTGCTCTTCTTTTTTTCTTCCTTAGGTTTGGAAAAGATCAAATAAACGTAAATACGTCATAAAAAAAAAGAGAATGTAATATAAATGTTAAATATAACTAAAAAGATTAGAATTCATAGAGAGAGCTTGTGTTATTTCAAAGAAGATGGAATCAAACAAAAAAAATAATACGTTCAGCATGACTACTCATTATCATTGCCACCAGGTGAAAGAGATGTCAACAATTACAAAACCGACTTCGTTAGGGTTTATACGGCTTTAGCGTTAACATGACTCTTAATTAAGAGTTTAGCGTTTAACCATGATTTATGCACAAACAAAATAATCAAAAGCAAAATCATAACAATATACTCATCATGACGCTCATATCATCAATTTATAACCATAATCACGTTTGAATAATAATAATAAAAAAATAGTCACTGGTAAGGAGAAGAACATTACATGCGGTGGCTGCTCCACTTAAGGGAGAAGGCAGAGACACAAAGGTGGTTGCGGCCATTGATTTGATCGAGAGAAGAGATACGAAGATGTGACATAAACTTATTAAAGGAGTTAATAACATAATAGACACGCATATAAAACCAAACAACTACGAAAAGCAAAACATGTAATCGATCAAAATATAAACTTCGTTTAAGAAATTCATCAACTATTGGCAAAGATCTATGAGATCTTACTTTCCAAGTAACCATAACATGAAAAGGAGAACAAAATATCGATGACAACGCATCATAGAAAGGACCAATTTTGAACCATAATTGCTATGCATAAAAATCAAGCCGTGATGTTTGAGTTTCAAGGGAGGCATCCTATATTTATAGGAATTTTCAGCATAATGTTTTAGGGTTTTACATATGACGGTGTAAATTATATGGGCCATTTTTTTTGTAAAGATATAAGCCCAATAGGCGAATTAGGGTTGGAAAAACGAAACGTTATATTTCCTTTTTTACATGTTCGATTTTTTTTTTAATTAAAAATATGGAAATTTAGCTAATTTAATCTAATTAAAGGGGGAGGGCAAAAACGACTGCTCATATTTTGAGAGCGAACGTGAGCACTTTCGACTTCTCCTTTAATATATAAGATATATATAGTTCCATTTTTTTTATAAAATTATATATTTAGGAGTTTCTATCGTTTAATCTTGTGAATGCTCATCTAATAAGTTTCTTTTTATTCAGTGCAAATTTAATTATAGTTCACTATAGCCACTTGGAAAGTTAATTAATATGCATCAAGCATGAGACACATGAAAGTATGAAACTAAGCTATGGTTACCAAATAGGTTCATACTTGACAAATATGATTACCAAATAGGAAAACCGGGACTCAATTGTTTGATAAAAGATGGATTGGAAAACCGGGACTCAACGAAGCAGTGTTGGAAGGATGGAATGGAGAGAACGGTCGGGTCGACCGACCCTTAATTAAAAAAATCCAAAACTGTAAACGAGTTATCTCCATATGGAAGAAATCAACGCGAACTAATTCTGAGATACTTATCAAGGAACTCCATGATAAAATTGAGGAAAATTACGCGGACGATAACGCATCTTTGGATGAACTTCGGGAGCTCAAAAGACAATTGGGCGATGCCTATACAGAGGAAGAAATATTTTGGTACCAAAAGAGTCGCCAAAATTGGCTAGCGCTTGGTGATAAAAACACAAAATATTTTCAGGCTTTAACGAAACAACGAAGGGCGAAGAACAAGATTTTGGGCATTCTAGATGATAATGGGACGTGGGTAGATAATGAAGATGGCATCGAAAGAATCGCGGTGGATTATTTTGAAAACCTGTTTACTTCATCGAACCCGGTGGATCCAGTCTCCGCCCTTAGAGACATCTCACCATCGGTTACCCCAGCTATGAATGAGTTCTTAGTCAAAGAAGTCACCGAAGAAGAAGTCAAGCGAGCCTTATTCTCCTTGAATCCAACTAAGACCCCAGGTCCGGACGGGATGACTGCTCTGTTTTTCCAACGGTTTTGGGAAGTCATAAAAGGCGATCTCACCAATATGGTGAAGAACTTCTTTAGCTCCGGAATTTTTGACGGGAAGCTGAATGAGACCAATATTTGTCTTATCCCTAAAGGTGAAAGACCGCGCGAAATGTCAGGTTTTCGTCCTATTAGCTTATGTAATGTAAGCTATAAGGTCATTTCGAAAATCTTGAGCCTACGGCTAAAGAGATTTCTTCCGGAATTAATATCCGAGACGCAATCTGCATTCGTTGCAGGGAGATTAATCACTGATAATATCCTGATCGCCCAAGAAAACTTCCATGCTCTTCGTTCCAATCCGGCAAATCGTAAGAAGTTTATGGCACTAAAAACGGATATGAGTAAGGCCTACGATCGGGTGGAATGGGGGTTCCTCCGAGCTTTGATGGAAAAGATGGGTTTCAACCTTCGATGGATAGACTGGATAATGCAATGCATTACCTCAGTTTCATATCGGATTTTGATTAATGGCGACCCAAAAGGACGGATTAGACCATCTCGAGGCATTCGTCAAGGAGACCCAATGTCTCCGTACCTATTTATCTTATGTACGGAAGCACTTATCGCTCAGATTAGAAAGGCTGAAAGGGAAGGCAAAATTCAAGGGCTTCGAATTTCTCATGCGAGCCCCCGGGTCTCACATCTTCTGTTTGCCGATGATAGCTTATTTTTCTGTCAGGCTAATGCCGATCAGAGTAAAGAAGTTATTGATATCATCCGCTCTTATGGCGAGGCATCTGGACAAGAGGTTAATCTGAATAAATCATCCATTATATTCGGTAACGAGGTCCCTCCCCCCGTACGGCAGGAAATCAAAACGATTCTTGGGATTTCACGTGAAGGTGGGATGGGAACATATTTAGGCCTTCCGGAAAAAATCCATGGATCAAAAGCTCAGGTCTTCGCGTTTGTGAGAGATAGATTACAAAGTAGAGTAAACTCGTGGTCGTCAAAATTCCTCTCTAAAGGCGGAAAAGAAGTCCTAATTAAATCACAAGCACAAGCTCTTCCGACATATGTTATGTCGTGCTTCCTACTGCCAAAAGCAATATGTTCTAAACTTACTAGCGCAATTGCCAACTTTTGGTGGAGTAATAAAGCAGAAAGTCGTGGAATACACTGGATAGCTTGGGACCAAATTTGCACCCAACTATCAGAAGGAGGGCTAGGATTTAGGTCCTTGGAAGATTTTAATCTCGCACTCTTGGCGAAGCAATTGTGGAGATTATTACGATTTCCAGATTCCCTCCTTAGTAGGGTTCTTAAAGGACGTTACTTCCGGTATTCTAGTCCGCTAGAGATCACCGTCTCCAATCGACCGTCGTATGGTTGGAGAAGCATGCTGGCCGCCAAGGACGTTCTTAGATATGGAATCCGCAAGACCATTGGCTCGGGCTTCGGTACCTACATTTGGACAGACCCATGGATACCAGATACTCCGGCACGCCCACCTAAGGGGTTAACGATGGAGAGAGACCCTTTGGCTTGCGTCAATACCTTGATTGACTTTGGATCTAAACAGTGGAAGATGGATCGTCTCCGGGAATTGTTTCCCCCGGAGGAAATTACCCTCATATTAGGGATTAAACCGAGTCGTATTGTCTCGAGTGATGGTTATTGCTGGATAATGACAAAGTCTGGTAATTATACCGTCAAATCTGGATACGAGGTCGCGAGAAGTATTTCTCGCCCTGTTTGCGACCACCCTTTTCAGGGACCTAGTGTTACGGCACTAAAGGCGCAAGCTTGGAAATTAAAAACTACGCGAAAATTAAAGCATTTCGTGTGGCAATGTGTGACTGGTTGCTTGGCTTCAAGCCAACGACTATTTTATCGCCATATTGGTAGAGATAAAGGATGTTCAAGATGTGGTGCAGAAGAAGAATCAATCAACCACTTGCTCTTTGAATGTCCTCCTGCTAGACAAGTCTGGGCTCTCTCCAACATCCCATCTTCCCCAGCGCTGTTTCCCTCGGCGTCGCTCTACAATAACTTAGATTATCTGTATTGGCGGGGTAAAGAGGCGGGGGCAGATGAAGAGAGCCTAAGAGTATTCCCATGGATTATGTGGTATATTTGGAAGGCGCGCAATCGAAAGATTTTCGAGAATTTGAGCGTACCACCTCAGGAAACGCTAGATCTTGCAACTCAAGAAGAAGGCATGTGGAGGCGAGCAAATCAGAGAGAAGACCCCCAGACCCAGTTGGTACTTTGTACGCAAGAGTCGCCATCCCTAGAGGATAGACCGGTATGCTCCATTGATGGGTCTTGGCTCGGGACGGAGACTAGAAGTGGACACGGGTGGCTTGTTTTTCAGGGAGGACGACTACTACACTTAGGCTTGAAAGGCTCGCGTAGAAGTCTGTCTCCCCTTCATGCAGAGCTGGATACTCTCATATGGACGATGAAGTGCTTATTGGCGATCCCAATGACGAGTATCCTCATTCAGACGGATTGTTCTGACCTATTGGCTATGACCTGTGCTCCTAAAGAGTGGCCTACGTTTTCTACAGAATTGCAAGACTTTACATATTACAGGGATCGTTTTACTAATTTCAGTCTTAAGCATATCCCTCGTAGTGGTAATACCTCCGCCGATTATCTTGCGAAATGTGCAAGAAATCGCGGGTTCTGTTTTTCCCATGTAAGTTCGACGGTACCTGATTGGCTCTCTCTAGAAGAGAGTCTTATCCCGTGAATTAATATATGGTGTTTGATTGGCAAAAAAAAAAAAGCTATGGTCTAAACCAAAGTGTTCTTTTTGTGTTTTTGTTTTCTCTAGGGATGGGTCCAGTCACTGTGGAGGCACGTACGTGTGAGTCACAGAGCCATAGGTTCAAGGGTACATGCGTGAGTGAATCAAACTGCGCCAACGTGTGCCACAACGAAGGCTTTATGGGAGGTAACTGCCGTGGATTCCGTCGTCGTTGCTTCTGCACCAGACATTGCTGATCTATCCATTCTCATAAGTCATAACTCAAGCTTTGATCCATCGTCGTGTGTCACTTCTTTCTTATCTAATCTTCCGTACAGTACTATGAAGTACCGTACATGAGTGTGTTCTCGAATAAATCTTTGGTGTTTTGTGTGTTTCCTATTTTAATGTAATGTTAAATCAACTAATGGCTTTGAGCCTTTGACTAGTAATAATCAAAATCTATGTTCTGATAACAAAGCTCTTTCTGTTCGAATATTATTTAACGCATCACTTCATGTCTCACCTTGAAGAGATCAACTATGATGAAATTAAAAAAAAAAATGAACATCAATCTTGAAATGCATTTTTTTTTTTGGCATTGAAGAGTTTATTTGCGATGGCATGGACTTTTCCCGACGTGTGGGACAGTATCAATAATATGACCCAAGATAAAACATCTCCAAAGAGACGGAATATCCTCTAAATATCCGTATAAAATACCAAAATTTACCTATTGGATGTAATTGGTGGGGTAATAAACTAATAAAGTAGCAAGGAAAGAATAAAGAGGGAAAAAAATACAAGTGTATTGTATTTTTCAAATATGATTACCAAATAGGAAAACTTTAATTTAGTTTTTTTTTTTGTTGAATCAGTGAGTATATAAAATACCACATATTAAGTTTATACAACGACCGACAAAAAAAAAAATTATACAACCAGTAATATTTTCATTTTTTTTTTTGTCAACTTGAATTATATTGATAATTAAAGGATTAGATTACAACATGACTTGAGTGAAGCCACCAAAAAATAGTCTAATGGAGACTCTGCTATTCTAGCATGCTAGACCCAGGTGATAAAGGATACCACTAGCTAGGGTCCTATACAAAAGATGGTGCTACTCAAAAGCACAAAAAAACACAACACGACAATCATCAAGAAGAGGCCAACACTCTCTCATCACTAAAGAGTCTAGATAACCATGGTAACACTTTGGGCAATGAGTTGAACTCCTCTATTTGCATTCGCATGTTCCAAAAAAACTTTCCACTCCGTACTCCTTCCAAATAGGCAGCCAGTTCCATAGAATGAAATTTAAAGGACGGCCACGCTTGAGGCCTGATAATCACTCACACCACACAGAACCACATCGTTTAGGGGCAAAGATTACCTTAGAAACTTTGAGGCTCATCATACTTTCAATAGCCCAAACCATGCTTAAGAAGGAATCTTCTTGTTTATTCCGGACATTGGAGAAAGCATGTCTACTATGCATCAAAACAGACCCATCATCATCTCTTAAAACCCAGGCACTTCCTGACAAGAGATTTCTCCTAGACCAAGCAACACCTATGTTACATTTCTCCAACCAGCTTTTGAAAGACACTAGACCAAGCTCTTTTCTGAACTCTAATGAAAGACACTAGAGAAAGAGAGTCCTATGCCCAAAAAAGGGAAATCTTTTGAAATTATTGAGACTTTAAAAATTAATGTTTTCATTTAGGCACGATAAAAAAAAACTCTAGTGCCCTTGACTACACTTGTTCTTACTTTTGACGTGGTCACTATTATTGTGGATCGGACTCCCCAATAGCTTACTAACTCAAATTTTTGTTTAACCTTTTTCTATACGTTTTTTTTTCTGCTTATTTCTGATATAAAATTTGGTTTTTTATTTGGAGAATGAGTTGTCGAAATAGTAGGATTTCTCTGCGTGTCGTGTCACATGCATTATGTTCCAACATTAACGTTTATGACTAGGTCGGTAAAGCAAAGAAATGGACAAATTAGAAAACAAAGAAAATGTGGAAAAAGCAGTCGAAAGAAGAAAAAATCGACAAATGTCACGACTCTTATTTAAACCAAAAGTGAATACTCCAAAGATAAAGATGATATTTACCCAAAAATATCTAAGAAATACTTGAAAATTCAATTATATAATATACTAATCAAATATCTCGACACCTTTTTAGTCTCTTTATATAGTGCCATCTTCATCCTAAGTAACTTCCACACTTAACACTTCTTTCTAAATCCCTGTCTTTCTCAAAATTTCTTTCTCTTTCTCTAAAAAATGAAGCTCTCTATGCGTTTGATCTCAGCCTTTCTTCTCTTGGTGATGATATTCGTTGCCACAGGTTCGTTTACTCGTTACCTAATATCTAACTTTGCACACGACCTATATACACGACCCATGCCTTCTTTATTTAATTTGTCATTTGGTTAATACTAACATATATTTCATCCGTTTTAAATTAGTTATCGTTATAGAAGTTAAATTTTGTTTTGTCGTTTTAAGTTTTTAATATATTTTTTACAGATTTTCCAATTTTATCTCTACTATTTTAGCTTATTAATTGATAGTATCACATAAAACAATACATTAATTAGAGGTAAAATAGAAAAATTGAATATTTTCTTTTTGAGCGTAAAAAACTTTAAACGACAACTAATTTAAAATGGAGAAAGTATATTTATAGTTATGATTTCTATCGACTGTTCTTGTTAATTAATATGCTCATATATTAAGTGGTTTTTATCGATTGTCCTTTCCATTTATACGATTTTAATTATATAGTTGGCCATAGATGGATGTCTTAACTAGCAATAATATTACTCAAATTATTGCATAAACTTTGAAGATTAACTAATAAATATGCATCATGCAATTGCATGAGAACATGAGACAAAGCTATCTATAGTCTTAAAACAAGTTTCTTTTGTTCTCTAGGGATGGGTCCAGTCACTGTTGAGGCACGCACGTGTGCGTCACAGAGCCAAAGATTCAAGGGTAAATGCGTGAGCGACACAAACTGTGCAAACGTGTGTCACAACGAAGGCTTCCCCGGAGGTGATTGCCGTGGATTCCGTCGTCGTTGCTTCTGCACCAGAAATTGCTGATCTATCAATCGATTCTCATGACTCAATCTTCGATCCATTGTCTTTTGTTACTTCTTTCTGTCGTCTAATATTCCTTACGATACCATATCGTAACGTGCATGTGTGTGTAATGTGTTCTTGAATAAGTCTTTGGTTTGTGTGTTTCCAGTTTTAATGTAACGTTAAATCAACTAGTAATGTTTTTTTTTGTAATAAAGGATTCGAATATATGTTCGGTACATGCAAGATTTTGTTTTGTTAAAATTCTTTACATGCAAGTTAAACACATTGTTGCTAATATGCCAGAATTTTCATGCAATTAAGTTCACCATATAATTATGTCTAAAATGTTTTCCTTGAAGAGAAATCAGCTATGTATCACGCCAGAACCTGTGGAATTTATGCAACCATAAAATTAACCACAGAATAATGTAAGTCTAAAATATCGATGATCAAAAAGTCTAGGAGTGGAGCTAGGAACAGGGGAATTAAAAAAAAATTGTTTTCGCGAGATGGCTAGCATAATTGGAGTGTATATAATACCAAATTTTTACTTTTTTATGCAACATGTAAAATCGAGAGTTAGATGAATTGAGTAGAGGATAAAATTACAATCGCGAGTTAGATAAATTGAGTAGAGACTAAAATTACATGATGATCCGGATTAAGCGCCTACAATACAAATGTATTGCTACGAGTCCATAAAAGATCAATCTTTCCTTTACTAACACTAGGTTTTACTTTTTAACATGGCCACTATCAGTGTGGACTCCTCATTATCTGACTAACTCAGTTTTTTACTTATTTTATGTTTTTTTGTTTTTTGCATCAAACACCATTTATATTAAATTATCGGGAAGAGACCCTCTGTTAATGAGAGCCAATCAAAAACCGACGAAATTACATATGGAAAAAAAGCTGTTACGGGTCCAAGCTTTTTAGTCTAAACAATCAGACCGACGATTAAACTTGCGAGAAATAAAAGCTGTTACAAGTCTTTTTTTTTGTATAAATAAAATAGTAGAATTTGATTCTCTCTGCGTGTCTTGTCACTTCCAATTAAGACCAAAAATTACATTTACTACAGTGTCGGTAAAGCAAATAAATAAACAAAATTGCAAAACAAAGAAAATATGAAAACAAAAATAAACAGGAAAATTAAGAAGAAGAGAAAAACGACAAGTCGTCGTCACACCTTAGTGGCAAAACTAAAGTGAATACAATGGAATATTTAAAGATACGCGTATTCTTTTTTTAAAAGTTCAATTATCTCGAGCGTTCTTATACCTTTCTAGTCCCTTTATATAGTGCCACCTTCCTCATTACCAACCTACACACTTACCACTTATTTCCAAATCTCTCTCTCTAGAAATGAAGCTCTCTATGCGTTTGGTCTCAGCTGTTCTCATCATGTTCATGATATTCGTCGCCACAGGTTCATTACCATAACCTATATATCTAACTTTGCACATATTCATGTACTTATGTCTTTTCATATTCATTATTAATGAATTTTGCAAATATTTGGTTATCATCATAACATATTTTTATATCTATGGTTTCCTTTTTGTTTGATGAATTTCTATTAAGTGTTCTTGTGAATGCTCACGTACTAGATGGCTTTTAAAACAAATCTGTGATTTCAGAAATAGTGACCGCAATCATCTCTTGGTTATTCTAAAAGTAAACTCACATATTAAATGAATACTAATTAAGCATGAGAACATGAAACTAATCTATGGTCTAATGTTTTCTCTGTGTGTGTGTGTTAATATTCTCTAGGGATGGGTCCAGTCACGGTGGAGGCACGCACGTGTGAGTCAAAGAGCCATAGGTTCAAGGGTCCATGCGTGAGCACACACAACTGCGCAAACGTGTGCCACAACGAAGGCTTTGGAGGAGGTAAATGCCGTGGATTCCGTCGTCGTTGCTACTGCACCAGACATTGCTGATCCATCCATTCTCATGACTCAAATCTTTGATCAATCGTCGTGTGTTACTTCTTTCTTATCTAAATCTTCCGTACAGTACCATGTGGTACCGTACATGAGTGTGTTCCTCAATAAGTCTTTGGTGTTTTGTGTGTTTCCGGTTTTAATGTAATGTTAAATCAATGAATGGCTTTTATTATATTGTATTATGGATCTCAATCTACCCTAGTTCTAAATTTCTAACAACCGGCGTCGGCAAAGAATTATCTAGTTAGTGTCAAGAGGTCTATTAGACTATCACTGTGTCGATGAATAGTCTAGAACATTGGTATAGTACTTTAGATATTGGTGAAATAATACCTCTCTAAATAACAACCAAGTGAACAAATGAACTTATCTAATTTCGCAGTGGTAAAGTAACAACAAATGAAGCGTTAGCTTACTACACGTGTATTTGGTGCTATACTACAACTCTACACATGTAATGCTTGTCGTAATGGTATTGTTAAAGAAAACATAAATGTAGCTGTCAAAAAATATTTTAAAATAAAAACATTATATAAAGTGGCGTTAGGTACACAAAAAAGGGGAAAAGAGAATCATTTTCAATTTTCCTTTGAGAAGTTTAATCGTTCGTTATAATAAAAGTTTTTAAGTCTTTGATACGTCGCTATAAGGGCTAAGAGCACCTCCAATGGGAGGTTCTCTTCTAAATTTAGATGAGTTCTCATCTAATTTTGGGAAAAAAATAATTCAGAACTGAATTAAGATGAGAGAATCGATTCTCCTGAGAGAGGTTTGAGAGTTTGAGAGAACCGGACACGTGTCAGTGTTCTATTGGAGGGAGAGTTATAACAAAAGAAAAAAAAAACTCTCATTTTTTAGTTTGTGTCGCGACAAAAAATAAACACTTTGTCTCTCGATTTGGCGATTGCGAAAAACTGATGAACACCTCAAAATCATCGCGATTTCGTGAGATTCCGATGATTCGACGCCGGAATCGTGGTTTGTTTCTTTTACCTGCCGCCGGAATCATCAGCTGGATTCACGGTAAAGACCATCGGCGAATGGAGTGAAAACAAATCGAAGATTGGCGATGGAGAAGAAGGATTCGTTGAAGGATGGTCCAATTTCTTGTTCCAGGTATGAATCTAGCCCCTTTCCCATGTGTATCGTGACTTAATTCGTTTAAGGAGACAACAATGGCGACGGGAAGAACGGTTAAGGATGTCTCGACCGCACGAGTTCGTCAAGGCTATGGGATGATGATCTTTAGTCGATTTTATCTGTGGACAATGAGTTAACAAGTAGATTAAGAGAAACTAAAGTGGCAATTTAGAACACCCGAAATTGGTTGAAGTTATCTCAGAGTTAGTTAACACTTTGAATGTTGGTGATAGATGTTCTAATTAGAATGGGAATCAATAGCAGTTCTCTAGGCTTTAGTGTATCAATATGTTTTGGTTTTCTTCTGCGAGGTACAACAAAGAAATTGAGAAAGGTGGTGATAGATGATGAGAGACAAGTTTAAGGAAGAGGGTGATAGATGAAGATTTGCAATTTTGGCTTGAATTTTACTTCTCATTTAGTAGTGACTGTTTTGTATTCATGTTAAAGCTAGTGTAAAGTTATAGACCTTAACTGATCACATGACACATCACAATTTGATCAACCATAGTTGTGGTAGAGGTAGATTTTGAGCTTTTGGCTAATTATTATGTAAAGTTTTGAGCTTTTGATTGTGGGCTTGTGTTTCGTGTTAGTAATTCGGTTTTATCTGCTGATTTGTGTTTGATTTTGATGGTAATGGTAGATTTTTGTGTAGAATAGGAGTGGTTTTTGCTACTTGTTCTGCAATCATCTCTTAATGTTTGTATTTGTTGCAGATGGAGCCTTTACCAAGTGGAAACCTTCCTCCTGGTTTTGATCCGACTACTTGATGTAGTGTGTGAGTGTGTTTTGATTGCAATAATTTTTTTTTTTCCTAAAAACCCCACTAGAGAACCTACCATTGGACAAAAAAAAATCAAAAAAAATAATCAAAGGTTCTCATCTAACACTTTCTCAAAATTTATAATAAAAAATTTGAGAGAGCTCATGGAGAGAACTCCCCCATTGGAGACCTGTTTTATATAATACGGATTAGCCACACCGACCTGAATTTTGGATTAGCGAATTTTGAGTAGTAGTGACCGTTCGTTATAATCAATGCAGTCACAAGTTTTTTTTTTATTCATCATAAACTCTCATGAAAATATCTTAATAAAATTGGTGGACACTAGTTTCCACTTTATCCATTTTACCCATGCATGGAAAAGTCAAAGTCTACATGCACAATATCTCTGTTTAATACAATAACAAAGTAGTAATTCAGTCAACCTATTTAGATTTCCCAAAGTTGATAATGTCGATGTGATATTTATTTGATGTAGATTACCACTTTCGTATATCAAGAATTATGAATGTCTATATTCAAATCAACTGTGAGTAAATAGACTCTTTTTTTTTTTAAGGCAAACGAGTAAATAGACTGGATCGATTAGCCAAAGAGTCTTATCCCAAATGATTCATCTTTTGTAACCCATGTCCATGTACCAAGATATCTGGTCCAAATCCTCCATGAGGATCATAATTCTTTTTTTTTTTTTTTTTTTTTTTTTTTTTTTTTTTTTTTATGAGGATCATATTTCAACTATATATATAATGAAAGTGCTCTGTTTTGATGTAAAAAAAAGAAAAGATTTACGACTTTTTATATTGCTTTATTTTTTTGCTTCTAAACATCAATATATTAATGAATCAAATCAGTACACAAAAGTTGTTTGAGCCATAATGGATGAGTTACATAATTAGAGTAAAACTCAGAATAAGAACATCCAAATTGGGCAATATATATATATATATATATATTTTTTTTAAAATCATCGGAAATGACTACGAATTCATGAAGATGAATGTTAAAGTGATTATTTTATTAATACTAGTAATAATATTTTGTACTCCCCCTCTTTCTAACTAATCCAAATTTATTTTTTCATACATATTAAGAAAAAAAATTTGATTATAAATACATATTTTTGTTATTAACATTTTCTATAATTCTAAACCAATAGCATTCAATTATTTTCTTGAAATTTACAATTCATCATCATTAACTATTAAAAATGCATAATTTGTTTTTATAAATCTATTTTCTGAAACACTTTTTTCTATTACCAAATGTCTTGTTTTTTTAAAAAACAAATTATCAATTACCAAAGAAAGTAATAACTCTCACAGATTGCTCATGAATCTGTCTTCTCTCTCAATTTCTGGTGAGTGATGTTATACTCTTAACTTAAATTCGTTGAAGGCGATTATATATACATTCTTAGAATTCTATGTTTTAAATTTGTTTTCGTTTTTCTTTAGGATGAAGTACTAATTTGATTATTTAATTGATTGGTCAGCCTTTAATTACGACTGCTCCTTTGGGTAAAGGTTTAAGTACTGGTTCACGTTTTGTTTCTATTTTTTGTAAGGCCATAAATTATTAATATTAATTTTGTAAAAATAAACAAAACCTTTTTACCAACAAAAGAATTCATCCCCTTTATATATATAGTGCCATCTTCTTCTTCTTTATGATCTTGATCTTAATCCTCATTAGCTTTCTCCAAACATTTGTATTTGTATCTTAATCTCTTTAAAAATGAAGTTCTCTCTGCGTTTGATCTCAGCCCTTCTCTTCTCGGTCATGCTCCTCTTCGCCACAGGTTCATTACTAATTAATTTCATTTGGTAAACAAAAAATAAATTTTATAAAAAATGTGACTGATATCTATGATGACATATATGCTTGTGGATAAAAATATGCATGCAAACAAAGAAATTATCTAATTAGGGGTCACAACAACATGAAAAAAATAATTCTTTGTGGCCTCAAATATCTTATGATGCATATGCCATATATATAATGAGCATGAAAATGATCCACATATAACCCACACATGTTTTTGTAATTCCAAATTTTAATTATATATAGTAACATATATATGTGCATGGTTTTTAATTATGGTGCATGGGTTTTGTGATTTAGGAATGGGTCCTGTGGAAGCCAGAACGTGTGAGTCACCAAGTAACAAGTTCCAAGGAGTTTGTCTCAACTCACAGAGCTGTGCCAAAGCTTGCCCTAGCGAAGGTTTTTCAAGCGGCCGATGCAGTAGTCTCCGTTGCTACTGCTCCAAAGCCTGCTAATTTATCAACAAATCATTTAATCGAAATCAAAAACCAATTGATATTATCCTATCTTTCATCGTTTTCTAATTTCATTTCGAGAGTAATATAATAATCTTGAAAGGGACTATTTGTTTTGTGTTCTTTGTATATATAATTTTGGTTTTTAAGTAAGAATTTCAAGTTTTTATGTATTAAATTTGCTAATTATTACACATATACTATATTATATAATCCATGTAAATATACTTTGCATTAATTATATATCATACTTTATTGATATTTACAGAATTACATACAATTTTACATAAAACTATGCTTAAAAGTAACGTGCTTTTTCTTTTTCCAACGTACGCTTGGAAATAATGTAAAATGTACTCCCTCTGTTTTCGAATAGTTGTCGTTTTAATTATATGCACATAAATTAAGAAACTATTAATGGTGTTAGTTTTTCAATATAAAAATATCATTAATTATCTACCTAAACATAATTTAACCAATAGTAAATCAAGTTGCATAATAAAAATAAATATAAAAAATAAAAAATAATAAATTTTGCATCGAAAACTGAAAACGACAACTAATTAAAAACAAAAAAAATTCTCTAAAACGACAACTATTCGAAAACGGAGGGAGTACTAATTAAATATATGACTAGCTCTTTCAATTTTGGAGTTTGAATTTTGATTTGGATATATATTTATGTATGTATTTAAATGTTTTTAAATACATTGCTTAAATTTAAATATGTGGTTTATAAAATTCATGGAATAGTGGTTTGTAATGTGATTTAATCAACCATATAATTTATTGGAACAATTAATTTAGCTATGTAAAAAGTAAACCTAAGTTTTCTCTCTAGATAGTTTTATTCATCAATTAAGCTCTCATAAAAAAAGATAAAGTAAGTTCATTAATTAGGTGAATGTTGTTCAAGATTTCACTCATTTATCCATCCATGAAGAAGAATAGAGAATAGAGAAAAACAGAAATAAATTATAGAGATAATATCAATATGCCATATATATATGTGGTAAAAAGAGAAGAAAAGAAATATTAGAATGTTTTCTATCTTCAATATTTTTTAACATAAAATAATTTGATATTTAAATAGAGAAATAGAAATAAATTGTAGATATAATATGCCATATGTGGTAAAAAAAAGAAGAAGAGGTATTAGAATATCTTATATCTTGAAATTATTTTACAATAAAGTAAAATGATATTTAATTTTGATTTAAATGATAAAACAAAACATAGAAAATGTAGAATAATGGTATCTCGCATCTTGTTTAAATATAATAATATAATTAAATGAAAAATATAAGGTGCATTCGGGGTGGAGAGAAAAAAATACATGTCAAAAGAAGGGATACTACGTTTAGAGAAATTCTTAAAATTAATGAGATAAGATTTATCATAAATTTCTATGATGTTAGTTTTTTATTTAAATGAATAAAGCAAGAAAAAAAAAGAGAAAACAAAAATCTAGTTTAACATGTAAAGGAAAAATGTAAAGGAACACTATTTGAAAAGCACAAAGTAAGAAATCTAGTTTAACTAGAATAACATTATAAAATAATGTAATAATAATGTCATATAAAATATGTTTATCAAAATAAAGAGGAAAATATAAGTAAATTATAGGACAATATGCAATATGTAGTAAAATATAGAAAATAATTATATCTTAAAATTATTTGATTTTGTTTTTTTTTACTTTAAATAATGAAAAAGAAAACAAAGAGAACATCTAGGAAAATGTGTTTTAGATATTTTCTTAATATAATTATATAACTATATCCAATGAAAATGGATAATGATGTATTTGGATTTGTCAAAAAAAAGATACATAAAAAGCATGTGATTTGTCAACTTCTCAAAGATTGTGTTTAGGAGAAACATTGAAATATCAAGTCCATGTATATATATAGTGCCATTCACTTCTTCTTCCTACACAACACTTAGTTATTTCTAACGATCTTTGTCTATACAAACATTCATAATCTCTCTCGAAAAATGAAGCTCTCTTTGCGTTTTCTCTCAGTCCTTCTCCTCATTTCTTTCATGGTTCTTGCTACCACTGCAGGTTCATTGCTCTAAATTTTCATATATATACATACAAATATGTGAATTCATCTACATTATAAACGTATAATCTATAACATATGTCTCGATATTCCTCATTTTGGTAATGTCTATTCAAATGTGTTTTTTCTTACATAGAGGTGAGTCCGGTGGATAACAAAATATGTAAGACACGGAGTGATCGTTTCTCAGGGGTGTGCTTGAGCACTAACAATTGTGCTATCATCTGCCAACAATTCGAGCACTTTGATGGCGGTCATTGCGAATTCGACGGAGCCCTCCGTCGTTGTATGTGCACCAAACAATGTAATAATTAAGATCATCATGATGATTCAATATTCTCTATTCCATCATTTGTTTCTAGATAAATAATAAAGGACACACTTTGTTAATTTGTGTTCTCTCTCTATACTATTTTCCGATTTAACAAATTTAATGGATTTTTAATAACAATTCAAGTCTATGTGTTTGATTTAATTATAGTCAGATTATATTCATCAATATCTATCCAATTATACATTTTTACATAGCCAAAACCATTCAAGCGTTAACACATCTGCTTTAATCAAGATTAAGAACACACATAATTAGGTTAACTACTTCCAGGCCAAATAAATATACTAGCTCAGATTTCACCAACCTGAAACACTAAACTTCTTGTAAATTTGTGCCTTAAACGAAATTCCAAACCGAGACGAGAGCAATGATTTGTCTCTCTTTACTATACTCCGAGTCTCTTGGAACCACACTCTGAGCAGAATTTAGATGTCTCTCTCAAGTACTGTGCTCCACATTGGTCACAAAATTTCGCCGGACTATTTGGCTGTGGAAAGACAGATAATAAACACATGAGGACCTTAATGGAGATCGAAATGATCCTATTGGAATAGATATTATGGATGATTTGTACCATTACATGGCCTCCAGTGAGGGGTTGCAAGCAAGCCATGTGATGTGAAATAGATGGTGACTGGTGGGTGTGAGATAGTTCAGGGTCACATTGATGGTTCTGACCGGGAAAATGTGTGGCTGCGTGTTGATTTTGGTAAATAGATTGATGGTGGTGGTGGCTCTGGTTAATAGATTGGTGAAATTGATGAGACAAAGATGACATGTGATGTTTGGAAGGAGAAGGAGTGTGTTGTTGTTGACTTTGATCCTGCAATTATGATAAAGATCATTTCCATTAGAATCTGCCATTGTATGTACTACGTAGTTTCAAAAAGAGTATGCGCTTACTTCATTAACGGAGCGAAATCCTTGTGTACTAGCTAACGTTGAAGAGTCTATACTTGGAAATGTCTGCAAAAGAAAAAGAAAAACACTGTCACTTTATTCTTCCAACTCAGATAAAAGCTATAAACAGAGCGTTGATTGGTCTTACCGGCAAGCCATGGATGCTGGAGACAGAATTTTGAAGACGCCTATGCTTGCGTCGAGGGCAATAGAATTTATAGTCTCTTGCAGAGATAGCCACTTCATTACGGCCTGTTAGTCGCTTAAACCTGTCGTGACAATATCCAATTATATACTGATGTAGCTAACTCACAATAGTAAAAATCTGATGATGATTGGAAAGAGGTATTTTCACCATTCAGCATCTTCAATAGGCAAATCATCTGGCTTTTCAACAATATCCAAACCATTGACCACCACAAAGCGAACTCGTTTCTCTTCATGTATTACCAATTCTGGAAATCTTGTCCTTGTTTCAACCGAAGTTGCTAGTTCTCTTCTCCTGTACATGCAAGTGCCTGTAAATATTAAAAAAAAAGCAGACAATCACACATATCAAACTAAAGCTCAAACAAAATCAAAACTCTATCACTTTTGCAAAACATCAGAGCAGATACAAATACCTTTCTTAGGAAACTTCTTAGTTAATTTCCTATACAAGCCACCAGCTGCTTCAAGAGCTACTCCAATAGTCTTATCTCTTATTCCATTCAATGAAGCAAGCCTCACATTTGCTTCACCAACTAAAGTCTCATACAAATTTGCAATATACATCAACGGTAACGCAAAACTCGGATCACCTTCATATCGTGTATCATCCGACTTCCTCTTCACTTTATTACTATTATCCCGTCCTCCTGAATCCGTTTCATGATCACGCTTGTTATCACATACTTCAATCACATGCTGGCTAATAAAGTAGTCCAAGATTATTTGCAGAAATCTCCCTCGTGCTGCTTCAATCGGTGAAACATCTATAAACAATACGAAAATTGTTAACGAATCAAGAAACTCCGCGCAATCACAATATCGAGATGATCATCATTACCTTCAATGTTTAACATAATGTAAGCAGATCCTACAGGTCCTTTGTTCTCCATGTTAGATCCACCTTCTTCTACTCCTTCATTGTGGATTTGCATAGAGTTTCTGTACGATTCATGCATACAGTCCTGAAAAGAGTCATTGATAAGTCTCAATACAATCGAAAAACCCGAAACTTTCGATTCATTTTAGCTAATTTGAGCTAAGTTACTCATAAACCCTAGAAATTGAGAAATTTTGTACACACCGCAGAAGAGGAATCGCCGTCATTATCCAAACTTTCGCCGCCACCGGAGCCTCTGATACCGTCGATATCTCTCGACGGACCATCAACGGAGTTGAGATCGTGAAGAGAAGTACCGATGTAGGAATCAGCTGATCCCAAATTGTAATGCTGCACTCGAACCCTAGCTCCCATTTCTTCCAAAACCCAAACACACAAATTCCAAAATCAGAATCGATTTAGTAACAATTCAACCATTTTCGATCACAGATTCAACTCGAGAAGATGCAGAATCTTCTAGAGATTGCATCTTCAAGCTTTTGAGTTTGCTCGAGCGATTGTTGCTCCGATACTGGAGATTTAACGGCTATACAAACCTTGACGAAGAGAGAGAGAGAATCCGAACCTGAATCCGTACCTGAGATTATCGTACGGTGACAGAGATCTCCGAACCTGTCTCCGAACTCCACACCTGTTACCGAGCCACTCAGTCTTGTGAAACTCTCAACTAATTTATCCCGAAACTAATAAGCAACTCTTTTAAATATGGGCTAATATTAAACATTTTTTAATTAGCAGATAAACTAATCCAAAAGCTTAATTTTTTTTTGTTTTATTTGTAATTTATATACATGAATTTCAAGCTCCTCTGCATTGTGAAAAAAAATATTTTTGTTTAAAACTAATTATTCAATCATCAGTAGTAGAAAATTACATTTTGGGAGAAAACTATGTACAACACATCAAAAATTAGGGACTTTGATTGGTTCCTCAATGCAACAATACAAAACAACAATGAAGAACCCTTAAAACCCATGTGTAAGCAAAATTAACTTCATAATCTTCACTCCTTTCTCATCTTTTCCACAGCTTCAGAGCTCAAAGTCTGCAACAAAAGACTACATTTTTATTGCAGACCAAATTCAGATTACACCCAATATTGGATTTGTTTCATACCTCAGCTCTTGTCGATGAACAATGTATCCATCGATAAGCTTCTCCTCGGATTAGTCCCGAACCAAACAGAGAAACTGCAGCTACAATAATAAGCTAACAGATTCTCAGGAGAACACTTAGGCGGAAGATTCCAGATTTTGGTTTCTTGTTCTTCATGTACTCCAGAAGAAACAAGGGTTTGGATCCAAATATCTGAATCCGTTGATAAGAGCAAAAAGATTGCATCTTTGAGTTTCACATGTTTGGGAGGGCATTATCGTTGTCACTGGTCAAAAGTTGATGCTTCATCAGATAACTCTGCAACTCTACAGCTTCGTTTATACATCCAAGCTCATAGTGTTTCTTCAAGACACTAATACACAAAACCTCGTCAGGGTGAATTCCTTCTCCGATCATTTCCTCCAGGAAGGATCTCGCTTTCTGCAACTGATTGCAGTGCGATAATCCCCAGACTAATGAAGTGTAAGCAAGCAAATCAAGCTTCATACCAGTCTCAACCATTTTGTCTCGTAAAGCCAAAGCCTCTAGCACATTCCCTTGCTTAAAGTTCCCATCCATTAACGATGTGTATGCCGTTCTGTCTGGAACTAGACCCTTTTGAGCCATTTGTTCAAAGAGAGTTGTTGCAGCCTCAACTTGATTATCTTTACAGAGACCATCAATCATTGCTGTGTATATGGCTGCATTAGCTTGTAGACCAAAATCATTACTTATCCTCCCGAAATAATCAATTGCCTTAGAAACTAACTTATTTTTGCACAATCCATCAATCAAAACGCAAAAGGTAACCACTGTGACCTCGATATCAAGTTCTAGCATCTCGTCCAGTAGATGCAATCCCTCAGTGGGGTTTCCCAACTTAAAGTAAGCATCCATTAACGTTGTGTAAATCAGCGGATTTGCTTTGATCCCACATTCCTTCATTTCATTCATCACTACCTTAGCGGCCTCTATCTTCTCTAAACTGCACAAACCCCAAATGAAAGTTCCATAAAGCAGCAAATCCGGCTTAATGCCTCTCCCCTTCAATTCGTTTAGAAGCTCTAATGCTCTGTCCATGTTTTTCACCTTCACAAATCCATGAATCAGAGCATTGTAACTTGCAAGATTTGGAATCACACCAGCTGTATCCATTTTTCCAAAAAGTTCTTCAGCTTCTTTCATTCTCTCCGCATCACAAAGGCCATCAATAAGCGCAGTGTAAGTGACTACATTCCATTCTACACCCACTTGCAACATCTCATTAGCTAACCCAAAAGCATCTGAGAGATTACCAATTTTACAATAGGCATCAATGAGGGAAGTATATGTATACTCATTAGGCACAAGACCAACTCTTCTCATATCAACATAAAACTTGATGGCTTGTTGCATCATACCCTCCTTACAAAACGCATCAACCAAAGTGCTGTAACTCACAACATTCGGTTTCAACCCATTTCGTTTCAACTCCCTATAAAACTCCAAACCTTTAGGCAATTTCCCAAATTTACAGAAACAATTGATCAACGCATTGTATGTTATAACATCAGGCTCGCAGCACATATCCTTCATTTCCTCGAAAAAACAAACCGTATCATCTAATCGACCAACCTTCCCAAAACCATCAATCATAGAATTATATGTAACAGTGTCCGGAATCAAACCTCTAAACTTCATTTCTTCAAACAAGCCTCTAGCAGCTTCTACATCTCCTTCTTTACACATACAATCTATCATTATATTGTAAGTAAACACAGTCAGTTTCGCACCAGCACCAATCATATCTTTAAAAAATCTCTTCATCCCATCCGTCTTCCCCAATTTCGCAAACTTATGCAATAAACCATTGCAAGACCGAGTTTTCGGGAAAACTCTAAATCTCTTCATCTTAGAGAAACACTGAATAGCTTCCTCAAGCATTCCTAGATCAATCAAAACACTAAACAAAGCATCAAACACTCCAAAACCAGGAACACACACATTCCTTGTAGACCACAGAACATCGAAAACATCGCAGTCCGCCTTTAACAAAACCATCTCTTTAAGGATACTATTAGCATCATAATACATTCTAGCACAAAACAGAATGTGAGCTACTATACAGTAAGATTCCACGGAGTGCTTAAACCCATTACGAGTCATCGACCATTTGAAGAATTTGAAAGCTAATTTAGGGTCTTCTTTCAATTCAACGAGAACCCTTGGAACCCAAATCGGAGCCAATGTCAAATCAAAAAGCTTTCCGATTCCAGGATCATCCCATAGATTATTCTGAACAACTTTACGGATCCAATCTCTATCGAAATCTTCGGAATAAGAAGAAGGACCGCTTTTGCTAACGAAAGGGTATCGGATGATACAGAGAAAGCTAGTGAACCAACCGAAAGGGCAAGAGATAAAGGAAGATTGAGAAGGAGAAGATAGAGGGAAACAGAGAGGTGATTGAATTTGAGAGAGGGAAGAGGAACAAGGGCTTACATGGCGAGGGAATCTGCGATTAACGTGAAGAAAATTGCGAAGAGAACAGAACATTTTCAGGAAAAAGTTCAAAGGAAATAGAATGAGCCTCATGGTTTAGCTCAGAGACATTGTATTCTATAGTATTCCTCAACTATTCGACTGAGGAAGAGGAGGAAGAAGAAGAAGAAGAAAGTAGGGTTTATGAACTCTGGGTTTTGTTGCTTTTTTCCCTCAAGTCTATTTACACCTGTTTTTCTTGTTTGTATAATGTTGATTTTTATGGGCTTTTGGAAACGGGCTACAAAGGCCCAAATTTTATATTTATGGGCCCAACCTTCTTAACTTAGGGTTGATTAGATAGAATGATAGATAATCAAAGTTGTGAGACTTAAATGAGGTGAAAGTTTTTGTTAGGTAAATTCGTAAATACTTTAAAGTTGATTGCATGATTAGTTGATTACTCATGTCATGTTATGCTAAGTGCAAAAACAATAATGCTAAAGTGGGATTACATCATTTATTTTATGCAAAAACAATAATGATAAAAGGTGCTAAAAGCTGAAGACTCTTCGTTACAATTTTTTATGATATACTTTTATTAAATATCGAATAAAATTAAAGATGTTTAATAATGACTGTAAATACCTTTTAATTCGATGAAAAAGTCATTTATCAAAACAGATTAGAGAACAAAAAAAATCAGAAATATGTTGTTGTACTTGTACCATCGTTTCTTTTCTTTCTTCTCTAGTGTTACAATTTAAGAAATCATAATAAGAAAAAATGGCGACTAAAACTCAGTGCCAAGCCAAAGATAAAAGCGACTCGCATATTATTTGCTCAACGACTTCTCTCCCATTTGCATTAAGCAGAGAGATCAGAGGAAAGGAGCAAAAGCTTTTTCTGTGTTATCTCTTTTCTTTTATGACAACATCTCAACGGTCTTCTTCTCAATGTCTTCTTCACCCTCAGCTTCACCTCCTTCTGTCACTTCTTCTTCTCCTTCCTCAGCCGCGTAAACTACTTCTTCACCTTCTTCGTAAGCGTATTCTCCTCCCTCTTCTTCATATCCTTCTTCGTAATAGTACTCTCCGTTTAGCTCATCACCTTCATAAGCTTGCTCATCTTCATTTCCTTCATACACTTCCTCCCCAACGACTTCTTCTTCCTCCATAATCGTCCCTTCTTCTTCTACTTCAGCTTTGGGTTCGGAGACAACCTCGGTTTTCTCTTCTGTTATGATTTTGGTCTCATCTCCAGCTTCCTCTTTCGTTATCGTCTCGTCCTTGTTGTTGTGTCTGCTACCACCAGATGCAGCCGCTCTTTTTCTCTTGAGAATCTCACTGAAAGGCAACGGAGCTGCAAATGAATCTCCTGATCGCTTATGACTATGATGATCCTCTTCAAAGCTTTTCCTCTTCCCAAGAGATGGCTCTGGCTTACTTTCCTCTCTCCTGCTTTTAGTTTCTGCAATGCTTTTAGGAGCTGGTTTTCTTTCGTCTTCCATTTCTCTTCTTCTCGCCCATGGAGCCCGGAAACCTCTTTCCTGATTACCACTATGGTTTTCCTCTAACCTACCCTTAATTCTATCTCGGAGTCTACCCTGAGAAGATAATTCGCTTCTGTCCCTTCCCCTCTCACTTCTCCTGTCAAAGTGGTGACCCTCGTCGCCATTGCTTCTCTCACGAAGCTTAATTCTACCCTGTAGACGGCTGCTGTTAATGGAATTTTCCCTCAGTGTATCCCTACGAGAGTCTCTATATCCTCTTTCCACTGAAGAGTCAGGAGCACCAAAGTCATGGCTTCCAACTGATCTCACACCATTGACTTTCCTCTGCTTAGCCAAACGATATCTCAGATCTGATGCCAATATGTTCTCTGATCTCTCATCTTCTGCATAAACCCTTCTTTCTGAATGATCTCCTCTCTCAGAAGAAACTCGACGGTTGCCCCATGCATACCTGTCTTCCCTCTGATCATATGGATCAAAACGCTGATCATGGAATGCTTCTTCATCATCAGCTATTGCACTGAAATCAGGGTCATACTCATTCACAGAGTTCCCTCCCTCCTGACTTCTCCGTCCATATCGATCTTCAACACGATAATACTCCGAATCCCTAGCCTCATTATCCACAAGAACATCAAACCCAGGAGACGACTCTCTTAAAACGTCATCTGCGTCCTTACCATTGTGGAAACTATTATTATCATCAGATCCATATTTATGAAGCAACTGAGTCGAATGGCCTCCTTCAGTAAAGGAAGGAACTCCCGTACCCTTTTTCTGTACAACAGGGTCATATCCCACATGTTCTGGAACATATCCCTCTACACGTCTACTATCCCTTAGGCCAGCAGATGTGACTCTTGGTGCAGCCGATATGTCAACATGTGCTTTAACCGCCTTTGAGAGGTTAGCATCAGGAAATTTCTTCTCCCCGGTGTTATTATCAATTGGCTTTTTAGAAAACTGAGGATCAGGAGCAGGCTTAGCTTCTACGGGGTTCTGCTTTTTATAACCAGCAGGATTCGGTGTGTGCAAGAATGAACACATATCTCCTTTCATACACATGCCTTTTTGAAAGAACACACATGGAACCGGCTGTTTTGCAACACCGGGATGCTGCGCGGTTGCGTGTGTTGGCTGTACAGAACTAGCAGGAGCACCTCCTTGATTTCCCAACAATCCCTCCAAAGGCTGTAAAAGACACAAAACCACAACATAAGCACACTTGATAATACAACTTCAAACTCAAGCAGAGATTTGTATTGAGGAAGAAAGTAAACTCACAGGATGCCGAAAGCCACATTTGGGATTCATACAATTTCCATTCAACCAATAATAGCAATCCCTTGGGTTCATACGCGCATACTCACTGTGGCGATACTCACACTCAGGTCCCTGTTAGAAGAAAAAGAAGAAACCATAAGAATCCCTATAGGCTATAGCTGATCAGACTAGCTGCAGAAACCATTAACATAAACTGAGGAACCATAGCATTAGAACAAAACCTATGAGGAAGATCAGATTGTACACATTGAGCAAAATCTTTATCTATGTAATTTTCAATCTAGTTAACAAGAAGCCCTAAGAAACAACAATACTTGGATTCGCGAGGTTCGAAATCACCAGATCTAAATCTTGCACCAAAATTAAGCAGACGGAGAAGTGAAGTATGTATAGATAGCTTCGAGGGACACAAAAAACACAGAGAAACTTGAAATCGGGCGAAAGAAACTTGAGATCTCAAATCCAAAACCCTAATTGAAGCAGAAACTGGATAAGATCTAAACGAAACATAATAAAAAAATCAATTACCTTCTTGCAGGTTAAAGGAGAAGCAAGAAAGTAAACGCAATCGGTGTTCCACTTCAAAGCATCTTCTTCAGCAGATGAAACAGTCTCCGATTGCTTCTTCTCCTGCTGCTGCTGTTGCGGTTGAGTCGCAGGCGCAAACATTATTATTACTTCGAAATTTCTAAATCTATCTTTCAAGTAGATCGTGAGGTTTCAGATCGAAACCCTAAAAAGATCGAAAATCACCGATCAGAGAGAGTCCCGTGGAAGAAGAAGAAGAAGAAGACGAGCCGCCACAAAGAGCGAACCAGAGAGAAACTCGCGTCTGTGTGTGTGTGCCCTTTAAAGCTAAGCCTAAAGTTTTTTTTTTTTTTTCTCTTTTGTGATGGGGAATATCAATAGATCAAGTTCGGTTTAGTATATTGTTTATCAATCAAATACTGACACGTGGTGATTTCTTATTGTTAGCCAAATTGTTTGCCTTGATATTATACTTCTGGTGGTAACAGCGACTTTGGAATGTTGTGAAATAGACAATGATAAGGTTATTTAAACCGAACTTGAACCGAGTATAAATAAAATTGTAAACCGATTGGTAGATCTTTCCACCATCAAACAGTAAGGACTATTTTGCCGAAATCTAGCCAAGATTCAATCCAAACCAAAATCAAAACTTTACCGAACCAAATTTTATGGTTTTCAATTTGGTAGGACTTTTTGAACCGAGTCATTCGACAAAACCAAACATTCGACAAAAGCAAAATTTAAAGATCTACTAAAGAACTAAAGATCACAAGAAAGTAGTTTTATAAAGGTTTTATTATACAAATGATAGAAAGATGTGTTCTTTAAGAATTAAGAACACCACAATGATTGGATTAAGAACAAAAGCTAAAGCACGAGAACAACAATGAAGGTACTTTGCCTGTTCTTCGGATTTGTTCAGCTTGTTTCTCTGTTTTAGCTGCTTGACGATCCTTCTTTGCTTCAGCTGCTGCTCGCTTCTCCTCTGCTTTGCGCTCGATCGCAGCTAGTTTCTTCATCAATCGGTCTTGTGCTCGTCCCTTAATCCTCTCAACTTCCACCTACAATATCAAGAATTCCACCATCATCATTGAGGTTTTTCACAAGTTTGTTCAATCATTACTTGAATTTGAGTAGTTATGCTCAAGCTACTTTACCTCGGTTTTCTTCATCTCAGCTTCAGATTTCGCCTTCTGATGATTCTCCCATGCTTGAATCTTCATCTCTTCGCGTCTGAACCTGAAGATTACAAAAGTCATAATAAGCTTAAAGTTTTCAAGAACAGTAAAACACTATGACAAACAATGCAACTTTCGGGTACCTAGCCATGTGCTTAGCTTTTTCCGCTTCCTCCCACGCGGTAGCACGAGCTTCGGAAACACTTTTAGAAGTTTGTAGAGAAGCTTTGGTCTTTAGTGATGTGGAAGCGTCTTTATCTTCATCCTCTTTGCTAGCCCAAGCAGCAATGTTTAATTTACCAAGTTGAGTACCTAACACCATTATCTCTCTCCTAGTTTTCATTTGAAGCTCTTTCTCCGACAGTTCCTTGTTAGTCATAGGAGAAGCTGAAGCTTGTCTCCCTGGACTTGAAGGTTCAGAAGATATAGGACTTCGGATTGGCGTTGTTGCCCTGATTGGTGTCCCGTTTCTAGAAGGTTCTTGGCTCGCTATAGGAGTCATTTCGGTTCCCATGTCTCTCATCGATACAGATCTTGCTGTTGAAGGCGGTTGGGCAAACCCAGTTGCGACTGATGAGTCATGTCGACTGAGATTAACTGCAACAAAGCAAGTAAATTTTGGCTTTAGAAGATAAACAGAGCATACAAACTCAATAACTCAAAGAGACAGCTAACACACTTTCAGTTGCTGATTCTACAATAGAGTTCTCAACCATAAGAACCGGTTTGACATATGAATCCGCGGTTGTGTATGAATCGACTTCCCAGCTAACAAACTTGTTTCCTATATCCTTTTTCACTTGGCTCACATCTATCCGCTTTGTATCAGGTTCTTCAACCGCTCTATGATCCGCAACTTCAACAATCTTCATAGATGACTGGCGACCAAAGCTAGGCCCTTTCTTCGAACCCGGAACCTGAACCTGTCCAGTCTTCGGTCGGTTAGCCGTCGGGCTAGCAATCCATTTCTGAGCATCATCCCATTTAGATGGAGCTGGTTTAGAGAACGATCTAATAGGCATTCTTTGATTAACCTTTTCCTTCTCAGTCTTTTGAAACTCAAAGACAGATGAAGCAGAAACACTCTTAATCTCATTCACATTCTCATAATCAAGACTCGGATACTCTTGAAGACCCAAACTAATCGATCTAGCCATCCCAGAAGTAGAACAATCAGTAATCTCACTCACAACATCAACATCTTTGCAATCATCTAATCCACTAGAACCTACAACATTTGAAAACAACAAAAGCAAAGAAAAAAGAAGCAAACTTTAGATTCAAATAGAGACAAAAGCGTATTTAAAAAGAGTATTAAGAAATGATTAAGGGGCTCCACCATAAACCCTAGGGTCATCAATTTGATTAGACCCAGATCTCATTGTAGGAGTAGATTCTTCTTCATTCTTCTTTCTATCAACACCAAGAAGAAGCATACTTCTTAACTTCCCCGGAGAAAATCCACCGCCGCTAGTAGTAACCTATATCACAAAACTCATCGGAGAAAACAGAGTTTATCAAATCAAAAAGACAGAGAGATGATGAAGTGATTTGAAAAAAGAAAGTTTGTCTTTTTAAGTAAAAGATTTCTCCTAATCGGAAAAGTGCCAAATCTGGCTTTTGATATCCCTAATTTTACGCAAAACCCAGTTTCTGGAAACGTGAAACCGAAGCATTTTCTCACCTGGGTCTTTCCGATTCGTTCGTAATCCATCGAGAGAGAGAAAGAGAATCTCAAAAATCTTCACTTTTTTCGCGTCTAGTCTCGAGAACCAAAATCCTGAAAAAGAGTGATGATAATGTGTAAGAAAATATAATAGTAGAAGATTGTTTGTAATCAGAAGAAGCATTATTTGAATGGAAGAGTACAGTGAGTGATAAGAGAGCTTGGAAGCTTGTGAAAGTACAGAGACTGATACACACTGTGTCTTTCTTTCTTTCTCAAAGCTTCTCTTTTTTATTTTTTTCTTTGGTTTTTGTTGTAAGCTGACATCAAAATAAGGGACATTCACTGTGATGGAGCCTTTAAGTTAAGCAACTGTTGTACCATCTGCCAAAAACAAAAAAGTAAAGAAAAGTTTAATACTATTGTCATACATCAATAATCTTGTATCTCTAGTTCATAAATCCAATATTACTCTTCACATTCAAGATTAGTTGTTGATACTATTAGTTGTAACTTTTTCAATCAATTCAAATTTTTTTCAAAGTATAAAAACATCTTAAAAAGTTAAATTTTTATATTGTAAACGTTAATGTCAGTATTTAAAGCGGTCTAAACAGCCCGTTAATTATTTTCTGTTAAGCTCCTTAATTAAATAAATCAAACATATGATCACTATTTTTGTGTGCGAAATTGATTTGGATTATACATGAAATATACATTTTTAGTGTTTTTTGTAATGTTAGTATTCAAGAAAGAGGTATAGACAGTCGTCTATTGTTAAACACTTAAACATCCATAAACTGCTTAGTTTTTTACTAAAATTGGTTCGTAATATGGCAGAAAAGAGATGCAGAAGTAGAAGTTTTTCTTAGCACAAAAAAAGAGAGATGAAGAAGTATATTAATCATTTACTAACAGAAAAAAAAATGGTGGCCTGGCCTCCTCCATAGGATGCTGTCTTCGAAGGCCCATAAGTAAGGCCATGACTATTTGACGGGTCAAAGAAAAAATGGTTCCATTTGACTAAAAGATGATCATATAGTATATTATTATGACAGCTATTGACCTATTGTACTCCCCAATCCAACAACACACGAATGCCAAGTCGGTGATTCATCATGAGGATTAATTCCTACAAAATTATCTTCTAACAATTCTCATTTTTTCAAAGATTCAAGCTTGCAGGCTCTAAGTGAGAATCACGGATTGTACTTAAATCGAGTGCGAAAATAGCTGACGCAAAAGATTTTCTCCTCTTAGATCTTTTGAATATTGGGCCTGGCCCATAACATAACATCTTGCTCAGCATGAAGGTAAGAGAGATCAATTAAAAATGTAAATTACCATAACTGTCATAATTTACTTTGCTTCACTTGATTAGGCAAAAAAAACATTTGTTGAATTTCTTTTGTGTGGATCATGCCAGCTTTGGTTTGCTCTTTATCCACATGTGCCACGTGGAGCAGCGTGTCAGTCAACTTTCATCAACTACTTCAATCTCTCGATTGAAATTACCGGCTATCACCGGTTCTCTCCCGTTTATTTACTTATTTCTTTTTTTTTCCTCGTCAAATCTCTCTCTTCTCCGACGTCGGCCGTTTCTTTTTCATTTTTGTCGTTTTTTTCCAAATTTTTTTATTTCGGGAAAATAACAAAAAAAATTATAAATCCAAAAAAGAAGAAGAAAGAAATAAAAAGAGAGTTCTTCATTATGTGTGTATTCAAAATCTGAATCGAGAAGGCATCTGAATCGTTGTTAGATGAGAATCGGCGGCGTCGAGGTTATGCGATTTGCGTCGGAGATGATGTCATCGTCATCGTTATCGTCATCGTCGTCGTCGGCGGTGGAAATGTTGAATCTCAAAGAAGCTTCGAATTGGTGGTCGGACGTAAACGAGTCTCCGATTTGGCAGGATCGTATCTTCCATGTTCTCGCTGTTCTTTACGGAATCGTTTCCGTCGTTGCTGTGGTACGTTTCGTTTCTGGATTTTGAAATCATCGTCGCTTAGGGATTGATGGATTCTTCGAGGATTTGGTGTAATTTATGTTTGTTTTTTGGTTTAGATTCAACTTGTGAGAATACAATTGAGAGTTCCTGAATATGGTTGGACTACGCAAAAGGTCTTTCACTTTCTCAATTTCGTTGTTAATGGAGGTTGGTGTTGAGTGATTTCGTATGTTACTAGCTTGTATCGCTTGTTGATTGATTTGGCTCATCTTTGTATCTCGCAGTTCGTGCTGTGGTGTTTGTCTTCAGAAGAAACGTGCAATTTATGCATCCAGAGGTTTTAGGATCTTCACTATCATTGTAATTTTAACCTTGTTGAGTAACCTTTCTAAATTTGCAAGTGTTATCTGTGTAGATTCTGCAACATATCTTGCTTGATATTCCAAGTCTGGCTTTCTTCACCACCTATGCTCTCCTGGTTCTCTTCTGGGCAGAAATTTACTATCAGGTAGTTTCTAGTTAGTATATATGGGTTTCTTTTTATTCAGTGGTTCTTTGGTTTTGATATTTTACTCAACAATCTTTTGATTGGACAGGCGCGTGCAGTATCGACTGATGGACTGAGGCCAAGCTTCTTCACAATAAATGCAGTTGTATATGTAGTTCAGGTATAAATTTGTGAAACTCGAAATTTAAGTTTGGTTTTTGTGGGGTCATGGGCTTGATATATCTCATTGAATGTATTTCTTCCAGATTGCTCTTTGGTTGGTTTTGTGGTGGAAGCCTGTTCGAATTATGGTAATCCTATCTAAGATGTTCTTTGCAGGTAATTAGCTTCCATCCTTCTTCACTCAAGCATGCTATATATCTCTTGCTTATATAGTCCATACTACTAGTCTCACCTCTCTTGCGAATTTGTAATTGCATTTGCAGGTGTTTCATTGTTCGCTGCCCTTGGATTTTTACTTTATGGTGGAAGGTAAAACTTGTTGCGACTTCAATATGTACTACATTTGACAAATTTGACATTAGCATAGTTTCTATCATTACCAGTCAAGTCATTTTGACTAGGAGTTGTGTTGCCAAGAGTCATCATTGAGGAATGAGATCATAAATTGTGACCATTTTTTATGCCTAGCGAGACTAGATTCCCCTGGTGCTATAGCTTTGCATTTGGGCTTGATTTTTATGTCCTTTTATATTGATCTTATGGCAGGCTTTTCTTAATGTTGCAACGGTTTCCAGTAGAATCTAAAGGGCGACGCAAAAAGCTGCAAGAGGTGAAACATCAATTTTACAAAACTTAAGTATAACCGATCAAGTCTTTACTATTTGCTGCTTCTCGGTCGTTTACCCCCTTTCTCTCTTATGTATGGTAGGTTGGTTACGTGACAACCATATGCTTTACGTGTTTCCTCATCAGATGCATCATGGTAAAGACACACACAAACACATCGTTATATTAATATCTATCAATCCTTACCTTCTTGGTTGGATTCGCTTCTCAACTATAGACTATAGTCAGTTTTAGAATTACCATCTAACCAAAGCTTTTGTCATATAATATTTGTTTAGATGTGCTTTGCTGCTTTCGATGAGGGTGCAAACCTTGATGTGTTAGATCATCCCATCCTCAACTTCATATATTACCTGGTAACCTCTCTCTTAGCTCAATCGTAGAATCTGATCGTGAACATTAGCTTTATATATAAAACAAAGAAACCGTCTCTTTTCGCATTTTCTCGTTTGTAACTTGATCATGTTACTTAATTACAGTTGGTAGAGATATTACCGTCCTCTCTGGTCCTCTTCATCTTGAGAAAGCTACCTCCAAAACGAGGCATTACACAATACCATCAGATTCGCTGAAATGTAAAGACACGACAACTAATGATCAGATGAAGAAGACAAGACCATGTTTGTTATATGCTTTTCTGTATTCAATAGAGAGAAAAGCGTAAGATACAAATGAATAGATCTAAAGCTGGTAAGTCTTTTTGGTTGATGATGGGAATGAATTCGCTTTGTTGTTGGTAAACTGGGTTTTGTTCCCCTTATATGAAGGTCATGTTGTAAAAAAAAAAGGTTTTAAAGAAAAATACATGGAAGGATTGTGTAAATTCGTATGGCGTTTTAGTAGTTTTACTACAATCGAATATACCAAACTACACCAAAATACAAAAACTGAAATGCTAACAGCCATTTTTTACGATGGACATAACGTAAATCACCATAGTTTTTCTGTTTCTCAAGTTTCATAAACTAAGTTAAAGTGGAGGAACAAATCTAATATTTATGATAGAAACAATGTGAAGATGACAAGGAACATTTTGCATTAGCAAACATTATTACAGGGTGGCACTAATCGAACACAGCTGATTAGCTGATTTCTCATTCAGGCTAAGTCTATGTTAGCTTCTCAGATTCCTTTTTCTCTATGAGTTTGATGAAGTTGCCGACAATTGTTTTGCCTTCAGTTGTTATAATACTCTCCGGATGAAATTGAACTCCCTGTGAATAATTGTTACAAGACTTCAAGAGTTTAGTTCCGTTTTTAATGGAGGAGGCAAGAAGATACATGAAAACACTTGTGTGGGTTTTACCTGTATATGCTTGTACTTCCTGTGACGGGCAGCCATAACCAGACCATCTTCTGTCCATGCTGTAACCTCGAGTTCATCACTAGGAAATGAATCTTTTTCGATAACGAGGCTGTGATATCGACCTACAAGGAAAGGGCTGAAGAAGACATACCAACAAAGCTTTGTTTTAATACGCATTTACGGACTTGTTATTATGGTTTTCACAAAGCCAAATGATTGAACACAGAAAAATCTGATTCATACTTAGATAGTCCAGAGAACAAGCCTTCTTCTCCTTTCTCATCATAGTGAACCATTGAGCTTTTCCCATGCATAACACCAAATG